TAGTGGGTGAAAAACATCACCATCAGTTAATGGTAAGGCACTGGCTCACTAACCAGGGGCCAGTTTCACGAAATCTTAACTAAAGATAACATCCAAATTTTCGTAGATACTTTAATTTTGATTGGGTAAGCACTAAAATCAACCTAATATTATCCAATCAAATTACTAAAATTTGGATTTTATCTTGGTTAAAATTCGTGAAACAGGCCCCAGGAGATCTTGGGGGTTTCATCCCGGTGTTGGCCGAGAAACTTCCTCGGGATTTGACATCGTGGTTTCCATTTGTCAGACGGGGGAGGATCGGGAATAGACAGTGCGGATGGGACAAAAACCAAGGTCCCGTGTCAATCTGGTTAAAACACAGATCCTATTTCGTTTTTATAGTTCAAAATTTCGTTTTACTTGTCTTTACTACACTTGGATCTGGAAGAGTTGTTATTTAACTCGTGTTCTGAATGGTGTCGGGGATAAGCCAATGAAACGGTCTGTTACGGCGAGCTTTAGGCGTGTTTTCACGGAACTGTGGGTAATCCACTAGTAACATCAATGCTGATTGGTTAATCAAATGTCTGACGTCATAGGGTCATAAGTCAGTCTTTTGACCCCTGACGTGACCTATCGCTACAACTTGTCAGATCTCCATGTAGTGTAGGCCATCGAAAGTAAAAAAAAACGAAACGAAATATAGATCTGTATTTTAATCAGATTGGGTCCCGCGTACACATTGGAATGCATGCTAAAGAACGCTTGGCAGTTGGAATTCGGAATAAGAGTAGGTCGTAGCGCCGCTGACGGCTCCCTGGGCATAGTATCCATCATAACACACTGTACGTTGCAGAAGAGTCAAGGGGTGGGGGTAGGAGTCGTGGGGTTACCCCCCCCCCCCATCAGATTCGGTGAACCGTCCATTTTCCGGGAAATGTATTTACGTTTTTTGAGCAGAAACATCAGAGAATGAGACCATAATATAACATAGAAACATAACTGTATATTTGTAACATGAAATCGCCTGGGCTTTACGTTCTAGATACTTTAAAGACGTAAGTGGAGCCTTATGGAAAATTCGTTTTAGTTAATGATTGATTCATTCTGAAAATCGTCGGAAAAATAGCCACAACATCCCCAACTGAGATTGGCCCCCTACACCTATGGGAAGAGTCATATAACTATTGTTTATTAGTTATGCAGAAAAGGAAAAATTAAAGTAGTTAGCGGCAAATCAAACTTTATTACTTTTGATTTGAAAACCACCCATTAGGTCTTAAAAAAAAACAACTCCAGTAATGATGGTGCCATATTTCACAGTGACTTGACATCCATGTCTAGATTTTATCTCAGCAGGGATTATCAAGACATGTTGATTGATGAAATTTTAATATTTGCTTTTCCTCGTTCAGATGTCAACACGTGTCTAGAATAACAAGTAGACAGAAATAAAAGCTGTAACATTAAAACTCGCTAATGGAATGACATATTTACTTTTATTACGTAGCCCATTACTAAACAAATTCTATAAATAGCGGCGGATATCGTGCTCGATGCAGATTTTAGTAACATCTGAGACCACTTCTCGCCAAAGAATATCATCTATATTACGAGGAAAATACAATTGCTGCTCAAAACAGTTTGTTGAGGTGTCTTTTCTATGTCAAATATAAGATCCCAGACCACTTCTCGTCAAAGAATATCATCTATATTAAGACGAAAATACAATTGCTGCTCAAAACAGTGTGTTGAGGAGTTTTTTCTTTGTCAAATGTAACATGTTCAGTTTAGGAGTTACCAATCTGGATTCACCCGAGTAAATTTAGTTTGTGGGGCCTGTTTCACGAAATTTTAACTAAAGATAAAATGCAAATTTTAGTAGATACTGCAATTTTGATTGGCCAAGCACTAAAATCAATCTAATATTATCCAATCAAATTACTAAAATTTGGATTTTATCTTAGTTACAATTTGATGAAACAGGCCCCTGAATTGTCTCCTGTAGGGTCTTTACGTCTGTGTTCGTAAAGATCGCCAAATTAATAGTTTCGAGTAGACTGTAGCAGTGGAAATCTTCGATAATAACTAAAGACTGGAACTATCCTTGAGACTATTTATTACCGGGAAACATTTAACATCATACATGTATACGGAGAACAGCACGTCCGACAAGCAGAGTAACTGTCCTGGAAACAGGATGAAACCTAGAATGCTATATAAATGTACAAATCGGTATTTATAATAAAATGGTATCTAAGGAATTAACAATATACCCCAACTATACTAATAACAATTAAAGAGGAAAGATTAAAATATAAAAGACATTGCAATAAAATAAAACAATAAGGTAGTAATTAAACTAATTAATGTGTCTGTCAATAGATTAGTAGCTTAACGTCTAATTAAAATGAGGGATTAACATAAATATAAGAATAATAGAAACGTTTAATTGAATGAATGAAAAATGAACGAAGGAATTATTGAAAGAATAAAATAGAAACAGTTCATAAATTTATCACCATTATATAGACTTTCGATTTTGAATTACCCAACTAGTGAAACACTCCCACGCATAGGTTGAAAACAGACAAAAGTAATTTTCTTCATTTCCTAAAAAAAATTTCAAATAATAAGATGGCGTCACATAACTAAATTCAATTACAATTTAAACGCAAAGATCGCATTTATCTTAAACAGTTTTCTCGTGGTAGTATTCTCGATCTTAATATACATTAATTTCGAGTGAAAGAACTACATGAATTATTCGGTTCTAGTGTCTATAAGCATCATCTCAGGGATAAACTTGCACCCAACACTGGTGTATCGATACATCGGTTTTTTGTTGAAGTAGTGTGCCCACGGTCTACTACTTAAACATACATTATGCAAAAGCTAAATCTGCCTATTTCAGGTCTTTCTTTAGGTCTGAAATCTTATCTAAATTATTAATTAGACATTAATTATCCTATCCAGGCCATAATCAACTCTAGATGGAAGCGCTAGCCTGCGATCTTTAGTGGATTGTAAGCCGATTTACTACATAACTTTCCTTCTCGATTAAACGATTAAATGGACAATCGGGACTATGCTGTTTATCGTACTGACTTTAGTAATGATGACCGAGGCTTATGGGAATTTCAGTCGCTTAGTTCTCGGTTCATAGTGGATCAATTTGAATAAAATTTTCACCAAATTGCCTTTACATTATCTAGTTTTTAACTATTATAGTGAGAACTGCCAACTCGTTACAGAATCTCCCATAATGTATCTTTAATTTAATCACTTCCTTCGGGAGCGTGTATCATACTTTTGGTTAAATAAACACGGTGACGTATTTTGGTTAGATCTATTTCATAAGGACAACTTTAAGTTTGGTCAAAGATCACAAGATATAAACAGGGTTAACGCTAATACCAACCCTAACCCTAACCCTGGACCTAACCCTAGCCCTAAAGCTTACCCTAACCTACAATCTTGCCAAAATCACGTGCCCTAAAATTATTTACATCTCAGCGACCATGACGCAATCTTGAGTTGGCCTTAAGAATTAGATCTAGCCTACTTCGTATCGGTTATCACTTATACTCGTTTTATATGATACTATTCATCTTTTAATTTGTTACGAGATACTATTCTCCTTTTAATTTGTTACGAGATAATCAATTGGTTGTTAAAACGGCATTATGACATAATGACACCCAGTATAATATAAACCGTGACACTGCATAGGAAAGCATTATGGCAAGCACTTGTTAAATGTCTGTCTGGATTAAATTTGATTAAAACACAGATCCTATTTCGTTTCGTTTTTTTATAGTTCAGAATTTCGTTTTATTTGTCTTCACTACACTAGGGTCTCGAAGAGTTGTTATATAACCCGCGTTCTGGTTGATGAAAGGGCTTAGCCAATGAAACGGTCTGTTACGACGAGTTCTTGGCGTGTATCCGACTAGAAACATCAACGCTGGTTGGTTAATCAAATGTCTGACGTCATAAGATCAAACGCCTCTCATATGACCCCTGATGTGACCTCCCACTACAACCGGTTAGATCTTCATGTAGTGTAGGCCATCGAAAATATATATAAAAAAAACCGAAACGAAATATAGATCTGTATTTAATCAGATTGGTCTGGAATAAATTAGGGATTTCTATTCAATTTACTTTGTCATAAAAATCTCATGCTTCTTTTAGTTATATTACTCATATCAAGCATCCAAAACTCTACTTGTATTATCGACAAACTTTGATATATTTAATATCCAACCCCCACAAAGAATTTTAGATTTTATTTATTACACATGCGAATCTAATAAGCAGGAAAGAAGAAAACAAGCGTGGAATCAGAGTTGTTAAACACAATCAGGTTGAGGCAAATTATTGTTATTTTATACTTAGCCATCTTCCCGGAGTGGGGGTAAATAGCCCTACATTTAATTCTGAAAGGTGCATTCCCTTGACCAATGCGGACACTTGCAGTTCAGGCACGTACACCCACGAGACAAGCCTATTGAATTACCAAGTATCTTATGTATATTATTTTGACTTGTTAAGTGCAATAGTTACATTATTTGAAATTTATTATCAATAACCTCATGTAATTATGCTTTTTTACGAACCAGTGGATTGTTTGATGGTCACGTGATTTAATACCGATTATCAAAGGAAACGGGCCTGTGATTAGTCGAAAATATAGAATCGATCAATCTAGTAAGCCCAAGACTGACAACAAAGAAAACAAAAATAATTTGGATCTTTTATATTGTTTGTCCTACTTCAGATAGACCGACTAGGCGATTAGGCGGATATGCCACTATCCGGGAAAAAATTCCCTTGCGTTACACATTACCATAGATAGGAGCTTAGTCTGAAAATGAGTTTGTCGAAGAGATGTCAAATTCCATTCCATTATCTCATCTGAGCAACCATCCATTTGTATTTTAACATCATCCGCAAGTCTCTTAACCGACATTTGGATCCGATCGTTACATTGTACTTAATGACTTGTTTTTCAGTTTCAGATGGGGACCTGACTATACGCCGGCCAGTAACCAGTAAAATCATTCTACCAACTTGTGAGTGTACAGATGTCCATAAAAAATCTATATTAGGCGTATTACTCGCCATCGCGATTGCTATGGCTTGGTCAGCTTTCACACATATTACCCAGAATGCCTACGTAGATGAGTTCCGGGCGCCGTTTTTCTTAACCTACTTGTGTACAATATGGCTGATACCTTTTTATCCAGTATATTTTATCATCAATCATATAAAGGGCGGTCAAAATCCAAGATTGGTTTTCAGGTAAATTTGAATTTAAGGCTATATTATTAGTAGGGGAGCTAGCTGAACCTTATTCCTTAATTTGCGGACGAAATTTGCACTATGGCTAAAAGAGGCACCATCATGGCCGATGATAAGAATGGGAATTCTTAAGTTGCACATCCACTGGGTTTAGAGACCGTACGCCCCCCGAAATCACGGAAAAAGTAGAGAGAGAGAAATGTTGTCATTTCGGGACTAACATGTGGTTCAATTTTATTTCAATGATTCGCTTGCAAGGAGGGTGTCTTTAGCAGTGTTAGGAAACCGGAGGACCCAGAGAAAACCCACGAGGTTGAACAGGCGACACTACTCCTTGTCACGTACAACCGAGGAATCGAAACCACGCCAGTTGACTCAATGACAGACCTTATGATGCAACGCGCACATGCTAACCATTCGGCCATCCAACCCTAAAAAATTTAACGATAAAATAGATAATCGAAACTTAGTCCTGGTTGTCAAGTACCATTGCTACGGTAATAAACGATCTACGCTACACCTTCAAACAAAATTATTATCTAATTTTGAACTATTATAGCAAGAGTTATTATATTAATAATTATCCTTATCCTTCAAAACGATCACAGAGCCTCAAAATACCTAGTTAGAAAGCTTGCTTTACGTTTTTACATTTCATGTTTTTCAGGGAAAGTATTTTGATATACGCCGACAATGACAATATTAAAAAGGTGAAGTTTATGGGCAAAACCTTTATGTTTTGTTTTGTGTGGACGTTAGCGACATTTACCTATATAAAAGCCAGTAGTCTATTGGGTGCAGCGGACATAACAGCTCTACAAGCAACCAATCACAGTTTTGTTTACATGTTATCATGGATTGTATTATTTGAAAAATTTGTAGCAATAAGAGTAAGTATTGCGATTTTCTTTTCTATCAACACGTTCCTGGTGTTCAGAGTCGGTGGGGAGTTTAATGTTTTAACGCGAGCGCGTGAAATCGCAAGGCCTGTCATTAAGTCGGGTGGCGTGGTTTCGATTCCTCGGTTGTACGTGACTAAAAGTAGGGTCGTCTGTCTAACCTCGTGAGTTTTCTCCGATTTCTCCCACTGCTATAGACCCCTATTGAAATAAAATTAAACCATGTGATAGTCCCGAAATGACGTTGTTTGTGTCAAGTTGGCGTTAAACCCCATCCGGAAAATCCTGATGAAGTCGGTTAGTGATAAAAAAAAACCCGGGGAGACCTTGATACGGAGTGTCATATCCGCGAAAGCCGTAACGTTACGACACAGTAACCGACCGGAGTTGATTTTTGAAGAACGTTGAACATTGTAAGAACCATACGTTAACCATACGAGTTTCACTCAAGAAATCAGACTGTTTCATGTGATCATGATGCGATGTATGCACGGAAAAATTATACCGATACTACAATTACGTACGTCAATCTAAGCCAAATTTCGCTACTATAACACTCCGTCTTTCAACCGTCAATATGAGTATTATGGCGTTGACAGTGATAAATAAAAAAAGAAACACCATACCAGTCAAAAGTACGACACGGCATAATCAGATTACACCGAATTAATCCGGCGCTGCTTTTCCGTGCCTGGACCTCTGGCCTGCGCCTCTGCCGAGGGGAAACCAGGTTGCAGAACACAAGGATCGAACCTGTGAACTTCTGGTTAGTGGGCCAGCGTAATAATCACCCAAATAATATTAGTGTGTACATGTATCTTGAGCCCACGTCGTACGTTGAAATGTTCACAATGGCGCATTTGAAATGAATGAAATGAAATGGGGTTTAACGTCGTACTGTTCTGCTGGGCTAATGAAGACGGGCATGCGCCATGCAGTGTGCTATGTGGGAAATTTTGCCCGGACAGCGGCACTACGGCCTATTCTTATATCGAATTCCAACTGCCAATCAATATTTTACGCACACGCCAATATGTACACGGGACCTCGGGTTTTTGTCCCATCCGAAAGACTAGACAGCTGTCCTTGTTAAGCCCCCCGTCCTGCACCACTGATAAGGGGAAACCACGCCGGAAAACCCCGATGACCTTTCTCGGACAACACCGGGATCGAACCCGCGACTTCCAGACTAGCGAGTCAACGTCTTATTCACTTGGCCACATTGGCTTCCTTAAGGCTCATTTGAATACCAGTGAAATTCTCTTTTTTTCTTTGTGTTAAAGATGCGCATAAATATCTTCTCACTTTTTACTTCATATAAGCCAAATTGCCCTTATTCCTCCACTGGCCAAAACGATCATGTGATGAAATGGCTGAGTATGATTGTGGTTATTAACAAATAGATTTAGCCTATTAGTATTAACTATCGTAGCGTTTCGCTGGCTGTATGCCATTTGCTTGTGATGTGTTAGAATAAGGACGAATTCACTATATTAAAGTAGCTAAGTCTCTAACTAAATATCATCCAAAGTCTTCGACATTGAAAACACGAATTATTTGTCAATTGAAATCAACATTGATGTTGTGATCTTACCGGGAAAAGATGGGCTTCTGATATCCAATATTTAAGACAAAATAAACATTTTACCATTGGTACACGAATCGTGTACACGAATCGTGTCCCATAATGCGTTTCAGTGACATTTGTAACAAGGGACTCGAAGAACGAGGGTAGACATATTCCACAAGTCATGTCAAACGCTGACACTATATTCTTATCTGGAGAGCATGCGCAATAAATACTATCGGTGTCGACTGGAATAACCAGACGCTAGAGATTACCATTCGATTGAGATTTCTGGCGTATTTCGCTGAACACAACTGATTTGAAATTAGCGTAAAAACGGAAACGATTACATGTAAATGAGTTTATATACATTCATATTACATTATTATATGCGTTGTGACCCATTTGTGTCAATTTCTAGGTCCCAAATATTAGCGATTTAGCTCCTTTAAGGTTTTTTTCAAGATCTTTAGAAACTCATAGAAACCAGTCGGATTTTTATTTCAGATTTTAGCGCTAGTATTCAGTATAACTGGTATAGTATTATTCGCTTACGTGGATGGTTTTGGAAGCGAGGCCATGTGGGGTGTAGTTGTGGCAGTGGCGTCATCTGCTGGCGCTGCAGTTTATAGAGTAAGTACATGAGACGGAAATGAAATGAAATGGGGTTTAATGCCCTACTTTTTTTCCACCGACTGGGCTATCGAAAATGGACACATGCCATGCAGAGTTTTATGAGAGAAATTTTTCCCGGGCAGAAATGAAATGAAATGGGGTTTAACGTCCTACTGTTCTGCTCCGAATTAGGCTAATGAAGACGAGCATACGCCATACAGTGCGCTATGAATGAAATTTTGCCTGGACAGCGGCACTACGGCCTACTCTTATATCGAACACCAGCTGTCAAGGGATCTTTTACGTGCACGCCAATGTGTACATGGGTCCTCGGTTTTCCTCTCATCCGAACGACTAGACAGCTGTCCTTATCAAGCCCTCCGTCCTGCATCACTGACAAAGGGGAACCACGCCGGAAAATCTGGATGAACTTTCTCAAACAATGCAGAGATCGAACACCCGACCTCCAGGCTAGCAAGCCAGCGCCTTACCCACTTAGCCACCGTGACCCCCTTGTCCGGACAGCGGTGCTACTATCTACTCTTATTTCGAATCCGAACTACTACACGCTGCCCCCCCCCCCACCAAGACATGTCAAGGGGTAGACAAATCACGATGAACCCTCTCGGCCAACAATGAGATCGAACACGGGACCTCCAGGTTAGCAAGCCGAGGACTTACTCACTAAGCCACCGCGGCTCCCAAGTAAATGAAAGGGACAGAAAACAAATTACAATTCAAGTAGCTAAGTCCGTAACTCAATATCATCCAAAATCGTCGACATTGAAAACACGAATTTTTATGCAATTTAAATCAGCATTGGTGTTATGTTCTTACCTGGAAAAGATGGGCTTCTGATATCCAATATTTAAGACAAAATAAACATTTTACCATTGGTACACGAATCGTGTACCATAATGCGTTTCAGCGCCATTTGTAACAAGGTGCTCAAATAATGAGGCTAGACATATCCAACAAGTCATGTCAAACGGTGATATCATATTCTTATTTGGAGAGCATGCGCAATAAATAATATCGGTGTTGACTGGAATAACCAGTCGCTAAAAAATGACTTGCGGTTGAGACTTCTGGCATATTTCGCCGAACATAACTGATGACAATTCAAAGTAAAACGGACACGATTGATTGTAAAACAGTTTATATAAATTCATATTACATTACTAAATGTGTTGCGACTCATTTGTGCCAATTTCTAGGTCCAAAATATTAGCGATTTAGCTCCTTTCAGTTGGATCTTTGAGGTGAAATCGTGAACTTGTTATTGAACCAATGTGGAAATTTGTCTCGGTTGACTCAGTACTTTGTAATTTGATACACATTCATACTTGGAAACATTCTAAACTTTGGCTCCCGCCAGTCGGACCAACGTCAGGGGATCGGCCCGTACTAGTCAAGGCAACACGGCGTGCTGATACGCTTTCACAGAGAGGTAGATGGGAGAAATAAGCGTCGTCAGTCGCCAGTGACGTTGGTCAATACGCTCGAAATGAATTCACCAATGCATGAATGTCGACCCTTGCGGTCTCTTCTTTTGAACGAATTTTGGACCGGACAAAATAGCGTAAATTGGGTAAACACGGAGATTTCCTTGCGTATTTCGATTAGCTGAAAAATAATAAAGATGATCTTCGCGATACGCACGTATGCATTATCGCGAACTTTATACACTATAGGAATATCCAGATGTAGAAATGCCTCCATTTTGTCCAGTCCAACATTCGTCTTAATCGAAAAAAAGCTTATTTGTTTCTATTTTTACTTTTCTAGCTTTTAATGAAGAAATTCGTTGGTTGTACAACAGTAGGTCAAACATCTTTATTTTTATCTTTAATAGGTAAGTCATCCTTTAATACATTTAAATCTTGATGGTTTACAGCAGTCCAGAATATAAGAAAAATATATATAAGATTTTATTAACTCAGTTAACATCGATATTATTTAAATCAAACACTGGGGAATTAACAACTGAATTCTATTTATGAACCATGACTAAGACCTCGGTTTTCCAATTTGCAACCCTTTAGAGCTTAATAGATCGCCCTTCACTAACCTGTAATCTAGTTGGAGATAATTTTCTCGGGTATGCATAAAGTTCCCAAACATCAGGATTTTATTATAAAATGGTCAATCTTGATTTCAAATGTTACTATCTAATGTAAATACAAGAGAACCATACTGCACACAGACATTGCAAAAAATAAACAACAAAATTAAAGATACATTATGGGAGATTCGATAACGATTTGGCAGTTCTCACTTTAATAGTTAAAATCTAGATAATGTAAAGGCAATTTTCTGAAAATTTCATTCAAATTGATCCACTATGAACCGAGAACTAAGCGGTTGGAAATTCCGCCTAGTTTCCATCATCATTACTAAAGTCAGTACGATAAACAGCATAGTTTCGATTATCCATTTAGTCGTTAAATCGAAAAGGAAAGTTATGCAGTAAATCGGCTCATAATCCAGTAAAGATCGCAGGCTAGCATAACCATCTACATGTAGAATTGATTATGGTCTGAATAGGTTAATTAATGTCTAATTAATAATTTAGAGAACATTTCAGGCCTAAAGAAAGACCTGCAATAGACAGATTTAGCTCTTTCATAATGTATGTTTAATGTCAAATCAAATATCAAATATTTAAATGAATAGTGCCTTTTCAAGATATTATAGTATAATACAGCCCACAAAATATACTTGTATAGTATAAGACAGCTGACAACGCAATCTGAAACTGTAGATTCCCCTTTTCTACTAATTAAGGGGTGGGGCGGGGTGTTGGAACTCGATTTACGCAGGCATACATTTGTTGAAATTATGATGGATATGGTAATTTTCTTTTACGGCGCTGGAACATTAAACAGGTGTTACCGGGTTTGATCCTGTTGTTAGCCGTGAAAGTTCCTCGTGATTTTCCAGTCATATGTCTCTATATCAGTGGTTCAGGATGAGGGCCTGGCAATGGCGGATAAACGGAGATCCGTGGAGGCTGGTTACTTTTGTAACGATGTCTGAGAGGCTAGTCTAGGCTCTCTTCGTTATTGCCTGTCCTTATATACATGTAATATGAAAATAACGCTTTACATCACCTCTTTGTTCGCCAAAAGAAATCATTTCTCGCCCATCCTGACACAAATTTATAATAATTCAACTCTATTTTCAAGTAGAATTTTGTATAAGGACAGGCAGTAACGATGAGAGGCTAACTTCTATTAGACATCGTTACTAAAGTAATTTAGTGTAGGCCCAAAGATAAATTTGACCGGCTCTAACACTTTCCCCAAATGTAACTTTCAATGTAACAAACCTCTTACCTATATCTTACTCATCCGCTTCAAAATCATAAATATTCACCAAAACCTGCCAAAAACTGTATACATATGCAGACCCTTTTATTCGATTCTACACCAAAATGTCAACAATAACCGCCATGCAAAAGCTGGGAAAGGGGCAGGGAGAGAAAGGCTACGCAGATCACTTTAGAACTAGATTCGTGGTTTTGATGCTGTCCTGTAGTAAAACGCCCGTTAAATCAGATTGTATACTGTCGAATACGATTGAGTTCTAACTTTCTAAATAGACAATTTCAGTCATTGAACGGATGCAAGCCACGTGACTGCTCGATCACTGCGTTGACTTCACTTAATCAACCAGTCGGACATTTATTAGCCTAGACTAGACTTCAATCTATGGAAATCCTAATTATCCCACAATACTGTACTAATTTTGGTCGGTTCTGTCACAGCTTGGACAGCGGTCGCAGAAGTCGAATCCATCGAAATGAATCACCTACTGGCGTGACATGCCAGTTCAAGTCAATGAAAATAAACTATTTTCCATAGCAACGACTTGCAATAATAACACACGGACATATTGTCTAATTAATTTTCAGCGATATCACTTCGCTGGAGGCGGACGTTAAAAAGGCTATTTATACGAGGTAGCTTTGCTGTGGCAACCGATACAACACACACTAACAGCTACAAGTACGCTTACACCCTCAAAGATCACGAGGAACCTATACAGGACAGACTCGGGAGAGAGAATAGGAGAGAGTCTGGGCCTTTACATTTAAAAGAGTAAATTTTCTTCAGAAATGGCCCTAGATGCAAGGAAATCGAATTCAAACTTTCCAAATAACCCTCTCCTAACTCCGCCAGACGTTATAAAGCTTCTTGGGCTCCGCGGTCAGTCACGCCTGAACACCCTCTCCCCCCCCCCCTCTCCTCCCCACAATCTGATCATTTTCTCCACACGACCATGACTTACTCATTTACAACACCCAATAACAACTTCACATACCTCGTATATTGAGCAAATAAATCCGTCACAATCATCAAAATTTTAACAAAGGAAACAGCCATAAATCTGTGTTTATCCCTAAAGCTATATACCTTGACTTATAATATATTCCTTGCCTTGGGTTTTAGTTTTTTATTTTGTGTCATCTGCACTGCTGATAGGTAAATAGTTTTATCATAAAAGGCTGAAATCGGTGCTAGTTAATTGATAATTCATAAACAGATTTCCATATAGGGCCAAAAAGTTATTAAATAATTGATCAAAGGTATCAATTTATCAAAGGGGATCAATAATCGTAATATGGATAATTATATAACAATCGTAGCGCAACAAATCAGCCCGAAATAATAATGAATTTATAGGGCGGTTTTAGCCCTTGAGACGCAGGATTTCGAGGAAGAAGGGTGGGGGGGGAGGCAGAACATTTGAAAGTTATATCGTTACCCAATATGAAACGTGATGAACGGTTCGGATTTGAATTCATGAAGAAAGTTATTTATTTTAAATAATTGTTTTAAATGTAATTTCAGGCTTTCTACACACGGCGTGTTTATGGCCAATAATATTACTTTTATATTTTACTAACGTGGAGGTGATAATATGGAGTTCTCTCCCCTGGCAGTGGATCAGTCCATCGATTCTACTTTTTACAGGTGAGAAATTAGGAAGAACGGAAGCATAGCCAGGCATTTCGTTATAAGTGTACCTAGATTATTTCCTATGCATGGTGGGGTGGGTGCTATAACAAAATCGATATTTCGTTGGCCTTAAAGACAAATCAGGACGGAGCGCCTGACAAGGGCAGCTGTCTAGTCGTTCGGGTGGTACGGAAAACATAGGTCCCGTGTACACATTGGCGTCAACGTAAAAGATCCCTTGACAGTGGGAATTCGATATAAGAGTAGACCGTAGCGCCACTGTCCGGGCAAAATTTCTCTCATAGCACACTGTAGCCTATGGCGTATGTCCGTCTTCATTAGCCCAGTTCGGAGCAGAACAGTACGAAATTAAACCCCATTTCATTTCATTGCATTGCATTTTTAAAGACAATTGGGAGCCACAGTGGCGCAGTGAGTACAAAGACGTTGACTCGCAAGTTAATAGGGATTTTCCGGCGTAGTTCCCCCTTGTCAGTGGTGTAGGAGGGAGGGTCGGCATGGGACAACGTATAGTCGTTCGGATGGTACAAAAGTCCAAGGTCTCGTGTATACATTGGCGTGCATGTAAACGTGTATACATTGGCGTGCATGTAAAAGAACCTTTACAGTTGGAATTCGATATAAGAGTAGGCCGTGGTGCCGCTGTTCGGGCAAAATTTATCCCATAGCACTCTATGTGGTGTATGCCCGTCACCATTAGCCCAGTCGGTGCATAACAGTAGGAGGTTAAACCCCATTTCATTTCGTTAATCTAGCCATTTCAGTATCTGAATTCACCGTAACCTTACAATAGACTTTTGAAGACAAATCGGTATTTAAATGAAATGGGATTTAACGTCCGATTTGGCCAACGAAGACGGGCATACACCATGCAGTATGTTATGAGGGAAAGTTTTCCCGGACAGCTGCGCTACGACCTTCTTTTATTTCAATTTCCAACTGTAAGGTTATCTTTAACGTACTTCCAATAGTATGCGGTTCGCGTGGCTTTGAAACTTTAACAGTTATGTATGTAGATTAGATTATTTGTGAACGAATATAATCATTCATTCATTCAATGATCGCTATTGTTTATTTCGATCATTCATTCAGATCTTTATCAATGTCAAGGACGACTATTATTTCTTTCAGTACACCAAATACTAGTGAACTTTGTGGTGAAAATTACCTATCCAGTGTTTACGGGATTGGGTTTAGCTTTTGGTATTCCATTCTGTGCTAGTAAGTTCATATGTAATGATTAGTTCGATAAAAAGGTTGAGATTCAACATAGGGTAAACTGTGACCATGTTGGATACTGGGTTGTGACCTGGAAAGTTCCGAATTGCAATTGAGTGACACATAATCACATTTTGTCACAGTTCTGTCAGCCCCGCACTCCCGTGAGTAGAATTGTGACCTAATCAAACACAGCAAATATATTCTGGGGAACCAGGAAAATGCTACCCAAGTGGGTGGAAACCGGGGCTACCCCAGAAAACCCATGAGGTTGGATAGGCGACCCTACTCCTTGATACGGGCAAGCAGGGAATCGAAACCACGCCACTTGACTTACTGACATACCCAGTGATCTAAAGCGCACACCATAAACCATTCACCACCCCCTTCCCACCGTATATTTTGTACTTTCTTGTTCAACTATTATATCTACCTTGGACTGTCCCCCCTGTATTCTTGCATCGTTTTTCTTGTCCTTCTTGTTGTTGGGTAGTTTCCCTTTTTTAAGTGGAGACCTGGGTTTCAATTATTATTTAATCTCTTATTTCTACAGTTGCCGACACAATATGGCGCTACAAAGAATTTACTGGAATGAAAATAGCAGCGCTAGTTTTAATCACCCTCGGCTTGCTTCTAATTCTACTTCCGGATAACTGGGAAGAGGTTGTGTTACGACCCTTCAAGTGTAAAAATCGGCGGGAAACTGCAGAACCCGTCAGTTCCAACATACGAAGTCGTATGCACAGAACAACTAATATGTGATATATAAATTCTCATCAAAGATAATTTGCCTGTAAATAATTCAGACAAATGTTTATTTTTTACAACAAACGATTTGATTGGAGACAATATAAGGAAATATATTCTTATTGACAATAAACAAGTGATTTGTTTGGTTGACATTATAAATAATCTATGGACGCATTATATAATACAATTGATTCGAGTGGCGGACTTTATAAACAGTTAATGGATATATTTTTAAAGAAGCACAACTGACATTATAAAATGACAGTGGAGGATTTCATTAGTGAGAATATTACAAGTGATTTGATTGGTTGGCATCATAAAAACTCAAAGGAGGAAATATATTTACATCCATCAATGAGCGGAACTTATCTAATGGTGGCTTTAAAGTGATCAAAGTCTTAACTTAAGGTTGAATGACAAATTAAAGTTTGGATTTGAATAAATCTGATAACGTGTTCATTTTTTTTTCAAGGGGATTATACTTTTAACAACATTCTAGGAGTGTAAAAAATGCATTAATGATGGCACCAGTACAACTATGTCTTTCAGAATGGCTCGTCTTCATTCTTCAGTAGGACGTTAAACCCAATTTCATTTCATTTCAAAATGGCGTGTACATGCTTAAAAAGCACCACATAATTAAATTGTTTATTTTGTGTGTCGAAGTAATACGCTTGTCTACTCTTTCCAGTTATCATTATAATTGTTAGATCTGTGTACATACGTTGTCCCTTGTTAGGTCCTCTGCCCTGCACCACTGACAAGGAAGAACCACGCCGGAAAATCACGAGGAACTTTCTCGAACAACACCGGGCTCGGAACACAGCCCTCCAGGTTAGCGAGCCAACGTTTTACTCACTCAGCCACCGCAGCTCCCGGTTAGACTAACAATAGAACTTTGTACCTGGGCCCTGTTTCACGAAATTTTATCTAAAGATAAAATCCAAATTTTAGTAGATACTTCAATTTTGATTGGCTAAGCACTAAAATCAATCTTTAACCAATGAAATTACTAAAATTCGGATTTTATCTTAGTTAAAATTCCGTGAAACAGACCCCAGGTTGTTATCTATAGGAAGCATTGATTGTTTTATTATTTATGTTGTGTCAAATTCTAAGGCGGTGAGAGTTATGTACTTGCATCCTTGAGTTCCAACTGTCAAGAGTTGTTTTGGAACCACTATCAATTTGTAAACGAAAGAATCGTGCTTTTTCGTCCCACCTCGCATAATACTTCGAACCATATATAGAGAGAGAAATGGGGTTTAACGTCCACTCGACACAAACTAGGTCATTTCCAGACTAACATATGGTGGGGTGGTGGGGCCGAGGACCCGGAGAAAAACCTCAAACTTGGACAGGCTAACCTACTCCTTGTTACGTGCAAGAGGGGAATCGAAACTACGCCACTTGACTCAATGACAGACCTTGTGACCTAACGCACACGTGTTAAATCATTACGTCACCCAGCCACCCCTTCGAACCATAGAACTATAACGCTTGCTGTCTAAGGTCATATTATTGCCCCCCCCCCCCCGCCTTTCGAAGAAAGCAAGGGACTATTAAAATGGGCTCTTTCGTCTGTCCGTCTGTCTGTCTGTCAGTCCGTCCGTCCGGCTGTCTGTCTGTCTGTCACACTTTTTGGAACACAATAACTCTCTTTCTAATTGAGCTAGAATGTTCAAACTTGGTGTAGGTGTTTATTAGGTCAATGCCTTGATGGAGTTTTGATTGGTTTATGCTTTGGGACACGATAACTTTAGTTCTAATTAAGTGAGAGTGATGAAATTTTGTGTATAGTTTTATTACATCAATACCTTGACTAAGTTCGATAATGAGCATTTTCTGCTCAGGGTAAGCAGAGTGATAAGCAATTTAATTGAGTGAGACTTTGGAACATAATAAATCTCATTCTAATTGAGCTAGAATGTTCACACTTGGCGTAGATGTCTATTAGGTGAATAGATGCTTTGGGACACGATAACTTTAGTTCTAATTAAACCAGAGTGATGAAATTCTGTGTATAGTTTTATTACATCAATACCTTGACTAAGTTCGATAATGAGCATTTTCTGCTCAGGGTAAGCAGAGTGATAAGCAATTTGATTGAGTGAGACTTTGGAACACAATAAATCTTATTCTAATTGAGCTAGAATGTTCACACTTGGCGTAGATGTCTATTAGGTGAATGCCTGGAGGTCGGAGTTCGGATTTCGAAATGAGAATTTTCTGCTTAGGGTAAGCAGAAATAAGCAATTTGATTGGTTGATGCTTTGGGACATGATAACTTTAGTTCTCATTTAATATTTTGAGAGTGAGGACAATTTATGTATAGTTTTATCACATCAATACCTTGACTAAGTTTCATAATAAGCATTTTCTGCTTAGGGTGAGCAGAGCGATGAGCAATTTGATTGGTCGAGATTTTAGAACACGATAACTCTCCTTCTAATTGAGGCAAAATGTTCAAACTTGGAGTAGGCATTCATTAGGTGAATGCCTTGATGTAGTGCGATGATAAACATTGTCTGCTTATGGTAAGCAGAGATAAGCAATCTGATTGGTTGATGATTTGGGGCACGATAACTTTGGTTTTAATTAAGTGTGAGTGATGTAACTCTAGATTCACCTTGACTAAGTTTGATGATGATAATTTTTTGTTTAGGTTAAGGATCAATAAGCAATTTGATTGGTCAAGACGTTGGAACATAACAACTCTGCTTTTAATTGAGGTAGAATGTTTAAACCCGATGTAGATGTTCATTAGGTGAATGTCTTGACTGAGTTCAATGATTAACATTTAAAGCTAAAGCTAAGAAGAGCTAAGCAATTTCATTGGTCGATGCTTTGGGACAAGGTAACTTTGATTCTATCTGATAGAGAGTGATGAAACTTAGTGTATAGGTGATAATCTGTTTGATTGCATGATATTTTTGAAAAAAAATAAATGTGCGATTAATGAATATGTGTCATCTATTTATTTTGGAATTTCGGCGGGGGACATCAGCCTCACTGTTGGCTTGTTATGTATTGTTTTCTCTTGTACTAGTACAGGCGCGTCATCGGGAATATCCGGTCCGGGAGGGGCGGGGGTGCAATGTGAGGTATGTATATTTCAGATAAGGATCGCAATCAACAGCAATATATCTCAGAATAAATCAGAATGTGGCAAATTGGCCTATCGTCGAAAGCCATCTCACTGGTGCCGCCAATCTAGTATATAAAGTACTAACGGTAGATATAAATACTTTCTGTGTGTATAGATATAATAAGTAAAATAACATGTGACAAATATAGGTTTACAAGAAAATAACATGCGTTATAGTTAACGAGGAAATGATATACATGTGTACGAGATTCTCGTGTTTACTGGAAAACATGAATTTCTGCGGTTATGGTCAATTTTTTAAAGAGTTTTATTGGGTACATGGTATATATATTATTTGCGACCATGGAGTCTTTGTCAACACAATACGTCATTGATTTTGGATGATAATTTTCATGTCTATGATTATGTGCGCAGAAATGAAATGAAATGAAATGAAATTTGGTTTAACGTCCCACTGTTCTGCTATAACTAGGTTAATGCAAACGAACATACGTCATACAATGTGCTACGAGGGACATTTCGCCCGGACAGTCAACTGCCAAGGGTTCTTTTACGTGCACGCCAATGCGTACACGGACCTTCGGGTTTTCGTCCCATTCAAACTATTATACGTTGTACCTTGCCAGGTCCTCTGTCCTGCACCGCTGACAAGGGCGAATCACGCCGGAAACTCTTGCTAAAACTGAGATCGAACACGGGACCTCCTGGTTAGCGAGCCAACGTCTTACTCACTGAGCCACCGTGGTCCGCGGTTATGTTTTACATGCACGCTAATTTGAAGATCGTTGGACCTAGGTTTTTAGTCCAACCCTAACGATAGGTTAACGTTCCTTGTCAGCCAGTGTGTACACGGGTAACCCATACTATATTTGTCAACGTCGCAGGTGGTTGAAAAATACGAAGCCGATACATTCTAGTGAAGAGCTCACGCCAATCAATGTAATCACTATGTGGGTCATTGGATGAATGCAATGGGGTTTAACGTCCCACTTTTCTGCACCTACCGGGATAATGAAGACGATATACGCAATACAGTGTGCTATGGGGTAATGTTTGCCCGGACAACAATTATATTTAAACTATCAAGGGTTTTGCCAACGTGTACATGGGGCGTCGATTTTTTTGTTCCATCCGAAAGACTAGAAGCCATCTCGTGCACCACTGGAATGGGGAAACCAGGCTAGAGAATCCAGTCGAACTTTCTCGACCAACACCGAGATCGAAACTTCTGGACAGTGAGCCAAAGCCTTACTCAATGGGCCAGAAATGGGGTTTAACGTCCTACTTTTGTGCACCATATGGTCATATGCAATATGAGGGAAAAGTTTCCAGGACATTGACTTTTCCGTTTACTCTTCGTTGAATTCCAACCGCCAAAGGATTATGATTTATAGACGTCGGCTTTTCATCCCAACCGAACGACTAGAGGCTGTACCTTGCCTAGCTCTTTAATGTAAACCATTGTTTTATCTGTTGGTAAATCTAAAGCCCTCTTACTCTTATATCGAATTCCAACTGCCAAGGGACTCTTACGTGCAAGCCAATATGTACACGGGACCTCGGTTTTTCGTCCCATCCGAACGACTAGACAACTGTCCTTGTCAGGCCCTGCATCACTGACAAGATGGAACCACGTCGGAAAATCTGGATGAACTTTCTCGGCCGATGCAGGGATCGAACACCCGGCCTCTAGGCTAGCGAGCCAGCGTCTTATCCACTTAGCCACGTGATCCCCCCTACCCCAAACAGTCCTGCACAACTGACGAGAGGAAACCACGCCGTTGAACTTTCTCGGCCAAAACCTCTAGTTTAGAGAGCCAACGTCTTACTCGCCGAGCCACTGCGACCCCGTTTAGAACCTTCCACATATTAGACGTACATGTATATATTGTTATAAACAGGGCAACTAAACAAAACACATTGTTAGTCTGTTTGCAATAAAAACGTAAAATATTGTTGGATGATTGGAGACGTCTACTCAAATCCCTAAATAAGAAATAAAGAACATAACGGAAACATCGAGAGAGAGAGAGAGAGAGAGAGAGAGAGTTTAACGTCCACTCGACACAAACTAGGTTATTTCGGGACTAACATATGGTTTAATTTTTTTTATTTCAATAATTCGCTTGCGCGTAGGGGTCTTTAGCAGTGGGAGGAAACCGGAGGACCCGGAGAAAACCCACGAGGTTGGACAGGCGACCCTACTCCTTGTCACGTACAACCGGGGAATCGAAACCCCGCCAGTTGACTCAATGACAGACCGTGTGATACAGCGCGCGCGTGCTAACCATTCGCCCCCCCCCCCCCCACACACAGAAAGACGCAGACAGAACATATGATGAAAAATGATGTGGTGGTTTGTGTTGTGTCATGCCACTGCATTAACTATCACTACTATGTACGTTAAAAAAAGGGGAAATGAGTCTGTTCAGTGAGAATAATCTGTCGTTCTTAATCAGACTTTAAAATAGAAATATTGATATTCATTTATAAAAACAAACCATGTTCCGTCTTTACATGGAGTTATTTGAGCTTTAAAGGGTGATTTGATAACAACAAATTCAGTCTTTTGAAGACTATGCGCTTTTTTAAAATACATTATGTAAGGGGTAAATCTGTCTATTGCAGTTCTTTCTTTTGGCACCCGATCCAATATTATTACGGCCTAGAAGGGGATAATAATAACGAACTAAATCGCTCTATAATGAGGTAAACGGCAGCCCGTTTTTACCGTTCGGTAAATTCAGACCTCCGTCATAGAGGCATAAAGGCCAACACGGGGCTTTTCTTATAGAGTCAGTTTACAAAACCCTAACCCTAACCCTAGCGAAACATTGGCCCAACTTTCATGAAGTAGTTCAAACATAATTTATCTAATTTCATGTAGACAATGTGACAAACAATACGTAGGGGAGACTCAGAATGCACTTAAAGAAATAATTAACGGTCACCGGTCAGACATATCACCAAAAAAGACAAACCGGTCTCAATTCATTTCAACCAACCAAATCAGTACATTTCTGATCTCATTGTCACGTCAATAGAAAAGACCAAGAGCGACTTTAAAACCTTTAGGCTAACAAGAGAAAAATTCTGGATTGACAAATTGTATACAAAAGCACCCCCCCCCCCCTTGGTTTGAATATTCATAGGGCTAGCGCAATAGCCCCTTTTGTAGTTCCACATAGCGCAATAGCAGCAAGTGCATCCAAAATCATCAGAAAACACTATACTCTGATCTCCAAGAAAATCACCCGAAAATCTTCACACAGAAACTTATAATTGCATATTCTAAAAATACAAATCTGAACGACATCCTAGTGCACAGTAAATTAGATTAAATAAGACCAGTTTCCACCCTAACCGTTAGTAAATAAAATCAACTAGATATAAGAATCCCTAGCCCTACACCGGTTATGTGGAACAAACACATTTTTATAAAATCCAATTCATAGTAGGAAACACACTAATGTGGCTCTCCCCCGAGAGCCTCAAATTTATTCTTTTTTCTTCGGAAACAAAAACACCAGAATACCAGAAGCACCATCCAAGGAAGACCATCAGCGCCACCAACACCAAAAACAGTGAAATCATCTTTGTAGATAAATCTAATGTATTGTAAATATTTTTAATAAAACTAGGAAATATCACGAACTAATTTTTCATCGTCGTAGGTCAGTACTTATGTGGAGACTTAACCTTTCCCCCAAATTCTTAAACCTAACCCTAGCGAAATATTGGCCCACCACGCACACTGAAGCTTTAAATCCAGGGACTTTCGAGATAACTCCACAAAGAGAAAACTATTTCAAGAAATTATGGATAATCTAGTCTAACATATCCGCATCATACGGACACAGCTCACCAAATATTCCTTCACCCACGAATGTAGGGCGAAAGTTATTTAAGAATTGAGAGGTTGGTGAGGTTGAAATGTAGCGCCGAAAATTGCATTTTTGTGTATCTCAAGTTTTTCATGCAGAACCTCTCATACTTGCTTTTGGGCAAGAGGTTGCCACATATTGCTCTATCTGTGGTAGAAAGCGTTCTACCCAACGATAACTTGGGAAAAAGTTAGAGCCGGTCGGGGAGAGACGAGAATTAACATTAAAGTCAATGGAGAAAATCATTACTATTAGTGATCCGGGACCAACCATAAGATATGCATTAATGCAACTGTCGTAGTGCTGTTTTCTTGGGGTTGTAACTAGGGCAATCCAGACATCAGACTATGTTACGGTAAAATATAGAAACGTGTTTACAGGCAAAGTATTAAAATAATTATATAATAATATTTGATAAGAAATGTTAATTTGTACATAAAGGAAACAGATGTTTAAATACGAAAGAAAGCACCCTTGCTATGTTCCTATATATAATTACGTCATATCGTTACATTAAGTATAAACTCAAACAGTCAAACGACTTGAAAGATTCATTGCGAGATATCAATTCGGACATTGGTAAAGGGCTACTTTAACAACAACTGTATAATAATTAGAATGTCTAATATAATACATTATAACATGGTTTTCTGCAATTAAATATGCCAAATAAAAAAAACTATATATAGCATAATGCTATGAGAGTATATATTGCGCGCTTTTAACCACAGCCCAGCTGGTGTATATAAACCAGAAACACTATTGTAACAGGCAGATAATACACTTATACCACAGTAATAGTGACCGTGTTTACTTTTAAAACGTAGTATTATATATGAATTATGACCTGTACGTATGAGACCTATATTGTCCAGTTAGGGAAAAAACCCAACCATCACCTCACGACTTGAACCTGTGTTTACATAAATTATACTGTGATTGTAAGATAAGAAAGATAATAGCTATCACATCAAAATATTTCCGACAAAATACTTTATTTGAGGTTTGAAATCGCAACAGGTAAGTTTCTTCATATCTTTTAAAAAAGGCTTTTTGAAAACTATTGCAGGTGTAGCAATGCAAATTTTTAAACACCATTAAATTATTAAACCTACATTATGCAAGAGCTAAATCTGCCAATTGCAGGTCTTTCTTTCGGCCTGAGATGTTATCTAAATTATTAATTAGACATTAATTACCTTATTCAGACCATAACCAACTCTCGATGTCATCGCTAGCCCGCAATATTTACTGGATTAGAATCCGATCTGCTGCTCAACGCTCATTGATGATTAAATCGAAAAATGGGTTGGATAGCCGAATGGTTAGCACGTGCGCGCTGTATCATAATGTCTGTCATTGAGGCAACTGGTGTCGTTTCAATCCCCGGTTGTACGTTACAAGTAGGGTCGCCTGTCCAACCTCGTGTAACAGGAGGGATGAAGTTGTTTTGTGTCGCTCTCGCATTGGTCATACTTTTTTAACTCATATTTTCATTTTGAAGCGAGAGCCTCAACCGGAATGTGTTCACTGTCATGTTCCTTTGACAGTGAAACACATCTTGATTGAGTGCAAACATCTCAAGAACATTAGATCTAAATATTACCGTTGCCAGTCAGTACGTCAGCTATTTGCTCAACCGGAGCTATATGACAAAGTGCTAACATTTTTAAAAGAGACAAACTTTTATAATCAATTTTAATTGTATATATTTAATCATGTATATCGTTTTAAATATTTATATATGTAAAAGATTTGTTATATTTATTTTTAATTAATATATTTTCTGTGATATTTGTTTTTATTTACATATATAAATTCATTTATGTGATATTGTTTTAATTTGTCTCAGATTCACCATATGTTTGGCGCAATATAGCCCGGTTGGAGCTGACGTGCCATAAAACCATATTTCATTCATTCATTCATTCCAACCTCGTGTGTTTTCTTCGGATACTCTGGTTTCCTCCCACTGCTAAAGACCCCTACGCACAAGCGAATTATTGAAATAAAATTGAGCCATATGTTAGTCCCGAAATGACCTGGTTTGTGTCGAGTGGACGTTAAACCCCATCCCCCCCCTCTCTCTCTTTACATTATCTAGTTTTGAACTATTATAGTGCGAACTACCAGCTCTTTATCTAATTTCCCAACGTTGAGCTATTGAAGACACACATACATCAGGCAGTCCGCTATTTTTTTTTTGGGGGGGGGGGGGCCTGGACAGCAACGTTTCTGCCTACGGGTTGACCTCAGTATTTTGTCTTATCTGAACACGGGCACACACCCCGGAGCCCACCCCTCACAATGGGAACCTTATAACCATATTTAGAGATGTTTCATCAAGCTCTAAGAAAATCATCGTTTAAATCAATGTGAACTCATTTCCCGCTAGTTTTACCCCGCCCCCTCCACACACGCACACCTGCTACCCCCACTCCACAAATCAAAAACAGTTGGACAGGGGCATCATATACACTTTTTATAAATATATACTCTTCTAAAAAAGTAGGGGATCATTGAAATGCAAATACCTATGCAGGGTGCGATATGATAAATAGTCGTGGACATTTGACATACTTTGAGAGTATGTTCACAGATGAAGAACTTATAGCCCCAACAGTATCACTGAGCTGCACATGCAACACGCAATAGCGCCATACACGTGAGAGGGGTTCATTGTCAAATTTGACACTTCAAGGAAGGGTTGATGAAAACTGCCGCGTGCTGGTTTATCTATCCATGTTTGCTTTCCTATCGGTTCTTGCATAAGATTTACTGTTTAGCGTATCTTTGCTTTAGTGTGTTACGTTTAATTTGATCGGGAGACGTGTTCGTCGACGCCAACGTCAACCGACAACACTGCAAGAATTGGCCGTGGCACTGCAAGAGGAGTGGGTCAGATTGCCCCAAATCGTGATTGGACGGTTGATTAGGAGCATGCCACGACGAATTGCTGAATGTCTGAGAATTGGTGGAGCAATTACTCATTATTAAGACAAAAATCAAAAACGTCCATTTTCACTTTTGACGGTGTATCCTTTTGCGAGTGAAATGGGGCCGTCAAATAAGCCACCCATATGAACAGTTTATGTTCATGTGTAGGCAATTGGCCTGTTATAAACATACACTGGTTACCTCAAATAAAAACAGCATTGCATGTCCGCAGTTTTGTATTGTTTCTAAATACCCCCTACTTTTTTTGAAGAGTATATAACATGATTATCCTTTATGTCAACATAATCATATTTCCCCCCAATTGTAGACATTGGGCCCTCGAAAACGCCCCATCAAATGCCTGATCACTAACCAGATGCGGAATCTACACAAAAAACTTATCTAGAAAAACTTGGTCTCATAAATTCACAGCTCGGGTGGCGATCCCCCCCCCCCCCCCTCGGAACGGAATATTAAATAGCTACATAAATACAACAGGAATATAATATTGACATCAACATGGTATATTATTATAGGATATGACTATATTTTAACCATTCTGCCCTTCTGCAGCAGCTGAACTCGGATGAGCCCATTCACCGGTCTCTGTTCCTCTCTTCTCCTCCCAGCTCGTCTCTCACCTGTCCCCCTTCTCTCCGTCTCTTCAACTATCAGCAAACTCCTGGTTATATAGAGTCCGACAAACGCTTGAGTCATGCTCATATATGGATGGGGGGGATCGCGGTGGCTTAGTAGGTAAGACGCTGGTTCCCTAGCCTGGAAATCGGGTGTTCGATCCGCGCAATAGCCGAGAAAGTTCATCCAGATGTTCCGCCGTGGTTCCCCCTTGTCAGTGATGCAGGGCGGGAGGGTGCTGTCCAGTCGTTCGGATGGGACGAAAAACCGAGGTCCCGTGTACACATTGGCGTGCACATAAAAGATCCCTTTACAATTGGAATTCGATATAAGAGTTGGCCGTAGTGCAAAATTTCCCCCATAGCACACTGTATGGCATATGGCCGTCTTGATTAGCCCAGTTGGAGCAGAACAGTAGGACTTTAAACCCCATTTCATTTCATTACATTTCCAATGTGCTGATGAGTAAACACAGTGCAACCGTTTTAAAATGTGTTCTACTTGCACACTATTCCCATTTCCGTGAAAAATGAAGTTATGCCGTTTTAACGTGTTAAAGTATTTCTACCATTTAATAGTTCTTAATAATAAACATATTAACAATTTTTTTTATCAATATGGTCCATTTAAAACTAGACACAATTTTCGTATTTTTAAAAGTTTAGCTAGTTTTAATGAAAGATACATTATGGGCGATAAGATAAAGAGATGACAGTTCTCGCTATAAAAGTTAAAAACTAGATAGTGTAAAGGTAATTTGCTGAAAATTTCAGTCAAATTGATCCACTATGAGCCGAGAAAGAAGCGGGTGAAATTTTTGCATAGTCTCGGTCATCATTACTAAAATCATTAATATAAACAGCATAGTCTCGATTATCCACTTTTATTGATTTAATTATCAATAGCCGTTAGCGGCATATAGGTATCTAATCCAGCCAACATCGAAGGCTAGCCTTGACATCGAGAGTTTATTATGGTCTGGATAAGTTAATTAATGTCTAATTGATAATTTAGATAACATTTCAGGCCTAAAGAAAGACTTGTAATAAGCAGATTTTGCTCTCGCATAATGCATGTTTAATAAACAAACACGCCTATTGTTTTTACTGTTCGTATTCCGCACTGAGCACAGACTAAAGTACAAAAAACACAATATGTGTACAATTTTTTCCAAAATACATATACGCCCCTTAATGACACATTTATCTAATAGAATCAGTGTCGAAGACATTAGCCCATTTTTTCTGTATGTACGACAATGGAATAACAATAAATAACCAACAATTTAGTAGGTAAACCGCCAATAACCTGCACTTTCTAGTACTATCCAGTTCTAGCCGACTTCTTGGTACTGACATTAATTGTGCCAAAATGACAACAATGTGTAACGACAAAACAATCATACACATTTTCTTGCGGTTGTTTAGTATGAGTGCTAAAAGCATAACACCACCGATATTTCAAGCAGAATAAAATTCGACATGAACGATTCTTGCAAACCTGTATCTTATTCATGTGCAGCCATCTGCAGCTCAATTTACCTATGGGGCAGGCGCAGAGGTTCAGTGAGTAAGACGTTGGCTCGCTAACTTGGAGGTCCCATGTTTGACCCCGATATTAGCCGAGCAAGTTCATAGTGATTTTCCTAGGTGCCCCCCCCCCCCACTTGTCAGTGGTGCAGGACAGAGAGTCTGGCAAGGGACACTTTATAGTCGTTCGGATGGAAAAAAAACCCATGAGGTTCCGTGGACACATTGGCGTGCACGTAAAAGAATTCGATATAAGAGTAGGCCGTAGCGCCTCTGCCGGAGCAAGATTTCCCTCATCGCACACTGAATGGTGTATGCAAGTCTTCATTAGCTCAGTCCCCGGTTGTACGGTGACAAGGAGTAGGGTCGCCTGTCTAATCTCGTGGGTACTCTCCGGGTCCTCCGGTTTGCCCCCACTGTTAAAGACCCCTACGTGCAAGCGAATTATTGAAATAGAATTGAACCATATGTTAGTCCGGAAATAAATGACCTAGTTTGTGTCGTGTGAACATTAAACTCATTAAATATCATTGAAGTCTTTCCGGCGTGGTTTCCCCTTGTCAGTGATGAAGGACGGAGGGCCTGACAAGGACAGCTATCTAGTCGTTCGGATGGGACGAAAAACCGAGGTCCCGTGTACACATTGGCGTGCACGTAAAAGACCCCTTGGCAGTTGGAATTCAATATAAGAGTAGGCCGTCCCTTCTCGGCCAACGAAAGTAGGGATAGTACACGGAACCTCCAGTTTAGCGAGCCAACGTCCTACCCACTGAGCTACCGTGGCTCCCCATATTATAGGCATGCAGTCTAGTCCACATATTCAATAAAAATAGCGTACAAGTTTTTCATTTTTTAAGTTCCATATTGTATGGTTTACACGGGTTTTAAAATATTTAGTCGTGACTGGATAAAACATTAGCAAATATAAACAATCATTTGTGTAGATGATGTAAAATTTTTGATGAAATTAATTTCCGAACTGTGATCATCGTGAATTTTGAATTATACTATGCTAGTTGCTGCTGAAGTTTCTTTTTTGTTTTGTGATTTAAGTACCGATTTTTCGATCCTGGAATTTCGATTCGGGAAAAGCAAGGTTCAATAAACCATCCTGTCAAAATACAGCCTCTATCACTGTTTTAGGCACACAGATGAATTCGTCTCTGTTTCTTTCAAATATCAAAGCTTGCATGATAACCTTAAAAATAAAGTATTCCCTTTCCGATGTACAACGACTCCTTTGAATACAATGTAAAGATTTCATTTTTCTTCTCGTTTCAGATTTCATCATAATGTTTCTCCGCGCCTCACCAAGATTTCTGAAAAGGTCAGCGGGAGTGATCAAAACCGATGTTTCAAATTTCAGATCGGTTAATTCATATTGTTTTAAAGACAGATTAACGAGTAGAATGTTTACTAAAAGTGAGCCTTTGACAACATATTTTAGATCAATAAGCACCACAAACTATCAAAGACAATTAAATCAACCTGTGCATCCCGAAACCCTTCCCCGACCCGGAGGTATTGCTACCATGATGCGTCTACCATATCAAGAAACAGCAGATGGACTAGATGCTTGTTTCGTTGGGGTTCCTATGGATATTGGTACTGGATATAGATCGGGAACCCGTTTCGGACCAAGACATATTCGGCATGAGTCAGTGATTCTGAGAGCTGTCAACTGCAGTACAGGAGCAGAACCCTTCGATTCCCTACAAGTTGCAGATATTGGCGACGTGAATCTCTGCATGTACGATGTCCAGGAAGCTTGTAGAAATATCGAGGATCAGTTTCAAGCCATCGTGGATACTGGATGCAAACCACTTATCATGGGAGGTGACCATACCATTACTTACCCCATCCTTAAAGCTATCAAAAATAAATATGGACCGGTTGGTTTAATTCAAGTTGATGCCCATCCTGATACTTCTGATTCTATTACTGGACATAAGATCCTTCATTCCACACCCATTCGTCGTGCTTTGGAAGATGGTTGTTTGATTGCTAACAAGGTCGTGCAAATCGGTTTAAGAGGGGGAGGTTACTCTCCTGACAATTTCAAGTGGGGAAAGCAGCAAGGATTTAGAGTTGTGCGCGCTGAAGACTGTTGGCATAAATCTCTGGTTCCTTTAATGGGCGAAATTCGGGAAATGATGGGCGATTCACCCGTGTATTTGACCTTTGACATTGATGGCCTTGATCCTTCTGTTGCCCCAGGCACTGGCGTGATAGAACAAGGTGGACTTACCGGTATTCAAGGACTTGAGATTATTCGTGGCTGCAAGGGATTGAGTTTAGTTGGTGGTGATGTTACAGAAATTTGCCCTCAGTTTGATCCTACTGGTAGAACCTGTCGTCTTGGAGCTGATCTGCTATACGAGTTATTGTGCGTCTTACCAGGTGTCAAATATCATGACCTGTAAAAAATCTGCTTTTTAAAACACACATAATGCAAGAGCTAAATCTCTCTATTGCAGGTCTTTCTTCAGGCCTGAAATGTTATCTAAATTATTAATTAGACATTAATTAACCTATCCAGACCATAATCAACTCTAGATGGCCTGCGATCCTTAGAGGATTATGAGCCGATTTACTGAATAACTTTCCTTCACGATTTAACGATTAAATGGATAATCGAGACTATGCTGTTTATCGTACTGACTTTAGTAATGGTGATCGAGGCTAGGCGGAAATTTCAATCGCTTAGTTCTCGGTTCATAGTGGATCAATTTGAATGAAATTTTTGGCAAATCGCCTTAACATTATCAAGTTTGTAACTATTATAGTGAGAACTGCCAACTCGTTATCGAATCTCCCATAACGTATCTTTAAGGCAGTTGCTAAACACTTTTTTTTGTCAATAAACAAATAAAATAAATTGTTTAAAAAAATCAATTGAAATATAAAAATATTGTATATATTTTCAACAAATTACAAAATAATAAAAATAAAATAAAAAAAAAACAAATGTAGAAATACTTTTTTGTATCATAAATCTGTCCAAGTTACCTCGAAATAATAGATATATTTATGATGTTTGGTATTCATATACGAGCGTAATTCAACTCCATGTTACCTTGTATCGAAGATATTAAAATGTTGATCTGTTTTTACGAACCGTGGTGGCTCAGTGACTAAACGTTGGCTCAGTAACCTGGACGTCCCGTGTTCGCTCCTGGTGTTGGCCGAGAGTGTTCATCCGGATTTTTCGGTGTGTTTCCCAGTCGGTGCAGAACAGTACGGCGTTACACTCCATTTCATTTCATTTCATTTTTAAAGGCAATTGGTGGCCACAGTGGCTCAGTGAGTACAAAGACGTTGACTCCCAAACCTGAAGATCCTGTGTTCGATCCCGGTGTTGGTCGAGAAATTTCATCCGGATTTTCCGGTGTGTTTCCCCCTTGTCAGTGGTACAGGACAGAGGGCCTGGCAAGGGACAACGTATAGTCAGTCGTTCGGGTGGGATAAAAAAAAACCCCTGATATTTGCTTTAAAAGGCTTGTGTTACAGGACATCATAACGTCGGTCGGTACTCAAAAGGTCGTATCTGAATTTTGCGAAATTGTCCAGGAGAGCAAAAAACACACAGAGGTTAAGAATCAAAATGTCTTATAAAACCGTCACGTCGAAATGTCGTATGTAAAATGTCGTATTTCTGAAACTTTTCTTATATATTTCTGTACAAAGTGTATGTGTAGCCATTAAACAGTATGTAACTATCCGCACATATCAAGCTCAACATCTAGTGCAGAAATAAAGAGTGAAAGCTGATTAGGCCCTATTTGCAATTTTATACAGCAAAGTCGTATCTCAGGAAAATATATACAATATCTATAAAACGAGTTTTATTGTCTTGAAAATACGACAACTAGATGAAAAGATTCGCAAGAAAATTCTCATTCTAAAGAAGCAAAAAAGTGAATTTCGCAAAATATGCCAGATACTACGTTTTGACTCCCAACCGACGATAAGCATTTTATGAGGAGCCAAATCCCTTGATATTTAATTGCCGGGTTCGAATCCTGGCGTGGGCGATAAATCATCTCGGAATTTTTACAGTCCGGTTCATACCGGTAAAGTGTTACCTAGTCCTTTAGTTCGACGAAAAAAACCTACATCCACATACATGTGAAAGAACGTTTAAGTCGCAGTCTCCAATTTAGGGAGAGGCGACCCTACTCCTTGTCACGTACAACCGGGGAATCGAAACAGACCTCATGATACAGCGCACACGCGCTTACCATTCGCCCCCCCCCCCGGTATGTCTCCAAATGTATCGATTTCCTTGAAAAGGGAATCAGTTCCCATCCCCATATATCGAACAGCAAATAACTACAATTAAAGTCTTTAACACACAAATCTTTGTCATGTTTGATCCTTAACATTCGTCTGGTTTGAATAATCCGAAAGTCCCCCCCTCCCCCCAACAAAAAAAAGAACAAAACCAATACCCAAAATCCAAAACACCTCCCCCCCAAAAAAAACCAAAAAAAAAAAACCCAAAAAACAAACAGACTCCAAAAAACAAATAAAAGACAAAAAGAAAGAAAGTATAATTTATTGTTATCGACTGACTCTTCAATTCGGCGTTACGGATCAACCGCAGCAAGGATCTCCATGTTCTAATTTATTTGAAATGTGTATAAATGGTTAACACCAAAATTGTTCTGGCAAGTTAACATCTATGAAATAGATGAATGCCTGTTGTTCATGCTAGACCTTATCACACTACAACAATGCCACATCTTTAGTAAGATATTATCAGGTGCAATAATATTATCATTACTTATGTTAAAGTAATTGACCATATGTAATATAAATTGTGTTCTTTCTTATTCGATGTAATTAATGAATGTATAATTATAATTAATTATCTAGTATGTAGTGATACTTACTTCAGTATGAATTGGAAGATAAATAATCGAGATATCACCCTCCATGGAAGCAAACGTAAAAAAAACCGGATAGGCATATTTTGTCAGACCATGTTTAGGCTATATCACGGGCGCCTGTGGAATCTCTTTCAAAAATAAAATTAAGCAGCGGCTAGGATGTATGCTTAAAGGACGAAAGTCGCTAACACAATATCACGCACAGCTGTCGACATTGCAAACAAGATTTATTGGTCAATTTAAACCAGTAGTGGGATGAAACTACCTGCTCCCCTTTTAAATTTAAGGGTAGACAATTAAATGTTTTCATGCAGTTTTGTATCTCAAGATTTCTATGGTATACTGGTCTTGCGATTAAGGTTCCCCCATTAAAAAAAAACCAACAACACCAAACTGATGTCTTAGACATCTGTGGTTTTACCCAAAGTGCTCTTTGTTAATAAATGTCTAATTAAAAGTTTATACAACATTGCAGGCCTAAAGAAATAATAAAAGGAATAAAACAAATCATTTTTCATAAGTCAGTTAACGCATTAATCTTTTTAGTTTCCTCCATCTAATTGTGTCACATGACCTTGCTAGCTAGGATCTGATTTACCATGGACCTTAAATAAGGTCCATGGATTTACTACATGATTTAGTATTTAGCCTTTAAGACTTTTGCAAGTATTTCTCTTACGGAATGGGATACATATGGATGGAGTAAGCGCAAACACCATATTAGATAAAGGGAGACGAATCTAGCTGATTGTGACAACAATATATTAAGACTTGATAACCGGGCCAATATTAATTAGAGGGAAATAACTCCAATTTACCGACGTCACACTTGCCTAACACATGGCAATCCTGTTATGAAATCCTTTCATAAATATATTGTTGATTTTGACCATAATTTATAATATAGGAGTGATTGACAGTTTCCAAAATGCAGGCTCTATCAGAGGATGTCTTGACATCAACAAACACTATGTAAGTTCCATTCCTGGATTACCAGAGGGTTCAGGAAAAAGACAAACTTTTTCACTGTATGCCTACTACTATAGTATACTATGTATCTGTAAAGTCACAAAAGTGTAATTTTTTTTCATGAATGAATCCATATTATGACTGTGATGATCGATGAGTATCTTTTATTCTTTATCATCTGATTTAGATCGAGATCTAATGTAAATATGAAATAAATGTCGGCGCTATTGCACTTTCGCACTTCTACCAGTTACCCGTGGTTGTAGCTACTAAGCTAGAGACTTGAAATTGTGTGAGGTCATGGCTAGTTCGCCTTAATAACATCTCCTGAAAATTTCAAGTCTCCATGACCACGGGAACCGGTAGAGGTGCGAAAGTGCAATAGCGTCTAAATTTCTAGACAGCAGCATGTGGGAATATTAGATTTTGTTGTGAATGGTTATACTTTTGTTTGGGGCATGCTCAATGTTGACGTCAACAAATGCCAAAAGTCAACCACAGCCCAGGCATATTTGATTCCACAACTTGAACTTCTTAACTAAGATTAAGAAAGAAGGCCAAAAATTTTTATAAAAAACACCAGTGTTTTTGGTTGGACGACTGACCCTATAATTTTTAGCTCAAATGACCAACTTTAAACTGTTTTTCCTCATCCCTTTTCTTATGAATCAGTCTTGTGCCAAGTTTTGGTTTTCTGCAGATATTGAACTTTAAGTAGGCCATATTTATAACAGTCCGAATCAGCATTATTAAACAAACCTTATGCAAGAGCTAAATCTGCCTATTACAGGTCTTTCTTTAGGCCTGCAATGTTGTATAAACTTTTAATTAGACATTTATTAACAAAACAAGACCATAATCAACTTTCGATGGCATCGGATACTCAAGATTTTAACTAGATTAGAATGGTTCGCCATTTAAAAATTTAATTTAAAAGTGGGAAAGCGAGGCTAAGTCTCAAATATCAGCACCCTGGTTACCACTATGCACACATCTTGTCAAGACTACACACAGTGATAACTTGGCTCAGAATGAAGTAATTTGAATGAAATTTTCAATATTTTCATTTTACATTATCTATTTTTGAGCTATTATAGTAAGAATGGTCAGCTATTTATTTAAATCTAATGTTTAAGTTAGAAATGCTAGGAAACAGTTAATAAACACATTCAGGTTTTTAGAATAACTTATTAACACCACAAAGGCTTTAGAATGCAAGTATATTGAATGGTGGAATTTAGGGATGTAGCCTATCAAAGATCCTGGAGAAGGGAGTCCACAAACAGGGTTTATAGGTGACCCTACTCTATCACGTATAATTAAAGCTGGGAGTGTAATTAAACTCATGATAGTTACATGGTTGACAGGCCTTATAAACCGTGTAAATTTCACTCTATCCTGCCATATCCATTGCCCCAGTAAATGATATTATGGAGTGAAATTTCAAAGGGTGATCATTAAAAGTGTCTAAATGTAAAAATCCTATACATTATAATATACATAGTGTTATGTGAGTGTGATTTATTTTCTATATTTCAGTTTGTGTTGTTTATGTAGTGCACAGATTGAACCCAACCCTTCTAATATGTGTGTTGCTTGTTTAACAACACAAGTTGATATTACAGAAGGAATACCCAAACAAGGTGTTCTTTATTTCTGTAGAGGTTGTGAAAGGTAAAGTAATATGTATAAAAAGAAAACCAGACATTTTACAAAATAAAAGTTTTCTTTTGTAATCATTAGCTTCAATAAGGGAAATAACACATAAAAAGCTGTAGCTAAAAATTGATAATCTATGTAAATAGGTGATTTGTGCATTAATTGCCTGATGCTCTCTACAACCGATGTGTTGACATTTCAGCCTAGTCATGTCCTTTGCAAGTTCGGGGGGTTGGATGGCCGAATGGTTAGCACGCGCACTGTATCATGCGGTCTGTCATTGAGTCAACTTGGCGGGGTTTCGAATCCCTGGTTGTACGTGACAAGGAGTAGGGTCGCCTATCCAACCTCGTGGGTTTTCTCTGGGTCCCCAGGTTTCCTCCCACTGCTAAAAACCCCTACGCGCGAGCGAGTTATTGAAATAAAATTGAACCATTTGTTAGTCCCGAAATGACCTAGTTTGTGTCGAGTGGACGTTAAACCCCATTTCTCTCTCTCTCTCCCTTAGCAAGTTCTGTGCCATCAGGGCTGTTACTTTTAGATCACTATCTTTCTGTACTAAGTGCAGAGTTTTGATGGGTTTTTTTTACCATACGGGGACTTACGCCAGAAAAGTTGTATTAGACTACAGTGATTATGATATTATTGCATATTTTATAAGCACTTACATGTTTAATTTTTTTTAGGATATTACAAAAGTTGGAGTATTGTACCTTAACATGATGTTTTATAGAATTGTTCAAATCAAGTTAAGTTTATGAAATTTTCAATTTTTCAGATATTTACAACCACCGTCAACATGGATTACAGCTCACCTTGAATCTAGAGAACTTCTTAGTTTATGTTTGAAGAAACTTAAGGGTCTTGCAAAGGTAATAATTACTCATTGATACTTGCACCAACGAATTACTCATTAATTGCCTAAAATACAGGTGTATACATATAATGAAGTAAAGTCTGTGGGGATATTAGTGGTTTAAAGTCTTGTCCAATGAAAACCGGGCTTGAAAAATCCTGAAAGTTCTCCTAGTGACAGGGAATAGGGTTGCCTGTCCAACCTCGTGGGTTTTCTCTGGGTCCTCTGGTTTCCTCCCACTGCTAAAGACCCCTACGCCCAAGCGAATTATTGAAATAAAAATTTGAAAAACATGTTAGTCCCAAAATGACCTAGTTTGTGTCAAGTGGATGTTACCCCTCTCTCTCTCTCTCTCTCTCTCTCTCTCTCTCTCTCTCTCTCTCTCTCTCTCTCTCCAGGCCAGTGCCAAACGGCTTTAAATTTTAAAGCCTTTCATGGTTAATAGGGTAATGGAGTTTATAATCTTCTTAAAGTTGTGTGAATTATATTTTTCAGGTAAATTTAGTGGATGCTGGTTTTATTTGGACAGAACCCCATTCTCAAAGAATTAAAGTTAAGCTCAGTGTTCAAAAAGAGGTATTTAATTGATTTTTTAAAAAAATATTCAAAACAAATTTGTAATGATATTAGAATAGGTGTAGGCAAGCAAATTTTTAAAGTGAATAAAAACACATAATTGCGGTATCAATAGTTTCATTTTGCTAAGATAAAAACATCCTGAAAATTTCAACTGATTATCTCTAGTAGTTTGTGAAATATGGCCAGTTACAGGATTTGGGGTACCCACCAACTTCGGACATAGCAAAAATAAGTGGTTTTGACCCCCCATATATCAAAAAGTAAGCTTTTTACACAACTGTAACTTCTTTAACATAGAGTACCTACTGCCTTGTTGGAATAAATGCAAGGAAATGCCTGTGTCTTCACTCCTGTTGAAACTGTTGACCCTTTAAAATGACATTTTTAAGCCACTGCCCATGACAAAATCTGCTTCTGGAGCCATTTGACCCCTCCATAAAATTAATTCTAAGTGTACCGCAGGTTTTTCCTTCCACATATCAGCTGACAATGGCCCCCATAGTAACCCTAATTCTTTTGACAGCCTTGAAAAGGCCCTAAAGAAAGATATCAGACACAGAAAATGGTCCCAGCCACTGTTTTGCTCCGCGGGAGCAAAAAAGCCGAAAAATGCCCGTTTTCATTAGCCCCGTCTCGTATCACATCACCTTTACAGAAATGGATAATATATTTTTGTGTATTTGAGAACTAAAATAAATAATTTCAAAATCCATGCTGTCTTTATTGTATTCATACTAAATTTATCACAGAAACATTTATAAATTCAATTCAAAGTGTGAAAAGAAATATTGTTGTAAAATTTACATATTTATGAGCCTTTCCACCAATCAGGTATTTCGTCGACTTAGTCACGTGACAAAATATACATACCTGATTGGTGGAAAAGTAAACAGAAAGTAACTGAAGTCACAGGTCGAAAATGAAAACTACCCGTTACTGTTAAAAGACGTTTTCTAAATTCATGAAGACGATAGATAATTCAGAATCCTAGCTTCGCTGAATATGTATTCATATATCTAGCTGACTATGTTGCCAGAATGCTTGAATTCAGCCGTGAAAAAAAATTAAAACCAGTGTTTTATTACCGAGTGCTTTGTTCGTTTGATATATTTTTAAATTACACATCGTCAGAACACGCCAAATATAAATATATGGGGAATAGTTTACGGATATGCTTTACATATAGTCTTATTCTTAATATGTTTCTGAATAAAATCATGATTTTACTTACATATTTCTGCAATTAGAGGGGCCGGAATGTTAAAAACCGAACAGCTATTTGAGCAATGACGTCACTAGCGTACGGCAGTTTGCATGCTCTTGGCTTGCGCTACCTTGGAACAACAGGTGCCGGAGAAAACGGAAAAAATATAAAATCTAAAGATCATAACGAACATTTTTGTACCTAGTTTTGCTGTATTATTTTGATGGGTTCTATGCTTATTTTGCTGCTAAATTTGGGGTTTTATAAACTACTTAAAATTTTCAATTTTTTTGGCATCCAACGGCCGGATTACGGCCTTTGCGGCTGAAACGAGTCATTTAAAATTCCCTTTTTACTGTTTCTCTTGCAATAAATATATAAATAGTGTATCAGTGATAAAGAGAAAGAAAAGACGATTGCAATGGTGTAATTTATTTCAAAATTGATACGATAGTTATTTAGTGACGATCATGGAAATATGACCATGTTTTCTACTAATTAGCGACAATGTCACACATTCCACCGCTTTGTCTTAGCCGTTGCCTATACCTAATTAGAATATCATTACAAATTTCTATTCTGTTACATAAAGTATGCAATACTACCTATAATAATCTCCATAGTTGACAAGACTATATTCTTAATCTAGATGATTTAATCTTCGACAATAAGAGATAAATAATGGACAAATTGCTTATTCTATACTTTAGATCAATTTACTATATATTAATTAGGGGTCATGGTGGCTCGCTAGCCTGGAGGTCGGGTGTTCGATCCCAGCATTGTCCGAGAAAGTTCATCCAGATTTTCCGGTGTGGTTCCCCCTTGTCAGTGATGCAGTACGGAGGGCCGGACAAGTACAGCTGTCTAGTCATATTCGGATGTGATGGAAAACCAAAGTCCTGTGTACATATTGGCGTGCACGTAAAAGATCCCTTGACATTTAGAATTCGATATGAGAGTAGACTGTAGTGCCGCTGTACGGGCAATATTTCCCTCATAGCACACTGTATGGCGGATGCCAGTCTTCATTAGCCCAGTTTAGAGCAGAACAGTTAGGACGTTAAACCCCATTTCAGTTCATTTCATTTATAATTAACCTAACAATATATCTGTATCTACCAGAAAAGTTATATATCTGACCTGAAGAAATCATTGTTATCTTAAAAAGAAATTAAAAGGGTGACAGTACACAAAAGATGGCGCAAAAGCAGGGACAAATGACAAAACTAACGATAAATAATAAACAAATTATATTAAAGTAACCAAAACTAAAAATGGTAATGTTTTTCAACTGCTATCATTTGCCAAAACTAATAATCTAACTAAATGTTCTAACATCTGACAAAGAGTATTTTGTATTTAGCGATGACTTTCAGAAATGTGAATGGATGTATTTTTTAGGTAGTAAATGGTGCTATATTACAACAAGTATTTGTAGTAGAGTTTACTATTAATGGCCAGTTCTGTGAAGATTGTCATCGTGTAGAAGCTAAAGATTTCTGGAGAGCTTTAGTTCAAGTCAGACAAAAGGTGTGTAAGAAATAATTTTCTTTTTATTCAAATTAAAAATAATTTTGATATATTCAAAATTAATACCCTCTATTTTCTACACATCTTGTGTGGAATTTAACACTCGAAGAAAAGTCTTGTTCATTTCTAGTATTTGCTGATAATCTATGTGCAAGCATATAACTGTAAGGTTATAAAGTAATGTTATTGGACCACACGTAATGATCACTCGCTTTTGGCAATTTCGATTTTCTATTTACTTATGTTGTTGGTATTCTAGGTTAATTTAGGCCAACCAATCCAAAAAGACTCTCTCATTGAATGGAACTAAGAAAATAAGCGATTGGAATGTGATTATTTTTATAACTTTGAAATAACAGATACGTTTTCCTTCATTGATATTTTTCTCTTTTTTGTCAGACTGATCATAAGAAGACGTTTTATTACCTAGAACAGCTGATATTAAAACATCGAGCTCATACTAAAACTAACAACATTAAAAATACTGATGGTGGTTTAAACTTTTATTATGTTAATCGTGATGATGCCAGAAAAATGACAGATTTTCTCACGTCACATGTTCCTTCCAGGTATGTAATAAATTATATGTCCTGCACGTAGAGACTTGGGCAATGAGCTTAATTTCAGTCTTTAATTGACTTGGTTATAAAGTTTTGTACTTCTACAGTTTTGGGTTAGATGCATGTAACATTTGATTCTAAACTTGTAATATGATACAAGGGAAAAAACCTCTGTAACACTGTGGTGCAAACTTTTGTAATACTTTGGCAGAAATTTCTCTTTGTAACACTTTGTTTACAAACTCCTATTTGTAACACATGGACAAAATTGTCTTATCTGTAACACTTTCTGTAATGCTTGTGGCAACATTTACGAAAATTATAATTGCCTCAAATTCGATAAATTAATGTTTGTGATTTTATGATTTAAATTTTGTTGAATATATTCTGGTACCATTACTAACTAAGTTTCTTTCTCATTTACGACTTCAGTGGAAATAAACTATGTTTAGCTCAAGATAATGATCATTAATGTTTTAATATAATCGTATTGTATTTCTTCTATAGGTATCAGATGTCTAAACAGTTAATATCACATGATATACATAGTAATAAATATCAGTATAAATTTACTTTCTCCGTTGAAATTATTCCTGTTTGTAAGGTATGTATAATTGTAACTTGTTTTAATGGGAAATTTCATGTTGAAGACCACCTCAAACTTCAGGGGAGGTAATTCCTAATTGATTGCAAGGGGAATAAATTGGGAGATGTTTTGTACAAATTAGTTGAACAAATTAAAAGAAAACCAATGCAATCACATTTTGTGATTTTGATATAATTGTCAGGTTTAGATATCATAAATCAGTTTTTATACGCCCACACTTCGGTTGATAGTATCTTTTTACTATTTTTCGCTTTTGCGGAGCATGGCAGTCTAAAACACCTATAAAAAGGTTATACCAAGTATCAAGGGCAGAATTTGGGTCATCAATTGACTCGACTAGTTCAAATGGAATTTTAGCAAGATCATTAATAAAATTAGAATCATCAAAGTTTTTGTAATTTCTGTATAGAATTTCCAAGTGGTTGTGTTTTGTGATTTTTCTCTTGCAGTTTCCAATGATAAAAATAATCGGAAAATGGTCACTAATACCATATTGAGGAACTTTAATTTCAACAATATTATCCGGTGTGTTTGTATATAGATGGTCAATGACAGTAGAAGAATTTTTAAAACAGCGTGTAGGGGCAGTAATTAATTGATGTAATCCCTGCATATTGATTATGTTTTCCCATCGTTTTGGAACAGTAGTTGAATAATCTATATTAAAATCTCCTATTACATAAATAGATTGACCAGTATTTATGGAATTTAAACTAGTTTCAAAATCATCAAACCAACCTGTACACGAAGAAGGTGGTCTATATACAAGACATAATAAAAATGATTTTTCATATTCTGGATGGAGTTCAATCCAAATGGATTCGATATTTTGATGTTCATAATCAAGTTTTCTTGAATATTTTAGATCTGAATTTACATATAAGATAAGGCCTCCGCCACTTTTGCTCAGTCGATCTTTTCTGATCAGATCATAACCAAAGATATTAATAAATTTATCGTCAATTTCAGAATGTAAAAACGTTTCAGAAAAGCCCATGACATTAAAATTTTCATTGTTTAATGAGGAAATAAATAAAGCCCGAAAGTTCAGGGACTTCTTTAAAGCCTCCAAGAGGTGTGACGACTATAGAATATGGAGAAATAAAACCAAAAATCTCATTAATAAAGCCAAAAAAAACTTTATCAAGGACTCTATCGAAAATGAAGAGCAATCTAAAAACATATGGAGATATTTTAGTGACATACAAAATAAACCCAATAATTGCCCTTATCCCAATAGTATTAAATATGGAAAAACAACAGTTAATGATCTAAATGCTATTGCTAATGTGATGAATGATTACTTCACTAATTTAACTGATGACATTAAGCCCCCCTATACACCACTTTCTCAAGAGTGCAAACGAAAGATATCAGATTACGTAAATGATAAGATTCCCCCAAATAACAACTTTTCTATTAATTGTATTACTACCACAGAGGTATTAAAACATTTATTGAGTTTAAATAGTAACAAAGCCATTGGGTGTGATGGTATTGGACCCAAAATTTTAAAATTGTCTGCGTATACAATTTGTAGCAGTTTGACATATATCATTAATCTTTGTATTTCTCAAAACATGTTCCCCAGTGCCCTTAAACTGGCTAAAATTATTCCTATACATAAGAAGGGAGCTAAAGATGATCCGAACAATTATAGGCCAATCTCAATTCTCCCCACAATTTCAAAAATATTCGAAAGGCACTTGAGCACTCAAATTCAAACTTATTTGGAAACCTTCAATGTTCTTTATGCTTACCAATCTGGATTTAGATCAAATCATTCATGTGCTACTGCACTGATCCGAATGACAGATAATTGGCTTGATGCTATCGATAATGGTGCGATGAGTGGTATAGTGTATCTTGATTTTAGCAAAGCATTTGATCTCATTGATCATAAGCTTATTATTGAAAAACTACATCTTTATCGATTTGATAATAATTCACAAATTTTGATTGAATCATATCTTGACTCACGGAAGCAAAAAGTATGTTTAGGATCAATTACCTCCTCAATTACTACAGTCAAATGCGGGGTTCCACAAGGTTCGATCCTGGGTCCTCTCCTATTCCTAATTTTTATAAATGATCTCCCACTCAATATTGAATCAAGTCAGATAGATTTGTTTGCTGATGACAGTACCCTGCATTGTTCACACAAAGATATTTTATCCATCGCCAAAAATCTCCAAAATGATCTCTATTTGGTTGCTGAATGGTGTGAAAACAATGGGATGGTAATCAATCCTTCGAAAACAAAATCAATGCTGATTTCAACAAAACACAAAAGAAATCAGAAAAACCTAACTTTATCACTCCATGGTGAGAAAATTGAGACGGTTACTACCGCAAAATTACTTGGAATTCAAATTGACCAAGACCTTAATTGGGAAGCACAGATAGCAGATATGTCTAAAAAACTTGCATCAAAAATATTTCTCCTAAATAAGATAAAAGATCATTTACCTTACGAGACAAGAATTTTGTTTTATAACAGTTACATACTACCAATACTTGATTATTGCTCTATTATTTGGGGAAATGCTACCAAAAGTAGATTAGACATTCTTTTAAAATTACAAAAGAGGGCAGCAAGAGCTATTCTTGATGCACCGATTGAAACTCCGTCCACCTCTTTATTTACTAAACTCGGTTGGCTTACCCTTACACAGAGGATTCTTTACAATAAAATTGTCTTATCATTCAAAATTATTACATTTAATACTCCACTTTATCTAAATTTCCATTTTATTGAAAAATCTCTTGTTTCCAAAACGGATATCTTGCTCCGTTCACAGACCAGTAAATCTCTTTTTCTTCAAAAATGCAAAACGGAATCCATGAAACGTACTTTTCATTATTCTGCATGTCTTTTATGGAACAATCTGCCTTTTGATATAAAGATGTGTAAAAATGTTGAAAATTTTAAGATTAAACTGAAAACTCATTTATTTTGCACACTGAAGGAACCATAATATTCAACTGATGACATACTTATTATTTTTAACTTGCAACTGCATTCTATTTTATTTTGTGTGTAATTATAGTGTTCTTCCTATATTCTACTTGTATAATGTATATGTTTTGTAGTTTGGGAGTGACTTATCAAACTTCCCACTTTAAAATGCTATTGCATTTCTAATGATTTTAAATTTATCCTGATATTACATGTATATATGTCTTTGTAGTTTAGGAGGGACCTATGGAAGATTAGTTTTTTTTTTGCAAACTAAATACGTTGCCTCATTAAATAAAGTTTTTATTATTATTATTATTATTATTGAAATGTGGTCGTATATTGTTGTCACCCCTCTCCGGCGGTCCGGCGTTCACAATTGCTTGTGGACGCTCTATAGGCTAAAGTTAATATCTGATTGACTTTAAATTTATACACAGTGTTTAAGGTCATAGACGAAGAAGCCTATTGATTTTCAGCGATTTCCGATAATTACTGCCAGAGTTATGGCCCTTGTGGACGCTCTAGAGGTCAAAGTTAATATCCGATTGGCTTTAAATTGATACACAGTGTTTAAGGTCATGAGACGAAGAAGCCTATTGATTTTCAGCGATTTCTGATAATTTTTGCCAGAGTTATGTTCCTTGATCACTTTGAAAATTCTAGTGGACACTCTAGAGGCTAAAGTTAATATCCAATTGATATTAAATTTATGAACAGTGTTGAAGACCATGAGACGAAGAAGCTTATTGATTTTCAGCGATTTCCGATAATTTTTGCCAGAGTTATGGCCCTTGATCACTTTGAAAAATCTTGTGGACGCTCTAGAGGCTAAAGTTAATATCCGATTGACTTTAAATTTATACACAGTGTTTAAGGTCTTGAGACGAACAAGTATATTGATTTTCAATGAATCTTTATGACTTGAACAGCTAAATCCATGATGTTAAAAGTTTTGTATACTAAACATTAGCATGGGGCAGAACTTTATAAAAACCAAACAAATTCTAATGGTTTTCTGATAATTACTTAATGAGTTGTTACTCTTAATCAGATTTTAATGTATTATAAATGTTTCAACTTTTGTTGACTGCCCGGATGATATAGCTGCTGTGGGCGTATGTTTTGTTGCCTGGCAACCTATCTTTATTTATATATCTAAGATAAGCCAGTGAAGGAACTCGTGGGAGTAGCGCCTTTACATTGTGCCCATAGTTTTTTTGTGTATGATGAGTGAAAGGATTACCATTGATTCAGGGTGATACTTCATCAATTGCCAAGTAATTATGGAAACAAATTATATGATAATTCAGGGTGATAGCTGATCAGGTTCCAGTAATGAATGGTTTGTATTTACAGAATAATATTGTATATTTACCTAAGAAACAGTAATAAATTATTTGTATTTACAGGATGATGTTGTATGTTTACCTAAGAAATTAGCAACAAGTAAAGGAAATATAAACCCACTGTGTATCTGTTATAGTGTATCACAGTTAATACATGTTATAGATCCTTTTACGTTACAGAGTAAGTTTTATATATTGTTTAAGTGGCATTTAGTAACTGGATGAGAATAACACATGACACAATTTTATGGAATACAAGTTACTTGAAGAGTTTATTTCAGCGACGTTTCGACGAGGGTTCTCCCGTTTTTATCAAGCAAAAAAAAAAAGACAGGAGAACCCTCGTCGAAACGTCGCTGAAATAAACTCTTCAAGTAACTTGTATTCCATATGATTGTGTTGTGTGTTAAGTTTTATATATTTGTATTATTTGTTGATTTGTGTGCCCCTGAAATTTGTAAAGTTTAAAAAATGAATCCTCTCTATTTGATACAATATATTGTGGGAAAAATAAATCCAGATATCACAGGATAGTCAACTAGAATAATCTGGTGGCAGGGTTTGACTTTGTTCCCATTCTGTCTTGGTATTTTACTATATTTTAGATACAAACTAAGTGGCCTTATTCTTGATATTTTCGTAAAGTTATAGGTCAACAAGGTAAAAAATTGAAATGGATGACAAATATAATACCAAATCAAAGGTTTTTTTTTATTAAAAATAAAATGGTAGGCGTGTTGAATATACAATACAGTATTTAACAGACCTAAGTAGACTTTATAATAATATTGAAGATATACAATACAGTATTTAACAGACCTAAGTAGACTTTATAATAGTATGTATAATTGATAAGAGATATGACACAAAATTAAAGGTTTGTACTAATAATAAGCAATTGTGGTTGTTGAAAAGCACTCTAGAAGAGTATTACATAAAGAAAATGAGATATATTTGAAGCAACATTATATATCTTTTCTCAGCTGTGGTATAATAGGTAGGCCTACCGTTATATGAGAACAAAAACAGGGTTCCACGTCTGTACACTTTTGTGTGCATGTACAAATATAGCAGACCTTATGAACTAAATCAAATTTTTGATTTTCAGTTGCAGATATTTCTGGTACCAACTACTGGCACGATCAGTTTCAGAGTTTAACAACACCTAAATCATTAGCAGAATTCATGATCATGCAGATTGAAATAGTTGCTGATAAAGATAAACCCCATGTAGAACCCATTTCTAAAAAGGTAAGATAGTTTTAGTCACTTTAATAAACTCATGGCTACCGGACATTTGACATTGTCTGATTTGTCAATCTGTTTGTTCAGGGTTGGCGGCTACACCAGGACTGTCCCGAGGCTGAAAATTTGGTGTATAGGGGTTGCTCGGACCGGGCAGTAACATAGGTCAACATCTTCCGGTTTCAGAGTTATACTACTTTTAACCTGTACAACGCCGGGTCATCCGCTGGTATCAACATATTGTCAGATAAAAAAATTATTACTTGTACTGAATGATTGTGGCTTGACTCTTGGCGTGCCCAATTTTCACAAAGGAACGTTCCAAATTGATGGAAACAGTTGTATTGTGATCAGAAATGTGATGTTATCAAACTTTTAGCTATGATAACTGGTCAAATAGTATCGTATTTTGTTGATGCGGGCCTTGTCAGAAATATTTGTGTTTTTTGACAGCTTTTGAGTCTTAACCATAATTCTGTGTAATGTTGTAATTTCTGAATTTTTGTCAACCTTTTTCACATTAGGATATTTTATTTACAGCATGTATTGGCTGATGTTTGGGTAGCTAGAATGTCTGATCTTTCTTCTAATGATCAACAATATTATACACGAACACATCTAGGACATTTATTAAATGAAGGCGATACAGTTCTAGGGTAAGAGTTTTGTGATATTGGCTTGGATTCCCCAGTTGTACGTGACAAGGAGTAGGGTCGCCTGTCCAACCTCGTGGGTTTCGTCCGGGTTGTCCGGTTTCCTCCCACTTTGAAAGACCCCTACACGCAAGCGAATTATTAAAAATAAAATTGAACCATATGTTAGTCCCGAAATGACCTAGTTTGTGTCAAGTGGACATTAAACCCCATTTCTCTCTCTCTCTTTTGTGATATTCGCTATATTCCATGTATTTTGTGAAATATTTTGTTGTAATTATTAGCTTTGTATTCTGTTGTGATTATGGCATAATATAATAGATTTTGTGAAAGATCTTGTAAGGAAATACACAGTAGATTTCCATTGATGACAGTCGAAAACTACAGTCTTTGTTTCTCTCAAGGTGATACTGATGGTCTTTAATTCAAGATCAAGATTTCTCCTCTGGGTCATCACTTGACATCCTCACTTTTGCTGGCTTTGTGGTTTCACTTAATAGATTTAAACTTCAATTTTAGTTTGAGGCTATTTCCACCTTACTGTAAGAACTAGATCTGATCCTTGTACTGGCTGTCTAAGATCTCTGTTAATGGTAGAGTTTGGAGAAGCAGCAGTGTGATATTAATGATAATATATGACTTATAATTGTAGGTTTGATTTTAATAACGCCAACATCAATAATCAACAATTTGAAAAAATTAAACAAGACAGAGTACCTGATGTGGTGAGTTCTTTTATATTTCAGATATATCGTCCGATTTAACTCATTTTATTATTTAAATCCATCTCATCAATTTTGAAGTGTTAGATAGGATATATTTGATTGGTGACCACTGACAGGAGTATTTACTGTTTTGTCTTTCCCTGTGACCACTAAGAGCACTAGACTCTCAACTAAATTGCCTCAGGATTTTTTAAGAAGTGTTTCTAACTGAAATTGTTGAATCTTAAGGTTAATTTCGTTAAATTCTAATTTTATGTTTATGGCATATAAATTGGCTGTTTGGTAAGTTGGCTGTTTGGTAAGTTCTCCAGTCACTTCAATAATATCACTTGCTCATAGTGGTCTTTAGCTGTAGGAGGAAATTAGAAGACCCAGAGAAAGCTTATGAGTTTCACAGGTAACCCTTCTCCTTGTCCCGTACAACTGTGGATTGAAATCACTCCAGTTGTGATTTAAAGCGCATGCATTAGATCATTTTGCAACCCTACCTCAGACAGAGCCCTTTGAAATATTTGCCTATGAAAACAGCAAATGGCCATTTTCCCATTAAACATTAATTGGTATAAAGGAAGAAACCTCCCCCTTCATATTGTATTGTCTATAATCATGATTATAGTTTATATTATTTATATATCTAATCATGATTATAGATGATAGTAAATTATATATCTAATCATGAAAATAATCATGTTTGGTTATAGTAAATTATATATCTAATCATGATTATAGGTTATAGTAAAGAAAGTTTATGATAGATCAGCTCGAAACAAGAAGAGAAAGTGGAAATTAAAAAGAATGGCTGAGGGAATTGAAACAGCTAGTGAAGAAAGGTATATATAAGTATTATAACTACTTGAAACAGTTTCTTAAAAAATACTCAGTTCCTGTACTCACTTAACAGGCAAAAAATATGTGCATTTTAGAAATCTGTCTAAAGTTACTTTTTCTAAGAAAGTCACATAAAGTTTTTATATGCCCACATTTAAATTGGTCATATTTTGTTGTTGCCCCTGTCTTTCAGTCCATCGTCCACAATTGCTCGCATAGCAGAGGTGACAAACTTTTCACATTCCATGTGGCAAAAATTTTCAGTACAACCACTTCATCAATTATCAGTGTCTTGTAAATGTTTCCATTATTGGCAAAGATCTTTTTAGCTGCTGTTGTGGGTGGGGAGGGGGCACATGTTTCAGTGCCTAACCTTTTTTGGTGGAGTCGAATTACATATGGAACTATTTATAGAATAGATTTTCAGCTGTTCACCTCTGGCAGGGAAGTTTTGAAATATATGCTGTGATGATTGACAATATATGATATATATTACAGAGATTATACAGCTTTCTTAGAAGATTTAGAAGAAGATCAAGATTATAGACAGAATGTTAATATATATGTTGGTGAGTTATTTTACAATCTTCGGGATCAGTCAGACCTGCAGAGATTGGCAGAGCCGAATAGTGCCAAATTTATCAGGAATCTGGCCGTCTTCTTTAGCCCAGTCAAAGCAGAAAAGTAGGAAGTTAAACCCCATTTCATTTCTTTTCATATCTGGCATCTGAGTAGTATATTGAATATATAAACTCAGAGATTGGAAGTTTGATCTCATGATTGTATAAATGTAGATCAGAGGTGGCAATCCCCAGAAATGAAAAAAAAAAACAAACAAAAAAAATCCCCCAGGAGAATCCAGTAGACCTGCAAATCTACCAATCATTTCAAAGCTTCAGAAGAAAAGTTAAATAGGCTATATCATTCACATTTTGGCATTAAATTTACAGCTCAAGTGTTAGTTACACTATCCTGTGAAACCTTGACAGTCCCTTTAAACGTGTGAAATTAATCCATTTTTCTGTAAGCAAAAAAGGAGATATATGTTAGTCTTGAAATGATTTAGTTGTGTTAAATGGACTTTATACCCAATATCTCTCTATATATTTGGGGATCACGGTGGCTAAGTGAGTAAGGCGCTGGCTCGCTAGCCTGGAGGTCGGGTGTTCGATCCCTGCATTGGCCGAGAAAGTTCATCCAGATTTTCCGGCGTGGTTCCCCCTTGTCAGTGATGCAGGACGGAGGGCCTGACAAGGACAGCTGTCTAGTCATTCGGATGAGACGAAAAACCGAGGTCCCGTGTACACATTGGCGTGCACGTAAAAGATCCCTTGACAGTTGGAATTCGATATAAGAGTAGGCCGTAGTGCCGCTGTCCGGGCAAAATTATCCTCATAGCACACTATATGGCGTATGCCCGTCTTCATGAGCCCAGTTCGGAGCAAAACAGTAGGACGTTAAACCCCATTTCATTTCATTTCTCTATATATTTACAGATCGTAATAAGTTGGCCGTGGATACAGATGATACTGATGATGAGGGAGTACCTCAGATCAGCCTACAGGAAATGTTAGATGATCTACGTATTAGTGAAGATGCTACAGGAGATGAGGGTGCTGCTATGATGGAATAGCCAGCGTCTCCAACCTACCTCAGATTATTCTTAACCCTATTGTTGTCCTATGACTGACAAATTGAACTGTACCTTGAGACATTTTTAATGGCAAATAACATTTAGTGGATTGAATTAGGTTTCCTAGACTCCAAAATTAAAATTATCATTAAGCAGTCCAAAGAAATACCAAGACTGGTAATTAATCACTTTTATTTCATGGAGTTTGTTTATAGCAGTTCTCTCTTTATAGAAATTCTTTCTAATTTCCATGGCAATTTCTGTTGACTTGCTTTCCTAGAATCAAAGAAAAGTGTTTGAATATTCATGACTTTGAAACAGAAGAATCAGACCAGAATATATATTGAGTTATCTCTCCAGTTGTATTTTTAGATATCTTATTTCTTTTGATTTTTCTTAAAGAAAAGACATACAAATTGATAATATGTAACAGTGCTGATAAAAATATATATATTATGGTATTCGCATTTATATGTATTATTACATATAGACGATACTGTACATTTACAATCATGTGTGACGTACTGTCAATATTGAAATAAAATTGTATGAATGTACACGGTCAATTAACTCCAAGAAGACTACGGTAGTGTGGTTTATTTCTAATAGAGAACTAATTTTTAAAATCTCATCAACACTTGATTTCATTTGATTTAATTTGTGGTACGAAAATCTGTTTTCATTCAGTTAAAGCTAGTGTAGTATTGAGATATAATTCATTGCGTGTTTCATTAATGAAACTAGAATTAGTAAACAAACCAATGTCTACTTACTCTTCTAAAACAAAATTTTATTTGCATAGAACTTGTCCCATAACACTTCAGATCTAAATATCTTATCTTGACATTAGTCATGAGGGTTAACCCCTTTAACTCAATATCCACTTAATGACATAAATTAACCTGACAAATAAGCATGTGAATATTCTGTATTATAAATATAGTCAATGAAATAGATTTTTTTTTAAAATTCTAGTGCTGATATTTATTTTACATACTTGTATGTATAAATATTCATGTTGAAAAAAAATATTTGTTTCTACAGTAAAAGAGTTGTTTTTTAATTGGGAGAGGGCAAGCAGAGTGGGGTCGCTTTCCTTTCGGTAGAAAAAATGTGTTGATTTTTGTTCATTTTTTTGATTTACTTTGGTAGTGAGTACAGTTATCTGTTAACATTTAAAAGGTTTAGAAATTAAATGGAGTCCAACATGTTTTGTAAACCATCCCGGTTAATAAAGACAGACATGATGCAGTGATCTGTACACTGGTGCTACAGTCTACTCTTGCGTTTAATTCCTTGGGTGTATTCGAAACAGTGTTCCGGTGCAGGGAACGGATGGAGAATGGGTTCTTATCGGTCTCGAACAGCCGGGAATGCGTTCATGAACACGTTCCCGTTCTCAAATCCCACACTTCCTCGTTAGCTGGTGTGAGGTGAGAACAAACTTGGTCAACGCGTCGACAACTGCCGGTCTGGCCAAATGGTTAGCATGTGCGCTGTATCATAAGGTCTGTCATTGAGTCAACTGACTGGTTTTGATTCCCTGGTTGTACGTGACAAGGAATGGGGAAGCCTGTCCAACCTCGTGGCTTTTCTCCAGTTTCCTGCCACTGCTAAAGACCCCTACGCGCAGCGAATTATTTAAATAAATTTGAACCATGTATTAGTTCCAAAATGACCTAGTTTATGTCGAGTGGACGTTAAACCCCATTTCTCTCTCTCCCTCTCGACAACTGCTGAGAAAATAGCATTGTGAGTGCATTTATTGATTTTAAAGTTTATACCGTTCGAAAACTGCATGTATTATGTGGCCAGTATAACATCAAGTAAACAGCGATGTAATTGACTGAAAGAATTGAAATGGAGTAAAATGAAATCATTTATCAAAATTATGTTTAATAGTGAAGTCTTTTATGCATAATACAGTACTTATAAAGTTATAGAAATAGATTGTATAAATTTAAATCAACTTGTTACCATGGATACTGTTCTCTCATGTTTGAGACAGGATTATCAGTCGACACTATTCTTTGCCAGACATCCCATTTTAAATTACTGACATGGTGAAACCTTAACTGAAAATCCTGAGGAATTTTCTTGAGCAAAACCGAGATCAAACCTAGGACCTCCTGGTTGGTGAGTCAGAGCTAGACTCACTGACTCCCAAATATAGAGCCAAGATTGGGATGTTACTGATTATATGTTCAACAAAATCTGTAATTTGAGTCAAAGTGGCATGGTGTTGATTCCCTGATTGTACGTGACAAGTGGTAGGGTCACCTGTCCAACCTCATGGGTTTTCTCTGGGTCCTCTGGTTTGCTCACACTGATGAAACATGTGTTAGTCCAAATATGACTTAGTTTGTGTCGAGTGGGCGTTAAATCTCATTTCTTTTTCTCTTGACATTTTAACCCCAAAACAGAGTTAACATTAGTATGCAAACAAAATCCCTCTTAATCTTCGGAAGTAAAATTTTAATCATATAAAGCATGTCCCATCAATAACTGAAATAACACATCAGATTTAACCAAGTTTATTTTGACTTCAATATAAAGGGTGCAATTGTTGTAATGTAAATTCCCAATAGTTCTGTACCCAGCTTGGCATCCCAGTCTGTCATGCAGGTTTGCCAGTATTCTAGACGAGTTTCTTCGTCGAGTCCTGCGTTCCACTTTACACATAACCAATAACAAACAAGAAAACACTTAAACCAATCAATAATTTATTCAAAAATGTACATTATTCATTATTTACTAATTAAAAGAATAATTTTCTCAATATTTTGCAATTAACAAATAACAGATTTATTCATTCCTTTGTTCAAAAGCTAAACATTTTGGCCATTATTAGCACAAATACATATAAAAAAATCCATTAAAAATTAAATGATGATATAAAATGGAAGCTTTACATTTTTGTCTAAATATGTAATGTGTCTCATTCCTGGAGAAATCATGGTCAGAACAATCTGATTAATACACAGATCCTATTTCATTTCGTTTTTTTATAGTTCAAAATTTCGTTTTACTTCTCTTTACTACACTAGGATCTGAAAGTGTTGTTATATTTCCGGCATTTTGGTTGAAGTGAGGGATAAGCCAATGAAACGGTATGTTACAGCGACTTCTTGGCATGCCATACATGGAACTGTGGGTAAATCACTAGAAACGTCAACGCTGAATGATTAATCAATTTCTGATGTCATAGGGTCAAAAGTTGCTCGTACGACCCCTTACACGACCTTCGAGTACAACTTGTCAGATCTTCATGTAGTGTAGGCCATCGGAAGTATAAAAAAAACAAACGAAATATAGATCTGTATTTTAATCAGATTGGGTCAAAAGCACAAAAAAGATAAACAATTTTGAATGTAAAAATTGTAAACATAACTAAACTGGTCAACAAAAAACAGAACAGTACTTAATTAAATAAAAGAAACAGTGGAAAGATGGTATCAGGTGCTTTGGAAATTGTGAGCATATGCTGTATGATACACAATACATATCACACCATGTTAGATACAGTGCACCATAAATAACCAAATTGAAACCCAGAAGACAAACATACTGACAAGACACATCACTGTAGTAACAAATAATAATAGCACTATCAAATTGATTAAATGCATCTGAGGACCGTTCAGAAGCTTCCACTGCACTGCAACAAAACAAACTTACAAGGGAGGCAACCCAAAAACCCACTGTATTATGCCAGGTCCGGAGACAATGAGAGAGGGTGATGGATCTTACACCTCTTAACAATTTGCAGTGAATCCCAGAACTAAGGAATCCATCTGCCTTTCTTTCTACTCATGGTTTGCCACTATCCAGGCAAAAATCCCATTTCAAAATCAGTGAAGACCCTCCCCCTGCCAAATAATTTACTGTATGTTTACTTTGTGTCGTGCTTGGAAGAATGTCTTTAAATGGACCTGTGTTTAAAAACTGAAGAATTACTATTGAATACCGATCTATCAATCTATGGCGGATACTCACTAACATATACAGCTTCAGATCTATTTACATTGACACATAACTTTAAAATGCACCCCACAGATCCTGTTTCTCTAAGCAAACATATCATAAAGAAATATCACAATAATGCTTCTTCATAGTTAAAACAAACAACTACTGATCAGAACAGGATCTGTATAGTATATATTTGCTAGTCATCATTATAGTTTTTGAATAACCAGACTTCTTTAATGTACTGCTTTACTGCTTTGCTTTATGAAGTGGACATTTGTCCATCTTTAAAATCTTAGGTGCACAGATAGAGCCAATGTCGAGATATAAACATTTCGTGTTCCTATGTCTACAGTTTAAGCTTAAAACAAAAAAATATTAGTATACAAATTAACTTCTGCTTTTTTTAAAAATTTAATCATATACAGAGCTTGCCTGATCATTAATCAAAATAACACATCATATCAGATGTTTAGTTCTTTTCCTTAAGCATAATAGTGTCGTATGTTTAGCCCTTGAAACTTATTTTTCTCTGAAAGTATGAGATATTTAAATATCAGGAAAAATTACACTAAGCTTTGTGTGACAGGGTCAATAAATGAAAACTGTTTGTATTGACCTATATGCATTTATGTGCTGTCCTGGCAAAATTCTCTCTACATATTGTCTTCATTATCTGTGGTTGGTTTAACCCTGTCAATTTTATTATCAAAAGGATAGATAACTTATCTAATTTCCTGATTTGACCTGTATAGTGCATCACATTTAAACTGTTGGTTACTCAAACTTCATCATTTGGGACTATCAAATTCATAAAGATTTATCAGAAAAAAACAAGTGTACATGTGTATTAATTTTATAACTGACAAAACACAAACCTGATTTCACATCTATTTTATATTGCATGTTTCCTTTTCCATAAGGATATGAAAAAGAAAAAAAAGAAATTTAAAAAAAACCCCTGAAAATGAGACCTTTTAGCTGTGTAACCTATATAATTTTTTTTTATATGAAATCTCACTAAAATTTTATTGTTTGCTGTGCAATGACTCATCATTATTATTGTAACACTTTATTTTCTTTAATATATAATGTTATGAATAAAACTGTTTAATTCTGTGTAAAATTCTTAGAAACCTTTATCCTATTCATGTACATATATCTGAAGCTCTTTAATATTTTTTCACTGAATTATAAACTTTTAATTTCTAAGTGGGGTTAGCAAGCTTTCCTTTAGTAAGTTACAAAAATCTATTACGGTAAGCAAATCTAGCAATTATTTCTGAGATGTGGTCATATATATATATACATGTATATGCTACTTTTATTTTAAATGCTATTGATTTCAATTTAAATTATCAATTTTTAGTGCATTTTAAGATTTCTAGAAATTATTAAATATTACATGATTTCATTGAATAAAATTAGTAAATATTTCATAGCAGACAAAAACCAGATCTAATTGTATTAGTTTCATTTGTGATTGAATAACTAATACTAACAAATATTTGAATTTGTATATTGAAATATTTGGATGAACACAGTTTTGATTTGAAACTTTTGACAAAGTAAAAGTTATTTCTTCATATTTTGGTTTTCAAATTGTCTATTTATATCTTATTTTATCAACATATACCCTCAGCCTGGGAAATTTTGGAACACACCATTCTTAAAACCAATCATTGTATCAAATTTTCTTCAGTCTTCAACAGTAATATAAATTTTGAACTTAATATGAGGGTATTGTATTTACAAGACAAAATTAAATGCACAAATAAAATAGTAGAGGAACTGTGAGACTGGCGTGTGGGTGAGGGTAGGGGTGGCGCAGTTGTCAAAAGTAAACAAATAAACACTTTTAACAGTGGTCAAAAAATATATTCATGATATATAAATTATAGATCATCAACCGGTAAATACATATAATATTATAAATAATCGTTTACACTCTACTTCCTAATACATACCTAGTTACATATTTAATATAAACCTGTTCACATATTCAATATAAACCTTTTTACATATTCAATATGTTTACATATTTAATATAAATCTGTTTACATATCTAATATAAACAGGGTTACATTATTTAATATAAGAGAGAGAGAGAAATGGGGTTTAACATCCACTCGACACAAACTAGGTCATTTCGGGACTAACACATGGTTTAATTTTATTTCAATAATTCGCTTGCGCGTAGGGGTCTTTAGCAGTGGGAGGAAACCGGAGGACCCGGAGAAAACCCACGAGGTTGGACAGGCAACCCTACTCCTTGCCACGTACAACCGGGGATTCGAAACCACGCCAGTTGACTCAATGACAGAATTTATGCTACAGCGCGCACGTGCTAACCATTTAGCCACCAAACCCCCCATTATTTAATATAAACCTGTTACATATTCAGGCTTGCCAGGAAGATAATTAGTAATTTCACAAGTTTTGATGAGAAATAGTCTTCCTTGTAGTACATGTAGGTTGGTATTTGGATTATGGATATACTGAATATAAGATATTACTCAAAATTTATTACATTTATTTATATGGCAAGAGAGATAACCTCTCTTTAAAGGGTTTTCCCAAAATAAGGAAAAGGTAATTATATATGCTCTGATGAATGCTGTAAGTGTATGTTCATTGTACAATATATACGTAATAAATGACATACTCCATTATTATACATAATACCACAATATACATATTATATATATATACATGAATAGTAGAATACTATATAACATTTTTGTTAGGCAACTCCAATTTAAATTCTTCAGGGACGCCTATTCAAAACAAATTCAAATTTCTTTGGATAACATAAAAATTTAAAAACAAAAATTTTCGTATCTAACATCTTTTAGTTCATCAGTAAATGTGTTTGTTTGGAAGTTAAAAAACACCAAACCAAACAATATAGCTTTACTGACATATTTACTAATACCAATTTGATTTGTAGTCATTTAGGATCTATGAGATCCTAAATGACTACAAATCAAATTGGTCTGGCCTAAGCTTAGGATAATACTTCTATTATATAATATTACACTCTATGGTGACCTATATACATAGATTATCTGGTATTTACTCTTATCAAAATACAACAATTACATAATATAACTATCCTAGTCCTATATCATATTCAATATGTAACTATGCATAAGTTGTTTTGTAATATATTATAATATAAATAAAGTCACTGACAGTCATTTGCATTATTCATGGCATAATCCATGTTTAAATGTTTTCAAATTCATCATTCAACATTTACTGTTAATAAGGAAAACATAACCAAAATATTATTGTTTCATTCCGAAACAAGATTGCCCCACCTAAAGACTTATCCAACACTCATACATGTAGGTGGTGCTGGTTTGTTTGTATTATCTGTACATGTAGTAGATGCTAAATGCTGCAAAATTTCAATTCATCATATCTTTGTAAATACTGAATGGAATAGAAACATTTTGGAACTGATATTTCTTTTAGAGATTAAACTTCCACAATATTTTTTAAATGGGTTTAGAGACTTTAAAGTTGTCCATTTAGGCATTATTATACATAACTATTCTAAATATTAAAATTTGATCTGGTTGTAATGTTTATCAGCCTATCTACATGTAATATTCTGAAACCAGGAATGATATACCAGTACTAGGTATTTCTTATAAAACCTCCAAAGCTTATAAACTGAAATGTATACACGTCTATAAAATATGGTATAATAAACAAACAATAAAAGGTTCTTATGTCCAAACTCTCAAATTTCAGATACATTTAATTACAGTAAAAATTGGGGCTCTTCTGATGTTGGGTCTGTTGACAATATCCACTGTCTCTTATGGTGGACAGATGTTTCAGCCAGAGAGGTTCCATGGTACTAGTTAGTGTTAGTGATGGGGTTAAGGACAATATTGGTGTCAGTCATTATCATATATATGACAGAACTGATTAAACGCGTTCCAACTTCCAAATATAATTTTAACACAGAGATCATTGCTATGATAGATGCGTTATGAAGCTTTCAAGAAAGGGAAGTGACGAACGCAAAAGGAAAACACGAGTTATCCGTCTATATAACCAACTGACATTACGAGTGATAACGGATACACAGGCGAATTTCTGCTCACAAATAATTCCTTCGAAGACCAAAAGTTGTTATATGAGACTGTGAGAGGATATCTGACAATTCAAAAAAAAATAATTGACTGTCACTAGATAAGAGAAAACAAGAAAAATAAGAAAAGTCTGTGCATTGCCAAGTTTTTATTAAGTATAGAATGAATAAAAACAAGGGATTGTGTGGACTATATCTATTTTTCTCGTTTTCCCTTATCTAGTGACATTCAATTACTTTTTTGAATCATCAGATATCCTCTCACAGCCGCACATAACAATTTTTGATCTTTGAAGGAATTATTAGTGAGCAGAAATTCGCCTGTTTATCTGTTATCACTCGTCACTTCAGTCAGTTACACAGATGGATAACTTGTGTTTTCCTTTTGCATTCGTCACTTCCCTTTCTTGAAAGCTCCATAATGCACCTATCGTAGCAATGATCTCTGTGTTAAAATTATATTTGGAACGTATTTAACGAGTTCTATTACATGCGATAATGACTGACACCAATATTGTCCTTTAAAAACCTCTGTGGCCAAAAGATCCTACATTTGTCTCATTATTATATTAAACCATTGTATTTCACTATATCAATAATATAGTGTATAAGTCAACTTAGTACATATTGGGTAAATAAGATGATATATTTTTATAAGGATATAAATCTGAATTAGTTACATTAAGACATTTTTATTTGCAAAAACAGATTTTCTAGGATGAGTTTGCACTTAATACATGTATATTACTATCAAATTACTTATCATTTTGATAAAAAATGAACTTTGAATACCGGTTTTAAAATATTTTCATAATTATCAAATGTTTAAAGATATATTTCCACTTGACATATGTTATCCTAAATACTTAACGATCACTGGAAAAACATATCAAACTTATTTAATTAAGAAAACAAAACCAAAATATCAACAGCTGATAATCGTCTGGCTTTGATAAATTCAATCTTCTATTACAAAAGAGACCCATCAATAAATTTTACCCAACACTTATACATATAGGTGGCACTGGTTTATTTATATCTTTTAGAGACTTAACTTTTACAATAGTGTAGTTAGTATGTCATTCAAATAACTCTCAAATGACAATCATCAGCTATAACTAATTTCCTTGTAAAGTAAGCTGTACATGTAGGCCATGTAAGTACAATAAAAAGGTAATTTTATAGACTTTTTTATTGATCATTTTGTAACATATGTCCCATTTTATATGAATATATGTTTAAACCCCAAAGCAGATAGTACATTAAATATTGTATTTCTATTATTATCCTGTGTAACAAAAGATTAAATATTGCATTGCATATTAAGTAGTTTTATGTTTTATTGAAATAACTTCATAATGATCACTTTAAAATGAATCTAATAGGTACATGTAGTAATTAATACAGTAGACTACAGTATATATAATAAGGAAGTATATATTAGACTGTAATAGTATACATGTATTTGATACCGATATAGTAATCAGCTGATATTGCAATAGATACTATCATATCACACATTAATGTTTAACACTCATGAGTCATTAGTTGTGTCATTGTATGTAAGCTTATATATATACATAGTATTGATGTTAATACATGTACAGTATTTAATTACAGAGTAGTTTCATTTATAACTAAAGCATCAGTTGGCGTCATATATCTACTCTTACCTGATACTTAAACTGATATATTTAAGATAAATTCACTCGAAAGTGGTTATTTCCAATAAAAGTATGGCAAATTTGGTATATATGGAAAGTATAGATGCCCAATCTAGAACAAAACTAGTTTAACCCCAAAAAAACAACCATGAGGCAAGCACTGGGCAAAAATGTCAGGGTATCCCTAACTCGCAACACAATGGCTTATTGCCTGCTGTTGTTATTGTTTTGGGAATATTGAGGGGTGTAATCGTTTCACAGGCTCTGCAATTAAAGGTCAGAAAAAGAAGTTGGCAAAAAATAATTCAAGAATTTACTTAGGCCTCAATATGTATGGTAAATGGACAGTAAGTAATTGACAAATACATTCTGAAAAATGGGCCCTTCCTCAATCAAGTTAGATAACAAAAATGGCTTCTAAAAATAGATTTCTTATAGCTTGGGATATCTCCTCACGAATACAAATTTTTGAGAGAGATTTGAAGCAGATTTTTGATAGATTAGTTAGTTTGAATATGTTTTTAGACCAAATACATGTATATCATTATACCACAAAGTTTGTACGCATGAAGGTATCTTTAAGGCGTGACAATATTAAGATAGCATCTCATTACTAAGCAGTTTTATTTACACTGTTTTACTAAACCCACCTGAAGGCTTCTTATTTCCTCCTCCTTTTCTTTGTTTTGTAATTTGTTTCTTTTAAACAAAAATTAGATCAACAGTACTATGTACCTTTGACAATGAAAATAATTTACACCCCGATTTACATTAATTATGACCAATGTCAATCTGATCTAAATTATGTTTCACTTTTGTATGTACAGATACTCCGTTTTAATGGTTTATTATACATGTTATGAAATTAAACAACATTTGAATGATAAAGAAAAGAAATATACATGTAGAGGAGCAGATTCCATACTATAGGATAGACAAATAATCAAGCATCAGGCACCCTTGCTTAAAGACACATTAGATTTTTGCCATAGTTTACCTACATGTAACTGTATACAGTTAAATCAGCATCATCCAATTTAGATTGTATGCAATATCCGAGGCTGATCTGACAAGTGAAAATTCATCACCGAGATACATGAAGGTTACATGTACAGGCTTACATATTAAGAATTTATAAGAGTATGTGTAATATAGCATATAATGTGCACTGGTGAACTGAGTGTTCCAGTTCTTGAACAATCAAAAACTGACTGAATCTTAGGGCTATTTTATTGGATTTTAGTTAAATTTATCTTTTTGTTCTAAGTGTAGGCCTAGTTCTTTATGCCTCTTTAAACATACTTTTATTGTTTATTCATGATTTTAATCACTGTGTAGATAATATACATGTAATATTTATAATGTACAATAATAGTCTTGATGTAAGTTCTACAAAGAACTTTGACTGTAGGTTATTTCATAAGACAAGTTCCAATAGATTAAAATGGATGTCACATGTTTTGAAAGTCGACTCTTTAAAAACCATACATGAATCACTCTCCATAAATGTTGCTACTAGAATCTAAAATTAATATCACACAAATAGTTATCTTTACATGACTAATTTACAAATGACTACTGATATGATGATATGAAAATTATGCGGATATATTGAGACATTTGGTAGGGTATTTAAATCTAAACATGAAGGAAGACCCACTGATATTGCATGTGTGATTTGTATCACAACATCAACAAGATCTTTTTGATATCAGTTTTACTAAGCTAGAACCAGAGTTGTGATCTGTAAGCTGATAATTAACAGAATTTTAGTGTTAAATGAACAAAAAAAATGTGCATGTTCAACACTTACATGTACTTAATTCATACAAATGTTACCCTCCATTGTAATTTACGGTACTCAATAAAAATTGAATTGAAAACTGACCTTGCTGTAAAAGGAGAGTGACCACTTGCACCTAAACTCTCTGAATTTTGAAAAGGAGAAGAACAACCAGCCACTCTCCCTTGGACATAGTACAAATCAATGACTACATGTAGTACTGTAGTATACATGTACAAACTAAACACTTTATGCACCGGTAGTCTTCAAGCACCTTCAAATAAAATCTTGTGAGAGTGACCCTTTACTCTCAATCATATTTTCAAATGAAAAAGTCAGGTGAAAAAAGAGATTTGCTGTTGAGATCAACTAGTTAATTTTCACCAAACTTTTGTCTTTTACACTGATTCAAAGATACTTCAGAAAACATAAAGTATATTCCACTGATATATAATTATTACAGAACAAGTACTTGTATGTATTGTTGGACAAATCAGATATGAAGAATTTATAAGAAAAGCGTAAGCGGTGGACGTACCAGCCGATTGCATCACCTTTCACGTCACATGATTAACCATGGCAGCGACTATGTCTTCAAACAATAATGTGACTTATCGATATGAGTGGTGATTGGCTAATGAATTCTACAATCAGGTGAATGCTTCGCCGGGCGAATATCAAACATGATTGATTCGGGCGAATCATTTGGCCGAATGATAGGAAATACACAAGGCGGATTTCGGCACCGATTGATTCATCCAAATGATTTGGCCGTGTCCACCGCTTTAGAGCCTTAATGTGCCAGATATCCAATAATCATTTAACACATGACATTTTATATCAGGATCAACACCTGTAACACTATTAATTGAAGAGGCTTTGCTACATGTACATGTACTTACTGATTTTTGCTACATATAAATACATATTGATAAAAATGTGGAATATTTTTATGTGGAATTTTATACACAATGATGGGAGAGTGGGAACTAAAAATTAAATGCTACAACATTCCAGGTGTTTTGGGATTTAATCACAATTAATTTCAGATTTTATAACAACAAATAATTTAAACTTTTCTCTTCTAAATTATTTCAGTGGCCTTTACATGTAGCAACTGAACTGAACTAAACTAAAACAAAAACACATCACAAGTTATAGATGCTTATCAGTCCGGTTAAAACACAGATCCTATTTCGTTTCGTTTTTATAGTTCAAAATTTCATTTTACTTGTTTTTACTACACTTGGATCTGGAAGAGTTGTTATTTAACTCGTGTTCTGAATGGTGTCAGGGATAAGCCAATGAAACGGTCTGTTACGGCGAGCTTTAGGCGTGTTTTTCACGGAACTGTGGGTAATCCACTAGTAACATCAATGCTGATTGGTTAATCAAATGTCTGACGTCATAGGGTCATAAGTTGGTCTTTTGACCCCTGACGTGACCTACATGTATCGCTATAACTTGTCAGATCTTCCTGTAGTGTAGGCCATCGAAAGTATAAAAAGACGAAACGAAATATAGATCTGTATTTTAATCAGATTGAGATGCTTATTTGATTCTTCACAAATTCTCATCATTTACTACTCAGCATTCTGTGTCATTATCAAGTGGAAGTTGATACAAAGAACCAAGATTATGTCTTCTTGAAGGTGGAGAATTATCAAATAATGAATTCCCCGAACTACTGTCTGTTTTCTTTTCAAATTTCTTTATATTTGATTTTAACTGTGCAATATTGGTATCATATTTATTGAGAAAATCCATTCCGTTTTCCGATTTCGACACTTTCACTTCTGTTTTCTGATCTTCATCTTCTTCCGTGGAACTTGTGTATCTATCTGCCACCTTTACGATTAACTCCTGAGGCACTAAAGTTTCGTTCGATGGTAATAATGGAATTAATATATGCTCCCGTAGAAATAAACTATCGTTTGTCCACAATTTATTTTGTCTCTTAATTTGCTCAACTGTAACATGGTATTTCAAAGCAATACCCATTAAAGTATCCCCCGTGCAAACTACATGTTTGACATGGCGAGTCGCCTTTTCAGCTAACGGTACATTTCCCCCACATTTTGAAGTAGACACAGTTGTGCCATATTTCGTTTGACTTTTTACGTATCGACTAAGGTGTTGCCTTTCCGTTCCTATTTCGTCTTCTTCTGACATTTTAGACTCCAACATACGTTTCAAACTTAACGAAATATTATTCTTGAAGGTTATAACATGATAAATAATGTCACTGTATACAACACATCACTCACGGAACATTATTACGTTGACAATTAAAATAGTTTGGTTGATGGATTCACTTTTATTTTCGGGTCAGCGAGGTGAAGTCCGTTTCACCACTTCCGGTTAGATTAGTCTACTGTATGGATCGGACTAAAGATAACATTTAAAGGGACGGTCTTTGGTTTTCGTCTGGCAAGCCCAGTCCATCAAAAGTCAACAGCTTGACAACCCTGATGTCACGCCCATACGTACTAGTTAACCGCTTAAATTTATACCTCGTGCACTTCATGATACCAGTGTGATATAATATAATGATTTGTAGGCCCAAGCTTCTAAATTTCGTTCAATCCCTGCATTGGCCGAGTAAATTCATCGGGATTTTCCGACGTGGTTTTCCTTGTCAGTGGTGCAGGACGGAGGTCTTGACAAGGACAGCTGTCTAGTCATTCGGATGGGACAAAAAACTGGGATCAAGCCTTCTATTAAGTTGGATCAGCGCATTCTTCTCTACTTCAAAAGACTCTTATCGGATAATAAAAACAAACTCATTGACACGGATCATTTATAACGAATTGTGAAATTTTTTTGTAAAACTGCTAGCCCAAGAAAATCGTTTTGTCATAACATAAGGATTTTAACCAGATATTTTGAACTTGAACAAATTAAACATGCATTACGCAAAAGCTAAATCTGCATATTGCAGGTCTTTTTTTAGGCCTGAAATGTTTTCTAAAGTATTAATTAGACATTAATTAACTGATCCAGGCCTTAATCAACTTTCGATGGCATCAGATTTCTCCAATATTAAATAGATTAGGATGGTGCAGCGATACTTTGATTTAATCAAATACGGAGGACCGAGACTTAGCTTCAATCAACCAGTACGGTGGTTGAAATTATTGCACACGTCTGTCAAACCTTCAAAGGCTAATATCTTCGCTTGCAATAGAGTAGTTTAAATGAAATTTTCAAATTATTCATTTTACATCATCTACTTTCGAACTGTTATAGCAAGAATGGATAGTTCTTTATCTAAATCTTACATAATGTATCTGTAAAATAACCTAAAAAATAGTGATATAAAATCTGACACCGAAAATATATTTATCGATCTTTTCTTAACAGTTATTGATCAACAAGAAAATTCAAAATCAACCCATAAACTTCGGACGTACGGAAAAATCAAGCCAGATTTTTATGCGATATCGTTATAGATCTGCCATAAAGTTGCGCTGACTTCGTACCATATTCCTGAAGCAATGGCCCGAGAAATCCCTCTCTGGCCATTGCTGGATTAGCTTCTGATACTTGCGCATTTGAGGGAGTGTGTCTATTATTCCCGTTCAATCAAATCTATCCCCAAACACAGTAACATGACAGCCCTTCTTTTAATCAGGGGTCTTCCAGAGGTGGATTTAAGGGGGGGGGGGCGAGGGGCGCCAAATTTTCGACAGTGCCCTTTCTTACTGCTGAAAGTGCCCTTTCTCAGACCCAAATATGTCCGTTCCCAACCCGTTGCAGGGATCCCAAATGACTCAAACCATCGATTCAAACACACCAGTCTGGTCTAATTAATGCTTTCACTTTCAAACGAATTCTTGTTGTTTAGCTGACGGTGCCCTTATCCTATAGAGTGGCTATAGACAGACATCTTGTGGAATCGGCGGCGTATACACTTATGCCCACCACCGACGCACATGAGTGCAACTTGATGTAGCATTGTTTTAAGTGTGGACAGTACAAAGTACAAGTCACAAGGCTTAAATAGTGAAGTGGCTAGGGAATAGATTCGTCTTTTTTCCCATCATAATGCCTCGCTCGCCATGACAATTTTCGAGTCGCGTGTTCAACTGGCTTTTTTGCTCGATTTCAAGGCTATTTTTCAACGATTTCTGAACGTTTACTTACACGAAAATATCAGCCAAATGGCTCTTGGAATGGCTACAGATGCAAGGAAATGACGGATAATTTTCTTGGGGACCCCCCCCCCCCCCGCAAAAAAAAAAAAAAAAAATTGCCTCTCAGCGTCGTGCCCCGTCTCCGCGGTCAGTGCCCTCATTTTGCGGCGCCCCCCCCCCTTTTTCAAAATTCCTAGATCCGCCCCTGTCTTCCCTAAAACTTTGGACAGTGATTTAAGGTATTAAAAACGGCGAAAGTGTTGTTCGTCTCAAAACAATATTGTTTACATTATATCTGTGTTGACAGTTGAAAGCCTTGTTTGTCACACAATTAGTTTTTCTGCAATATTTTGCTATGCACTGGTTAATTGAGCATAATAAAATCGTGAGTCATGTTGATCGAGAAGTTGAAATGTTATTATATGGGACGGTGAGAGGGTATCTCACAATTCAAAAATAGAATTGGCTGTCACTGGATAAGGGACACGAGAAAAATTAGAAAAATCACGTGCATTCTCCCGTTTTTATTCATTTTGTTCTTAATAAAAATACATGGTAATGCACGGACTTTTTCTAATTTGTTCGTTATATTTTATCTACTTACAGCCAATTCTTCTTTTGAATTTTCAGATATCCTCTCACCGTCTCATATAACAACTTTTCATCTTCAACGGAATATCAGTGAAATGAAATTCGATCGTTTGTCTGTTACCGCTCGTTACTTCAGTCAGTTATATAGAAGGACAACTCATGTTTGTCATGTTTGAAGTCACTTCCCGTTTCTTCACGTGCTTGTTACACATCTCCCCACACTGATCCGCAGTGAATATTCGCTTGATAAAAGACAGATGTCGCATTAGGTCTGTAAAACAGATTGGCATCTCGACCCGTCAATCTGTTTCACAGAGATTTTTTAATATCTCTGTTACAGATGACTGTTTCGACACGTGACAGCACATCACGCGGCGTCCATCATTGGCTCAATAGCGCGTGCATTGTTTTCATAAGACGTCACGGATTCGGGCTAAATGGTGAATTTTACTTATTTTAATACCCATTTACACTAAATAGGAAATGATTTTTACCTACAAACAATTCAAACGACTTTATTTATTTTTCTAATAAATGAAAAAAATGTTTCAGAATTTAATTTGTCGAAAGAAAAAAGTTAATATTTTGTAGTCATTAAGTCGCATCGATGTCATCCTTATCAGTGATTGTAGAGGCCGAGCGAATATTCACTGCGGATCAGTGTGATCTCCCGTAGCAATGATCTCTGTGTTAAAATTATATTTGGGATGTATTTAACGAGCTCTTTCACATATCTTATAATGACTGACACCAATATTGTCCTTTAAACACCAGTTCTTTTATTCATATATTTTAACAAATTTCCACACTTGTAGCACGAAAAATTCGCCGCGAATCGGTTTCGGGTTTTATATACAACCAAATTTATCTTTGATAAAGGGAGGCTACTCTTCGCGTAAAATTATAAAAAATGGCCGTCGTTCATAGAGCTTTATTTACTTGGCTGACTATTTTGGTGTTTTTGATTCTGCTTGCACTTAGATTGGAACATAAAGTTTTATGGAACTGGTTCCTGATATTCATTCCACTGTGGCTGTTCGATGTGGTCGTAATTATTTACATAACCGTTAAAATGTTCATCCATTGTAGAAACGGTTTCGACACAAACGATATTACGATGCGAAGAAAAGTGTGGCATTTATGTTCTGTATTACTAAAACTTGCATTCCAAATTTTAATGTGTTTGAGACTAGAATATTATGACTTTATCTCGCTATACATGGCCATGGTACCGTTCTGGTTGCTAATGATAATTTCTGGCAGTGACATGTTCAGAGGCTTGATTAAAATGACGTAGATCTAGATCTACATATTATTATCATTTAAGAAGTTAATAATTGTGAAATTCTTATAGTGTTATTGATGGAAAATACGTAAAATATTTTTTTGTCGATCTTGTAAATGATTATATGCATCATTTAAAGTGGTGTGATAAGAATTTAGAATTCGAACAAGAAAAAGGATGTATATGACTTCTGTGTGGTACATCTGGAAATAATGGAAGTACATACAGTACCAGACAAAATGTCGAGCACTAATAAACTAGTAACTTACCATCTGAACTTTATGCTGTATATTTATTCAAAATAATTACTGACATTGTCTGTGAAAGGTGCCTTATTTCTAGGCTTGGATATTAATATACATAAGTTCAAGTTGCATAAATGTAAATCAAAAGAAAGTGACATGTAACATGAAAAAGTATACAATGTTTATATTTTTGTAATGACAATGGATAAGGTCAAAAGTAGTGTTGGAGTAAATAGTTATGATGGAAAGTAACACTAGTATAACTTTGTTCCTCACGTTTGACCTCAAATAGAGTGTTAAGCCAAAAAGGCAGATAATCACAGCTTTTTTTTCATTCAACTGTGGATAAAATTACAAGGTAGAGTCTCCAAATAAGCCACAAATGCTTTCCTGCATCCTCCCCCCGAACTAGGCTAGATTAGCTGAAGCCTATGCTACTTAAGCTAAAACTCCTTAGCAGTTCTTCAGCATCACAGGAATCATGAATGATCACTGCCAGACAGTTTGTGTGGTTGGTTACCCCTAACAGACACGCCCAAAATGCCACACTCCCAACTAGGCTAGTTTAGCTGAAGCCTGTACCACCTAAAACTGCTTGGAAGTTGTTCAGCACCACCACATCAGTCAAGAATGACCACTGCCAGACAGTTTGTGTGGTGGATTACCCCTGGCAGTGATAATTAAAGTTTTAAGAAGATTTTTCATATATGATTGCATCTTTTCCTGTGTTTCTGCTATGATTTATTTATGTACCGTTATTTTAATTTTGAAAGTTTATTTAAACTTTCATTGAGATTACTAAATGGTTAATTAATCAGCTTTAATTGAGATAATGTATTATTTTCCTGTACAACATTTCATGTTAGAAAGAAGACTGAAATAGAAACATTTTGTTTATTTTTATTTATGGTTAACTTTAATGATAGTACATGTGTAAATAACAGGGCCGGCGGAAGCAATTCTTGATTGGGGGGGGGGGGCTTCCATCCTAGGTCCTTATAGGCAAGGGTCCAGGCGTCGCAATAACCTGGAGAAAAGAGTACTTGCGGCCAAATTATTGGGGGGGCTAAAGCTCCCCCTATTCCCCCCACTCCGCCGGGCCTGAATAACCAAAGCATTTTTAAAATTTCATTCCAGTAAATACATTATCAGTCATGGAGATTTATTATAATCATGGATCAATCCCATCCCAACTGCGTGAATGGTTTGGCCGTTTGCATTATACGCTGCTCATAAAACGTAATTTTTTTTACATGTCCACATTGGAATGTGTTTGTATGGTTGTCACCACCATCCATCAGTCATTCACAATTACTTGTAGATGCTCTAGATGCTATTAACTTCTTAATGACTTGGCTTGACGAAGAAGCATATTGAATAAGATGCCTGTTTTTGAACTATTTCTGAAGACTTGAAATTTATACAAAGAATCCTACTGATTTTCAATGGTTTCTGATAGCTTGAATAGCTAGTGTTATCATCTGATTACTGGTAATGGTACATGTTTTGTATATAAGTAGGTACATGTTTAGGCAAGAAAAGTGAATAAAAACCATAAATTTGGTATAAATAGTTTCATTTTGCGAAGATAAAAACACCCTAAAAAGTTCAACTGATTATCTCCAGTAGTTTCTGAAGTTTGGCCGGTTACAGGATTTGGGGAACCTGCGTACCTTGGACATAGCAAAATAAGTGGTTTTTGACCCACCCATATATCAAAAACTAAGCTTTTTACACCCCCGAAACTTCTTTAACATTGAGTACATGTACCTACTGCCTATAGTTGGAATAAATACAAGGAAATGCCTGTGTCTTCACTACTTTTGAAACTATTGACACTTCAAAAACCCATTTTTTAGTCGCTGCCCAAGACAAAATCTGCTTCTGGGGCCATTTGACCCATAAAATAAATTTTAAGTGTACCAGAGGTTATTCCTTCCATATATCAGCTGACAATGGTCCCCAGTCCCCACAGTAGTCCCAATTCTTTTGACAGCCTTAAAAATGCATTAAGGAGAGATATAACACCAATCACGAGATTGGCTTCTAGACGACGTGCATTCTTGTATAGTTACACAGTGAAGGTCGATCGTAGTCATGTTTGAATTTTTTTTTTTTTAAAAAGACCCTCTTTCCGGCGTGCAAAATGACCGTTAGGTCAGATCTAGGAACGGTCATTTTCCATAGCCGTAGATCTCGACCGGCATATACGGCCGACGTGGAACCCATGGTCCCCACAGTAGTCCCAATTCTTTTGACAGCCTTAAAAATGCCTTAAGGAGAGATATAAGACCGAGATCTTGGAAATCAAATCGTCAACAGGGGCGTAAGTGTGTGTACCTAAATTGCATACGGCACGCTACTCACGCAAAACTTTAGTTTAAAATAACCTTTTCAACCAGGGAGAAAAATAAGTGCTCACTGCAGTCGGTCTCAGACTAAATGAATTAATGAGGTAAACAAACAATGTCAGAATAGAAGGGAAATGTGTTTACGTGAATCTGTGCACCTAAATTGCATACGCCATACAAAACTATAGTATAAAATAACCTTGTCATGTTTGCAAAAATGTTTTTCACTGTTATTCCTATTGTATGTTAGTGTAAGAAATATTTTCCCTCCAGGGAAAGAGAGAGAGAGAGAAATGGGGTTTAACGTCCACTCGACACAAACTAGGTCATTTCGGGACTAACATATGGTTTAATTTTATTTACATAATTCGCTTGCTCGAAGGGGTCTTTGGTAGTGGGAGGAAACCGGAGGACCCGGAGAAAACCCACGAGGTTGGTCCAGGGAAAAAGAAAATAGTCGGTCTCAAAATAAGTGCTCACTGCAGTCGGTCTCAGACTAAATGAATTAATGAGGGAAACGGGCACGACGGTTTTCACGGCATAAACTATACGAAGGTACACTGGCCTGGTCAGTTATTTTCCCAACCGATTTTGGTACCCTCATCGAGGCTCATTCATATCCAAACAGAATGGATTCCGAAGAAGAGGAAACTCTGACTTGGTTTTTACTTGCGGAGGCGTAAAGTATGGTGGCGTGAAGGTCAGGCTTTGAGTCGGCTCATTCCAATATTGGGTGGGGGGGGGTAACTGGAAATCTCTTTTCATGATAATCTAGAATAGTCTACCATGCCTAGAGATATGTCCATCAATGTTCAGAACGTTTGATTCGAACTTTTTACAACACAAATGCCCTATTTTCTACTCATCCCATGGAACTTACTCCTCCCTGAAGCAAGTATACGCCGAAAAAAAACCGAACATGCACGATACCATGTATACGCGTATAGCGTATGTAAACCGCTAAGCAAATTTCTGTTGCTCGAACACAAGTATTCGCGTATGCCTCTAAACGTATACCGAATACCGTATACCCCTATGTAATAGCAGCCTTATAACATCACTCTTCCACTCCGCTGTGATCTTGTACTGTCTCAGCACTATCAAATTCACGGTAAAAGTGGAGTGTTTGTCGTGGGGCGTCAAACTGTACAGATGTTCTGTCAACTCTTTCAAAACAGGCAGAAATGACTTTAATTAAACTGCTTTTCGGCGAGATAACGATCGGCGAACAACTGTTATATAGCCAGTATTTTGTTGACATTCATTGTGGGGTGAGATTGTGAATGCCGCCCTAGATTTGGAATCGCCCGCCCCACCCCTTATTTTCAGCTTCTAGATCCTCTACTGGTCCCTAGAAATCTTGCACCTATGGTGCTCGGCCCTTGGCTGCGTAACTCGTATTTTTAAGGCGCGAGGGGGGGGGGACTCAATGGAACCCCCCAAAGATACATTGTCTCAGATACCGGGTGAACCCCCTCCTGCAAAAAAACAATCCTGGATACGCACCTGCTAATGCAAAATCAGCGGTCACCACGCTTCTAGCGAATTCGCACGCACCTGACATTGAAAAGGCCACATGAGCTGCACAGCTGCTTTTACCTAATTCAGCTCCTTTATCACACTTTATCAAAGATACTGATTTGCCTATTTCAGGGGAAAATATTTTTTTGTTATGCAGGTGAGCATAGGCGTAGGAGCTCAAAGTAATTCAGGGGGGCATAAGAGAAAATTGCCCGAAATCAATACCGTTTTTTCGGGCATACATATCATAAGAGAGCTTCGGGTATATTTTCGAGCATGTAGTGGACAAGAAAAAGACGAGAAAATACTTTTCGGGCAGTGTGGATCTCATAGAAATAAGTTAGTTATATTTTTTCTCTAAACGTTAATAAAAAAAAAAGGTCGTCGAATTTTTCATTTCCCGAAAATAAATTTTTTGGGGGGCATTCCCTGACTTTTACGCCTATGCAGGTGAGTGATATACACAATTGACATTAATCCGGTCATGTGTGAAATACTTCCTTCACTACTTTTAAATTTTAAATACTTTAGATGTTCAGCAGACTTTACAAAAGACCCATCGTGTTTCGGCTATATTCAATATCGTTATGTTGATTGGAATCCGGTTTTCTATCATGTTGTTCTTGGGAACTTGCCAGACGACACCAGCATGTATTGTAAGTAGAAATTATACATCTGTATGTTTGTAATATTAATTTTGAACTAAGTATTTTGCCCTATTCTCGGCCGTCTTTTAAACTATCGAACAAACTGAAACATAAGTGATATATATCTTATTTTAGTGGTTGGTCCTAGTCAGTAAAGTTGTCGTAAAACTAAAGCAGCCTTTAAAGTGTTCCATATTGGCGTCTCTTTGAGGATTGGTTGCATATTCAAGTACATGATATGTCTATAATGACGATTCACATTTGTATATGTCACAACTGCGATTGAAGAAAACTCTTTAAATGTAAGGGGGTGGATGGCCGAATGGTTAGCGCGTGCACGCTGTATCATAAGGTCTGTTATTGAGTCAACTGGCGTGGTTTCGATTCCCTGGTTGTACGTGAAAAGGAGTAGGGTCGCCCGTCCAACCTCGTGGGCTTTATCCAGGTCCTCCGGTTACCCCCACTGCTAGTGCTAAAGACCCCTAAGCACAAGCGAATTATTGAAATGAAATTGAACCATATGTTAGTCCCAAAATTGACTCTCTCTCTCTCGCTCTCTCTTTAAATGTAAATGGTGACGAGAAAGAGGTTCAAAAATAGATATTATCAGTATGGGATGTCCTTAAATTGATGAAAATTCCATAACATGTCGGCGATGTTTCAGTATCTGTTCGTGATAAGGTAAACTCAGTTTTAGGGAAACTCAACAAGGTACAAACAATGAACCTCGCAAGACTCATAGGCCGGAGACTCAATAACCGTCCATCAAATTGTCGAGAAATCGGCAGCATTTAAATCAAACAAATCCAGCCAATCACGAGCCAGTGGGGAAGGAGCTTAGGAACCGAATTAAGTCTGATTAATGACCGCCGAGTTTTCCCAGAGATATACGAACGGTAAACCTCTCTCTGGGAGTGGGTGTTTGTGCGTGCTGATCACCACTCGAAAAAAAAAAATGCTATAGAAAACTTCGGTCTGGTTTTGTGCCCATTTGATGGACACCGCCCGCATTGAGCCGCCAGACTATCACAGAGCTCCCAATTCTAAGAGGCCGGCTTCTAGCTGGATGCCACGCTTTTTTTTGCAGAACGCAAATTACATATCGGACAACATAAATATACCTTACGTGGACCATGCAGGTTTGGATCTACCGCACAGTATTTGGTACAATGTAAACAGTGTCAAGGATTCTATGAATCGTAAAACCGATCTACAAATCAACATTTACATTTATATGATATTGCCAAATATGAAATTGGATTGGTAAAACCCGTTGTCATGAGAGATTGTAATCTGGGTTAACTTGTACAAGTAAATTTCATATGGTATGATTACAGTGATAACTGATTATTTAGCAAAATACTTCCATACTGCTTAGCTTTATATTACCCAAACAGTGTATATAGTTTCTTCTATCTTGAGAGCATTGACAACTAATAAAACCCGTGATTTAAATTAAGAACATTCAAATGCAATTTCACCCCCCGCCCCACAAAAAAGAGCAAAATTGCTCAAGAACTATTAATTTAATCGAAGTTAAAATGCTTTTGTGGGTTATGTACTATGCTTGATCAGTATGGGCGAGAAGCATGACCTAGATGCAAACTCATAAAATATGATTAACATCCCGATGGCTGAGTATGCAAATGTCACATGTCCAATTTTTATGTATCCAGAAAATAGCATTTGAAGATTCTGAATCGCTATGTAAAATCAGGGAATTATCAGATCATATGTATGCAAAATGTGGGTTAGGTCCTAAACAAATCGAAGCAATCACTTGGATGAAATTGGTTTCGTATGGACATACCGTATTTGAAAACTAAACTTTTGGAACATGTCCCCGTTTTTATACGCCCACATTGAAATGTGGTCTCATACTGTCGTCGCCTCCGTCCGTGTTTATGATCATAAGACCAAGAATCCCATTGACTTTCCAAAATTTCCAATAATTACTGTCTAAGCTATGACCCTTGGCCTCTTCGAGAAATCTTGTGGATATTCTACAAACCAAAGTAGTTATCACCCGAGTGACTTTAAATGTTTACACAGTGTTTAGTGTCATGAGACAAAGAAGCCGGTATCTGATAATTGTTGCCAGAGTTTTAGCCCTTGACTCTTTAACTATTAAATTTATACACAGAGTATATGGTCCTGAGACGACGAACTTTGTGGATGTTGTTTTTGATAATTATTGCTAGAGTTATGACCCTTTATTACTGTGGATGCTCTCAAGAGCAAAATTATCACCCGATTGACATTAAATGTACATATATACAGTGTTTAAGGACATGAGACGACAAAATCTAGTCATTTTCAATGATTGCCGATAACTTGAACAACTAAATTCATGATATTCACAATGTTTTGTATACTAAACGTTAACGTTAGCATGTCGTAGAACTAGAAGCCAAACACATTCTAATAATTTCTGATAATTACTTAATGGGTTGGTAATCAGATTTTAGGGTGTTGTAAATGTTTTCATTACCGACCAAAGAAAAAATATATGCGACACCCTTGTTGACATACGGACGACTTGGTTGACGTGGGCGTATGTTTCGTTGCCTGACACCTTATCTTTGATGGATATAAATCTATGTTTGTTATATAATATGCACAGGATCGACTAAGGATGAGTTCAAGTTAAGAAATATTGAGCTATTGTGAACTCGTTATCACCAAGCTTGCGAGACCATAACAGAAGAGGGCTTGTCGAGGAAACCACATCCCTTTTGGGTTTTCCAGTATCTAATTAATGACCCCTAAACGAGATGAGTGGTGTCTCTGTATTATGAAAAGCACCCTGGTCAGTTGTAGAACTTAAAATAGATATAATACTTTGGGTCCATGAGAGGACGACCATAATCGACATTCAGTGTTCCGCTAACCTTCCGTTCCGAAATGAACCCACCTTTACAAAACCTTGTTATTATACGATAGAGACTACTCACGAATCTGGAGGTTATGGCCCGACTATACGTTTATTTAACGAAAGTTTGGTCAAATTTGGAGTGAAGCATTATGGTTATAAAAAGTACGAACTATATCGAGATTCAGCATTTCCCCTCTCTACCAAACACTTTTTTGAACACGATAGAGGCTGCATTTTTTCAAATTTGGTTGTAAGCACTGCGCTGATGAGAGGACGAAAGTTAAAGGAGCTAAATCGCTAATATTTTGGGCCTAGAAATTGGCACAAATGGGTCGCAACACATATAATAATATAATATGAATTTATATAAACTGTTTTACATTCAATCGTTTCCGTTTTACTGTGAATTGTCATCAGTTATGTTCAGCGAAATACGCCAGAAGTCTCAGCCGAAAGAAAGTTTCTAGCGCCTGGTTATTCCAGTCGTGTACCAATGGTAAAATGTTTATTTTGTCTTAAATATTGGATATCAGAAGCCCATCTTTCCCAGGTAAGACCACAACACCAATGCTGATTTAAATCGTGTTTTCAATGTAGAAGATTTTGGATGATATTGAGTTAGGGACTTAGCTACTTTAAATGTCCACACATATCACTTGTGCACACTTTAAATTTCACTGCGTATTTTTATGTCAATAACATTGTATTTTCTTTACAACGAAGATGTGAAATTGTATTCAGTAAAATATAACTGTCACACATTTTAGTCACGATGTTCAGCGTCATTATCGTTATTTCTACGGTATCATTTTTTGCTTTTCACTAAACTCTGAATTTTTATATGCCCACATTTCAGTGTGGACACATTATACCGTCTCCTTGTCGGTCTGTCAACAATTGAGATGTGAATCCGAAAGAGGTCACAGTTCTTAATCTATTTATTTCGAATCTGGTGAATAACATTGCACTCAGAAGGCAATCTGGTTTGAATCTTAAGTATCTGTTTTTTGTCAAACCTGAATGTCCGGTATATAAAGAGGGTATTCATTTTTTTTTTAGGGAAAGCGAAACTGGATTTCGTAGTAAACATAATAATATTATTCTCCGTAAAACTTTTTTATTGTGTGTGTGTGTGTGGGGGGGGGGGGGGAATGCCAAAAGTCTTCATTTTATTTTTGACGAATATTCAGGTTATTGTATTTCTAACAAAAGCAACGAAGTGAAATAATTTCCTGTTCAAAAAATTCTCCGTAAAATCTATTTTTGTCCTTGACAATTTAATGTGGGTTCACAGTAACATTTAAATTTTAGTGTTAAGCTTAAAGATCTATTATGTAAGAGCTACACCTTCCTGGTGCAGATCTTTCTTTTGGTCTCAAATGTTATATATTAATAAACTATTATTTAGACATTTATTCACGTGACAAGCCCATAATCAACTAAATAGATCAACGGGTGGTTGTGATTTTGAACGGATTGAACCACGATCGTCATTTAATGATTTAATTTAAAATGGACAATCGAGACTTTGTTTATGATTGTTTATTATTTTTCAAATAGTCATAACTTCGCTCAGAAAGAAGTAATTCAACTGACATTTTGAATATATTCCATTTTCACTATCTATGTATAGCTAGAACGGCCAGTCCTTGTTCTAAATCTTATATAATGTATCTTTAATGTATGTCATTTGGTTTTAATTTCAGTGTGTTAGAAAACAACTTGCAGGTAAGAAATCATATTCTATTTTTATACATGCACCTGTCAGTGAAGTATTGAATTAAAGTTGGTAACTGGGCGCCATTAACTGACTTAATCAATACCCCAACGAATGGTGTAGTGGAGGTATCCAATCCCCCAGTGCCTTCCTAATCAATAATGCTATTTATGGGATGTTCAACACCCCAATACCCCCCTAATTAGATATTAGAAATATCTAACCCCCAGTGTTTCCCTAATGCTGTATTGAGAATAGGCTATTGACCCCCCCCCCCCTCCTCCCAATACCCCCTCTAATGGTATGAAAGGTTTTGAAAATCATATAAAACATGCTGAAAAAGTGAGATTTCTTACAATAAGGGGTCATAATCCAGAAAGTAACGGGCCAATACGCGCCAATATCGAAATTGCTCTCAACCGTAATTATGGTGTAATGGTGATAAATTTGAAAGTTTTTTTACAAGGGTACACAAGCTAGAAATGTATAAATAGGAAGTGACGGTCCTATATGCGCCAATATCGAAAGAACCCGAGATCTTTCGGTTATAAACATACATTGTCAGCTTGATCAGGGTGACCCCAAAAATACAAGACCCATATAAAGGATAATGTGTACCAGAACAACCCTCAAACGATTGGTGAATTGAAGGCAGCAATCGCAGCAAAACTCAGGGAAATCCCCAAAGAGGAATGTGTTCCAGTAATTAACAATTTTGCGTGACGTATGCAAGTTTGCCTCCAATGCCGCATAGGCCATTTGGAGTATCTTTTTAAAAGAACATGACTGAACCTTTGTAGGATTTAATAACATTATTATGGGTTCTGTATTTTTGGGTCACCCTATAAAGATTGTGACGTCTAGAGTGTCCACAACTTTGGTATCATCATGTATATTTCTCAAGCTCAGTATCGCAGGAAATCACCGTTTGCATGGTAAGGGATTTAGAAAAAAAATACAATTTCACTTTATTATTGAGTAATTTTATTAGCCAGAAATCGTTCAGAAAGCGTTTCTGACGATCTAGTCCACAAGTAGCTTCCGGGGCCTAGGCGGCCCAGGACCCTCGCCTAAAGTCCTAGGATGGTAGCACACCCAATCAAGAATTGCTTCCGCCGTCCCTGATATATAAAAAAAAGATTATACTCTCAGGTAAAAGTATATAGAAATATGAGGGTTTTAGAAAAAACCCAAAACAATTCCATCTTAGCTAGCGCTTTCAACCACTACGGGGATCATCGGGCATATATACACACATTATGCGCCGTTTCCTCTGTCTAATTTGTCTTTAAAGCAACATCACGACAAAGCTGATTATTTGGGATATTTGCCTTTTTATCGCCAAGATGTCTTTTTGGTTCTGGGAAATAGTTGTTTGAGAAGTTTATATGATAGAGAATTATGCCATTGAATGCACCTGCATTCCGAAATATCTTGAGTTCTAACTAGATAGAAGTTGAAATATTTCTGCTTACAGAACATAATCATACTGCTATCTGAATTATTATTTGTTTTCGCAGTTTTGACTGCATGTGCGCCAAATACCGATGTTACGCTGATTGCAGCAACAAAATAATTCTCTTTTTGTAATATAATACAAATGTGTTTATCTTAGCTTTTTTTCTGTTGAATTGGTAAAAATACATTAATTCATAAAATTCAGTGGTATCTAAGGATAACCAAAGTATACCAAAGGTTCCTACATGTCTCTTTGAATTTATAATTGCATGATATACATATAACTGGCCTGATTCAATTTCAGGAAACAACAAGATAGAACTGATCATGCCTACAGTCAAGCCGGCTGATGGCGGTAACGTGTGTCTTTGTTGTTATTCTAAGATCACGAGAATTGACAGAACTGTTTACTTCTATAGAAATGATACACGTGTGTGTGAAGTTAAAGATTCTGGACCAGTGAACTGGGAAGTTGGCAACTTCACATGTAAAAGAGTGAATGGCACTTTAACAATTTTTGAAGTAAATCCCATGGAGTTCAACGTATCTGGAATAACATGCCGGAATAAACCAAATTTTAGACAAGGAAAAATAGCGCCTGCGCAAGGTAGAATTTATTTATTTCCTAAACTATGAGTTATGTGGTTATGACGCTGGATGACGTTTAACTTTCAATTTGAGACTAGTAATTTGTATTTCTCAGTACGTGTGAAATGCGAGCGGAAGAAGCTCGTATTTCCGCAACTCACCAAGTTTCTAAATCCAAGGTGATCCTTTGGTGTTTTTAAAGATTGGTACACGATTCCTCGATAAATATAATAAATTAAATGTTAATTTTATTCACAAGGCATTGAACCTTTCCCCTTTCTGGCCATTGCTTAGACCTAGAATAACATAAATAATGTTTGTATTCAATAATATTTAAAATCTGGTACAACAATCCAGTGCCTGTCATCCACGGAGCATTGTCTGATTTTATTCACTGAAATATATCTGGAAACATTTTAAATCCTATTTCAGGTTTACCACCCATAGAAGAACAAAACACGAAAGACTCCAGAAATCGTATCGTCGAAAGTAACACTATCTACAATTCAACCAGTTTCAATAATTCAACCAATTTCGACAATTCAATCAGTTCCAATAATTCAACCAATTTCGACAATTCAACCAGTTTCAATAATTCAACCAGCATTACTAAAGATCCAAACCGTGTTATACCGTTACAAGTCAGTTTAGCCTCCTTTGCGTTAATAATAGTAGCTCTGATCATATTAGTGGTGCTGGTAGTCAAGAGGATAATTCACAGTAAGTAAAACCATTTTATATACCTTATGTCTGTTGACAAGATATTGATTAATGGTAATAATGTGTTGATACCGCCCGTAATATTTCAAATATCTATTCGTCTAATTATAGGAGAGTTTTGACCCTTTCGTACGACTGTATCGGTTGCTATTTAAAAAGAAATAATAGTTTTGAGCCATTAAGCTACGATGCTATGGGTAAGTAACGCGCGGTATGTATAGACCATAATTATTCAAAACAATCCCCATGGACACCGATCACGCACATAGAATCCTAGCTAAAGAGGATCGTTAAGCAAATGGTGGAAGAAAATGGTGTTTGAATCCAATGTTTTTTATTTCAGGCCTTAAATTGAAACGATATGAAAGTATATCAGCACAGAGAAGAGATGATGAATTGTTGTACATCACACTTCCGAGGAGTTCTTCTGTGGAATCTCATGTATATGAATCTGTCCAGGATTTAGCAGTGACACCAGGAATAAAGCTACCGTGTACATCACCTGGAACAAGAGCAAGAAGTGATTCAACTGTCGTCGCAGAATTACCTAAAGTGACAAATGTAAGTATCCGATACAAATCAAATCCTGTGTCTACTTCGACGCAACGACACGTTACTGAAAACGAAAACGAATCTTCACCATTCCTACAAAATAATGGTCAACACAACCATCACCCATCTAATATGAATACCGCGACTTCAGTGACTTACAAATTCGCTCCAAAATTTTCTGAATCAGATGTCACTAGGAATGATACAGCTTGTCCTCAGATAAATGTATGCCTTAGAAAGTCTTGGAAGAACTCTGCCCGAAATCCTGTATTAAATGATGATTATTTAATACCTCTTCCTAGTCGTAACAACAACGTATCGTCTTTATATATAGCGTCTAATCCGGATCATTCCAAGTACAAAACATGCTCTCAATCGAGCGATGGTTACTTAATACCTCGTTTTGTACGTAACAAAGAGGGGTCTTTGTATATGGCTTCTAATACAGAAGAAACTTTAGATCTGTCCAAACACTCAAGCGCAAACACCACATGCAGTGCTATTGTTCTTGCAAAAGAAAGTTTAAGATTTGACATGCCTGGTCCAGAATGCCTCAAAGTATTTCAGGCGAGTAGTTGTACGGAAATCTATAAAAGTAAACAGATACAATCAGTTCGAATGTCGGCAATAGAAACTACTATATAGAAATATCTACCATGATGTATATATATAGTACCATCGGAATCCGGAGGTTCTTCTGCGCAAACCCGATCGTGTAATACTTTTTGTAGAATTTTTGCTCGAGAAATAACATATTCGCATAATATGTGATATGTACTTAAAATAATTAAATCAACTTAGTCTGTAATAGACAGTTGACATATAAAAAAGAGTTATTTATCGAAAACATATGTCACTCATTTACCACCAGAATTACACGTGAGTGGAGTTATTCTAATTGCATCATTTGATTTAAAGTAACCAATCATTTTGTTAATTACACAAGTTCAGGGCCATGATCACGCTTTATGGTGCATGATATTCATTTACCTTTAAAAGAAACCGTGGAACCCTGTAAGTCAGACTTGCATTAGATTCCAGAGATCGAGGGTAGATCTGAGTTCCTAGACAGCCGAGAGGCTGGATAGGGTGGAGAAGACGTGGTTTTAGCTATATAGTATTGTAATTTGTGCTATGCTTGTATACCTGTATTCAGTTATATGCTATATAAAATGTAGAAGCGAACTATGCATTATTATTCCTGGTAAGACAAACGTCTTAAGAAACTGGAAGAAGTAAATACACAACGTGAAGCAGAAGTAAAGACAGCTAGAAACAAATTCTAGACGATCACAAGGCTACAGAATATGTAGTAAGAAAAGATGCATGGGTCGTATGTAGGATGTGGCGACCGGTTTCCCATAGACGCTCTCTACGTCAGACAGAAGGACCTATGGTGCTACAATCGGCCGATTAACTTCATTTGAACAGATCGAAATACCAACCAAATTGGGTGGAAATCCGTAATGCGGCCTAGAAGTCAAAGCTAAAATACGCTTTAATAGTCCATCTCTAAGCTGGTTAAGAATATCTTTACAACAGCAAGTCTAAACTCTACTCACTTTTAATTCACTAAAATAACCACATCTCAGCTTCTCTTTCAAATCTCACTTGCATCTTAACCTTGTTACAAGGAGGATCACATTCTGTCACTTGGTAAGTTTTATATTTTTTTGACTGACTTTAATATTTTATCTGTTTAATATGGTAATGTAATTAGAATATATTTATATATGAAATAATTAAGTTATTAGTATATTTCTATAAGTATTTCCATAAGTATGTTTGTGTAATTGAGAATATTCTACTCTCGGCTATTTAGTGTTAATTTATTCATAACCTTAATTTCAGTCTTTGTGTCATACTGTGTCTGTATGGTAGCCATATTTAAGACATCAACCCTATTATAAACTCCTATTTTATAGGGTATGTATATGTATTTGTATGTAATTGTATTAGTTAAAACTCATTGTAAATATCTTATTCATTCCTTTGTTTCAAATCAATTATTTCCCGCCACTATTTTAAATATATGTATATAGTGTAAATTATTACTATTCTTGATTTTTATACATTTCTTTATGTCTTTCAGAGTTTTTTTTATATGTATACTAAATTGATGATCCACAATAAAATCCTGAACCCATGACCTGGTGTTTTGTTCGTCTTTGTGAATAGAACCCTGCTACAAATTTGGCGCCCAACGTGATATAGATGAAGGTAGAGTTCAGTCCCTTTGTTGTACACAAGATGTTTCACTTCCAACTGTTTCACCACCGGTTGATTCCATTATTATCGACAGCAGCCGTATGAGAAGATGTCAACAAGCGTGCCCTTCTTTAAAGTCTGTTTTTAAATGTGTTCAGACTGGAGTTAAACCGACATATGATTTTTTACGCAATTTTGATCAGGAAGCCAAACATATTCTTCGCCATTGGGATAATTTATTTATTATGGATGATATTCTTTATCGCAAATATTCAATTGCTGTTTCATCTGGTCCCATTTTACATATGGTTGTTCCTATTTCTCTTCGAGACACTGTGTTTACTTTTCTTCATGATAATATGGGTCATATGGGTAGGGATCGTACTCTTGATCTTTTTAAGTCTCGTTTCTTTTGGCCTGGAATGTCTAAATTCGTAGAAGATAAAATCAAATTGTGTTCACGCTGTATTCGCAGAAAATCGCCTAACACTTCAGAAAGAGCTCCACTTATCAATATTAAAACTTCCCAGCCTCTTGAATTAGTATGTATGGATTACCTTTCCCTTGAACCTTCAAAGGGTGGCTTCGAAAATATTTTGATCATTACAGACCATTTCACTAAGTATGCAGTTGCAATTCCCACGAAAAATCAGACAGCTAAAACTACAGCCAAAGCCATCATCCATAATTTTATTCTTCCGTATGGTATTCGCGCTCGTCTTCACTCTGATCAAGGTCGAAATTTTGAAAGTGATGTAATTAAAGAAATGTGTTCTATTCTGGATATTAAGAAACCCCGCACCACTCCTTACCATCCTATGGGTAATGGTCTTACTGAACGCTTCAACCGAACCTTAATGAATATGCTTGGTACTTTATCTGATGATCAAAAGCAGAATTGGAAAGATTATGTACCGTATCTTGTTTACGTTTATAACTGCACTAAACACGTTTCAACTTCTTTTAGTCCATATTTTTTAATGTTTGGTCGACAGCCTAGGTTACCCATTGATTTTTTTTTGGTACTTATTCTTCTCCATCTGATATACATACTTTTTCTAAATATTCTCAAGATTTTCAACAACGGTTTCAAGATGTTTATAATATTGCTCAAAAGAATATTCAAAGCGCTCAAGAAAAACAGAAATTTCATTATGACCTCAAGTCACGAGGAGCTACATTAGATATCGGAGATTTTGTATTGGTTCGTAATGTTCAGATTCGCGGAAAGAATAAACTCGCAGACAAATGGGAAGAAGATGCTTATGTTGTTATTGCTCAACCCGACCCTACTATTCCAGTTTACAGTGTAATGAAAGACGGTGATTCATCAGCACGAACTCTTCATAGAAATCTTTTACTTCCAATCAGTGCTAAGGGCGTTCCTGTATCCAAATCCTCTTTTAATCCATATTTAAGGTCAAATAATTCTTTCAATTGTTCATCATTATCAGATGATTCACAAGTTCTGGCACATGCTTCGCTTTCAGTTTCCCCGGATCCAGTTTCTGAAGTTACTACAGACCCTTTTATTATTCCGGTTTCTGTTTGTACTCCTGTTCCTGTATCCGATTTATACTCAGTGTGTAACCCTGTTGTTTCAAGTATCCCTGTTAAGGATGTCAATTTTATTTCGGATAAAGTTGCTAGTTCAGATTTTGTTTCTAATTCACCTGTTTCCATAAATTCTACTGCTAATTCAAGTATTACCAGGGTGTCTAGATCGTCAATACCCGTTCCTGTTATTTCAACAAGAGTTTTAAGGTCGCATTCGAATAAAGTTGCTACTCCAATCAAGAAGTCCGTTATCCCTATTCCCGTTAAACGATCACAACGAATAAAACATCCCCCAGTTTGGTTTGATTCGGATATTTACGATTTGAAGTAGTTTTTATTGCAAATAAGGTTATAGTTATATTTTTCCGTGTGTTTGGGTGTTTTGTTTTTTGTTTTTTTATATGTCAGTGTCGGGGACGCCACTTCTCCTGGTGGGGGGATAATGTGGTAGTGTATATTTGTGTATATTTGTATTTATTGCATCTTGAATATTAGTTGTATTATTGTCCCTTTAATATATTAGTTATTTATGGTATATTTGGTGTTCGTTGTATTGTCCCTTAAATAGTCCACCTCTAAGCTGGTTAAGAATATCTTTACAACAGCAAGTCTAAACTCTACTCACTTTTAACTCACTAAAATAACCACATCTCAGCTTCTCTTTCAAATCTCACTTGCATCTTAACCTTGTTACAAGGAGGATCACATTCTGTCACTTGGTAAGTTTTATATTCTTTTGACTGACTTTAATATTTTATCTGTTTAATATGGTAATGTAATTAGAATATATTTATATATGAAATAATTAAGTTATTAGTATATTTCTATAAGTATTTCCATAAGTATGTTTGTGTAATTGAGATTATTCTACTCTCGGCTATTTAGTGTTAATTTATTCATAACCTTAATTTCAGTCTTTGTGTCATACTGTGTCTGTATGGTAGCCATATTTAAGACATCAACCCTATTATAAACTCCTATTTTATAGGGTATGTATATGTATTTGTATGTAATTGTATTAGTTAAAACTCATTGTAAATATCTTATTCATTCCTTTGTTTCAAATCAATTATTTCCCGCCACTATTTTTAATATATGTATATAGTGTAAATTATTACTATTCTTGATTTTTATACATTTCTTTATGTCTTTCAGAGTTTTTTTTATAGGTATACTAAATTGATGATCCACAATAAAATCCTGAACCCATGACCTGGTGTTTTGTTCGTCTTTGTGAATAGAACCCTGCTACAAATACATAACGACGAAAGTATATTGGAAAATGTTAGACTTTTTTTACATTTATATAAACATGAACACCTTAGCCCATTCTCCCTTAGAGTCACGGTGGCTAAGAGTGTAAGACACTAGCTCGCTATCCTGGAGTTCGCGGGTTCGATTCTTGTGTTAGCCAAGAATGTTTCTTGGGATTTTCCGGCGTGGTTTTCCCTTGTTATTGATGCAGGGCAGAGGACATGACAAGCACAGCTGTCTAGTCGTTCGGATGGGACGAAAAACCGAGGCCCCGTGTACACATTGGCGCGCACGTTAAAGATCCCCTGGCAGATGGAATTCGATATAAGAGTAGGCCGTAGCGCCGCTGTCTGGCAAAATTTCCCATTTTTTTTTAGTAATATAATATGTTTGTGTTCGTCATAAATTCAGAAGTAGAAAGTGATGTGCTGGAGTGGCTGCCCCCCCCCCCCTTTTTTTTTTAGCTCCCCACTATTCTGTAATCTTAGTTGATTCATTTTACTTTTAGATCAATGTGTGTATATAAGAATATAGAAAACATTATTATATTGGGTTTTAGTAATTATTACTTAGTATCTTGGAGTAAATTGGGTTTTTGAATATTACGGAGTAAAATACATTGTTAAAGGGAAATCAATGAAGCGTGATATTTGCCTTTTGGCTCTAGATTGATACTTGACTATTGTTTTACTGTGCTCACCCTGATATCAACTCACCAGTGATTAAAAGTTCTAGAGAAAACCCCAGTTCTAAAGATCATTAAAACATATTATTGGGACTTAACCCACCACATTTTAAACCTCCCCAAACTTAAAACCAGACGTGGATTTTCTTAAGTCTGCTAGTGATGACGTTATTATACCGCCAACATACAGTTTCCTTCACCGACTCCGACCCTCTATCGGAAACAAATCTGAAATCAACTCACCGATGGGCGGGTTGGTCGTATTATGTGGTCACACTGTCCGTCGGTACGTCCATAAACAAATGGATTGTGAGTTTTTGGCGGATTCTTTCCGGGTCCATCCCCTTTTCAAATCGGAGCTTACAATTTGCCGCAGAACAATTGTCTACTGTCTCATTATATGTTCGTTTGGGATGACTATTTCACCCCCACCCTCCCAGCTCCCCTTCCCACCCCCACCCCCGGATACAATAGAAATAACATTTCCAAATAGGGGTCCTGTGTGCATTATATGCAGCATAATTTGACCTTTGCGTTATGTTAGCCCCCCCCCCCCCCGTGGAATAACGAAAACTTGCCCCCCCCCCCCCCCCCGGTGGGAATAACGAAAACTTGGCTGGCCACGCTGAATCAAGGCAATGAAGAGTGGAGTTCGAGATGTCGGCCATTCCAAGTCCATACCACCTAAAACTGCTTCACTATTAATATCAATATTATTATTTAGTTCACTTTCAGTTACCTGGTTCATGTTATAGATTTTCCCCTAGGATTTATTATGTACTGTATTTGTATCTGAGCCTAATGATCTTGACTTACATTAGCAAGTTCAATATAGACATATTGTAAAACACGATGTAGACTAGTATGATTTTATTTTTTAACATTTCGGTTTGTTATGGAAAACTTCTTCACCATCCCCTGAAATACAGAATCAAAAATACTTTCATGAATTTTGTATACATGTTGCCGAATCGGCCCTCGATATACTTCTCTTTCAACTGTAATTTTCGGGCAGAAGGGTAAAGTAAAAGCAACAATTATTATTTCACCTAGTAGTTAGACAGAAATTAAAGCTTACATGCAGACTATATAGCAAGGTGAGCTGGGGCCAGATGGGACTCCCTCTGCCGCACACTGCTCCTGACAGGTCTTTGATCTATCTTCATAGTTGACGGCCATACACACAGCTAGAATAAAATAATTGAAATGAAATGGTGTTTAACGTCCCAAAGTCTACGCGCACTCCAATGTGTACACAAGACCGGGTGTTCGTCCTATCCGAACGACTATACCTTGTCCCGGGCCCGTATCTAGACACCATTAAGCGGGGAGGGGGGGGGGGCATTACCTTTCGGTAGGGGGGGCGAACATTTTGAGGAAATTTTCGGAAAGGTCATTCTAACAGACTGTTGTAATCATCATGCTGTGTAGTTACCTATAGGCGTCTAATAAGCATTTTAAAATAAGTATTCAAACAAAAAAAAAATCGTGATTTTTTAAATTTATTTAAAACTATTTTAGATTAGTACAAAAAAAAATGGTTCATAAAGTAATGAGATACCGTGGGATTAATATGCGCATAGTCGCCTGAATTATACCCCCTCCTGCTTAAGGAAGCGTAGTTTTTTTTTTTAGATTAATATAAGGAACTGTGTATACTTTAATGATTGTTAGCAATTTCTGAGCGGGGGGGGGGGGGGCTGCCCCCCCCCCCCCCCCCCGCGCCCCCAGTACATACGGGCCCGCGCTTGTCCCCCTTGCCAGGCCCTCTTTCCTGCACCAGTGACTAGGCGAGAGGGGTGGGGGCATCCCCGGAAACTCCTGATGAACTTTCTCGGCCAGTATCGGCATCGAACACGAGATTCCCAGGTTTATGAGCCAACCATTTACTGACTGGGCCTTCGTCCCCCTCCCCCCTTAGAATAATAGTGGTATACATTATGATTGCTTACTCTTCTGAATACATTGAAACTTTATTAGTTAATCGTCACCAGGGTTAGTGTAATTGCCATTTAAGTTGTCAACCAATCTAACAATTTCGCTTTATAAATACACAGGTGGAAAGGATAAGTCCTTAAAAACACTTGGTTTCTGTTGTACCCAAAGTGCATAACTTTATATGGTCTATGTTCACATTGAATATGGATATATTGGCGTCACGTCTATCCATCCACATTTTCTTATGAACACTAGTAAGAGTGTATGTGGATTTTATTTAAATTCCAGGTATGCTATATGCTAATGAGTGAAAAAATAAAACTCACCGTATAGAAATAGTTTGATTACTAATGTCAGAGTTATCTCCCCATATCAGGTTAAAAAGAAAGAAACTTGGAATGCGGAATTACATTTCTAGTAATATTTAATATATCATTGAGCTGGGTAAATGACTCTTACATAACCGAATTCAACAATATTATGAAAGTAGTTCCGTAATGTTTCTATGTTCGTTGAAAGGGATCATTCCTCGCGTCATTTGACATAAATTTGTAACAACAACACTATTTTCAAGTAGAATTTTTGCGATTCAAAAACATACGGGCTGCGCAAGTGCAGGTCGCATAATGGCAGCCAAAATCAAATTTATTTTGTTTATGATTCCTAATAGCAAAATTATACTTCTACATGTATAAAGTTTGTCGTGTGTGGCGAGAGCCGAAAATTGATTCCCTTTGGCGTGCAAAGGGGAGGGGGTCACGATGGCTAAGTGGATAAGACGCTGGCTCACTAGTATGGTGGCCTATCGTTATCATTCAGGATTTAACAAAATTTCTTTAAAAACCTAAATAAAATGAAATGAAAATGAAAAGCAAAATCAAAATCAAAAGTAAATTAAAAGCAAAAGTTCAACCAAAAGCAAAAGTTAAATCAAAACTAAAAATTAAATCAAAAGCAAAAATAAAAATAAAAGTAAAAGTAAAACCAAAATGTAAATTAAAATCAAAACACAAATGAAAATTAATTTGAAAAGTTCAACCAAAAGCAAAAGTTAAATCAAAACTAAAATTTAAATCAAAAGCAAAAATAAAAATAAAAGTAAAACCAAAATGTAAATTAAAATCAAAACACAAATGAAAACTAAAATCATTTTTAAAAGTAATTTGAAATGTAAAACAAAAGTAAAAGGCAAAATAAAAATATTTGTCGGCCTATCGCTATCATTCAACTTTTTTTCACGCAAAAGTAAAATAAAAATATTTGGTCGGCCTATCGCTATCATTCAACGTCCTTGACCCCAATCGGTAACCGTCGGTTATTTCCGACCGCTTTCACTCGACGGATTGTTCTCCCGCGGTACAAATAAAACTGAATCAGAACAGTATTTTCTTATGGAATGCGAAAAGAATAAAGATTTGCGAACACAATATATATATATATATATATATATATATATCCAACCGTAAACATTACTGATCGAACCTTTTGTTTTAATAATCTCTTCAATCCATCAAGCATCATTGTCCCGATCAGTGTTGCAGAATTTGTGATTTATATGTCTACATATTATTAATTATATTACCCGTATCTATTTTATGCGCGCATGTTGTTGTTTTTTTTTTTTTTTTTTGTCCTGTTTTTATTTTCTATATTATGTATACTGTATGTATGGTTTGTATTGTCTGTCTGTAAATTGATGCCCGTGTATAACTTTTTCATCTTTACATATTGTACATGGCCGCCCTAAAAGGGCGTTCCGATGCAATCAAATTCTATTTTGTTCTTTTCTATTCTATATACATATTTACACATTCGTTAGTGTAATGGTAGACGTTACTGATTAAGCGTTGCACATCCCTCTACACTACCACCGCCTTTAGATGTGTGGTCCTCGAGACGTAGCTATACCCAAGGCCAGGTTTTTCGAAGAGAAGAAATGAAATGAAATGAAATGGGGTTTAACGTCCTACTGTTCTGCTTCTAAACTGGGCTAATGAAAACGGGCATACGCCATACAGTGTGCTATGAGGGAAATTTTGCCCGGACAGCGGCGCTACGGCCTACTCTTATATCGAATTCCAACTGCCAAGGGATCATTTACGTGCATGCCAATATGTACACGGGACCTCGGTTTTTCGTCGGAGAGAAGAAGCACTCCGACGCTCATATTGGGCAAACAATGTGACAAGATACCGCGTCAAGAACCGAACCCGCTAATCCAGGCAGCTGAAAGTTTGACGTCATATTCAAAATGGATGCCTCCGTGTCTTGCCACTTTGGCGAGACAAACTTCGATTTAACTGAAGAATTATCCAGGGACCCGCCCTGGTTAAGCTGGGCTTTGAGTTTGGGAGTTAACAGAGAAAACCCACGGGTTATGCAATGTGACTATAGCGATGATATCAATATCCGATTTTCTTATGGGACAATTGTTCGGATGTGACGAAAAACCAAGGTCCCGTGTTCACATTGGCATGCACGTTAAAGATCCCCAGGCAGTTGGAATTCGATATAAGAGTAGGCCGTAGTGCCGCTGTCCGGGCACAATTTCTCTTTGATCGATAATTCTTCAATTAAAGGAGCTAAATCGATAATATTTGGGACCTACAAATTGACACAAATGGGTCGCAAAGTACATGATAATGTAATATGAATGTAAATAAACTGATTTACATTCAATCGTTTCCGTTTTTACTCTAATTTCAAAGCAGTTATGTTCGGTGAAATACGCCATAAGTCTCAATCGAATGGCAATCTCTAGCGTCTGTATATTCCAGTCTAAACCGATAGTATTTATTGCACATGCTCTCCAGATAAGAATATGGGGTCTCCGTTTTACATGACTTGTGAAATATGTCTAACCCCGTTCTTCGATTCGCTTGTTACAAATTGCGCTGAAACGCATTATGGTACACGAATCGTGTACCAATCGTAAAATGTTTATTTTGTCTTAAATATTGGATATCAGAAGCCCATCTTTTCCCGATAAGATCGGGGGGGGGGGGGGTGGATGGCTGAATGGTTAGCGTGCGCGCGCTGTATCATAAAGTCTATCATTGAGGCGACTGGCGTGGTTTCGAATCCCCGGTTGTACGTGGCAAGGAATAGGGTCGCCTGTCCAACCTCGTGGGTTTTCTCCGGGGCCTCCGGTTTCCTCCCACTGCTAAAGACCCCTACGCGCAAGCGAATTATGTAAATAAAATTAAACCATATGTTAGTCCTGAAATGACCTAGTTTGTGTCGAGTGGACGTTAAACCCCATTTCTCTCTCTCGGTAAGATCACAACACCAATGTTGATTACAATTGACAAATAATTCGTGTTTTCAATGTCGAAGGTTTTGGATGATATTGAGTTAGAGACTTAGCTACTTTAAATTGAAGTTTGTCTCGCTAAAATGGCAAGACACGGAGGCATCCATTTTGAATATGACGTCAAACTTTCAGCTGCCTGGATTAGGGGGTTCGGTTCTTGACGCCGTATCTTGTCACATTGTTTGCCCAACGTGAGTGTCGGAGTGCTTCTTCTCTCCGAATAAAAACCGAGGTCCCGTGTACAGATTGGCGCGCACGTAAAAGATTCCTTGGCAGTTGGAATTCGATATAAGAGTAGGCCGTAGCGCCGCTGTCCGGGCAAAATTTCCCTCATAGCACACTGTATGGCGTATGCCCGTCTTCATTAGCCCAGTTTAGAAGCAGAACAGTAGGACGTTAAACCCCATTTCATTTCATTTCATTTCATTTCATTTCTTCTCTCCGAAAAAAAGTCATAGCGACAACCTGGCCTTGGGTATAGCTACGTCTCGAGGACCACACATCTAAAGGCGGTGGTAGTGTAGAGGGATGTGCAACGCTTAATCAGTAACTTCTACCATTACACTAACGAATGTGTAAATATGTATATAGAATAGAAAAGAACAAAATAGAATTTGATTGCATCGGAACGCCCTTTTAGGGCGGCCATATACAATATGTAAAGATGAAAAAGTTATACACGGGCATCAATTTACAGACAGACAATACAAACCATACATACAGTATATTATACATAATATAGAAAATAAAAACAGGACAAAAAAACAACATGCCCGCTTAAAATAGATACGGGTAATATAATTAATATTATGTAGACTTAAAAACAGGACAAAAAAAAAAAAAAAAAAAAAAAACAACATGCGCGCATAAAATAGATACGGGTAATATAATTAATAATATGTAGACATATAAATCACAAATTCTGCAACACTGATCGGGACAATGATGCTTGATGGATTGAAGAGATTATTAAAACAAAAGGTTCGATCAGTAATGTTTACGGTTGGATATATATATATATATTGTGTTCGCAAATCTTTATACTTTTCGCATTCCATAAGAAAATACTGTTCTGATTCAGTTTTATTTGTACCGCGGGAGAACAAACCGTCGAGTCGAACCGGTCGGAAATAGCCGACGGTTACCGATTGGGGTCAAGGACGTTGAATGATAGCGATAGGCCGACCAAATATTTTTATTTTACTTTTGCGTGAAAAAAGTTGAATGATAGCGATAGCCCCGCAAATATTTTTATTTTGCTTTTTACTTTTGTTTTACATTTCAAATTACTTTTAAAAATGATTTTAGTTTTCATTTGTGTTTTGATTTTAATTTACATTTTGGTTTTACTTTTACTTTTATTTTTATTTTTGCTTTTGATTTAATTTTTAGTTTTGATTTAACTTTTGCTTTTGGTTGAACTTTTAAAATTACTTTTAAAAATAATTTTAGTTTTCATTTGTATTTTGATTTTAATTCACATTTTGGTTTTACTTTTACTTTTATTTTTATTTTTGCTTTTGATTTAATAATTAGTTTTGATTTAACTTTTGCTTTTGGTTGAACTTTTACTTTTAATTTACTTTTGATTTTGATTTTGCTTTTCATTTTCATTTCATTTTATTTAGGTTTTTAAAGAAATTTTGTTAAATCCTGAATGATAACGATAGGCCACCATACACTAGCCTGGGATCGGGTGTTCGATCCCTGCATTGACAGAGATAGTTCATCCAGATTTTCCAGCGCGGTTCCCCCCTTATTAGTGATGCAGGACGGAGGGCCTGACAAGGGCAGCTGTCTAGTCGTTCGGATGGGACAAAAACACCGAGGTCCCGTGTACACATTGGACTGTACGTAAAAGATCCCTTGACAGTTGGAATTCGATATAAGAGTAGGCCGTAGTGCCTCTGTCCGGGAAAAGTTTCCCTCATAGCACACTGTATGGCGTATGCCCCTCTTCATTAGCCCAGTCCAGGGCAGAACAGTTGGACGTTAAACCTCATTTCATTTCATTTTGTGCAAAGGGGAATTACGGTGAAAAATAGATGGTTTGAATTTCAAAATAGCCTTAGACCAGAGGTGGGGTAGAGTGGTATTTTCATATTGCAGCTTAAAGGTCCTTGACAGACCTTCCCGACAGCAACTATTATTGAGATACAGACTGCATTGTATTAGAACAGACATAATTTGTACAACATTTTACTCTTTCTGCAAAAGATACAGACTTTTAGATTAATTCTTGTAATACATATATAATAACGTATGCCGATGTTCTATATTGTTGATAAATTAAATATTGTTAAAGTTTACGTTATAGAGTGGAGACATCATTGTTTTAAAAAAATGCCCAATGAAAGTAGAAAGTCATTTGAATAGTATGATTAGAGAAAAATGCTGTAGATGTGATCTCTTATCCCTTGATCACTTCCCTTCGTTTTCTGGGGTATTATTCTAATATACTATTCAAAAAAAGTAAGTGTTCTTAAAGTCACCTAATGAAACTGACGAAGAAACAAATGACAAAATGAAATGAAGTTCACATTCATCGATTTATTCCAAATGATCGTTAGACTAAGTAAGGCACAGACTGACCATTATAAGGGTAAAATGATACCCGGGGTCAAACAGCAAAGTTACCACAGCATCACAACCAAGTCAGTAACGGGTAAATCCTCCTCTGTTTGCCAAACAAGCATTGATCCGACGTAGCATACTCCTAATGAGACGTCTAAGGTCATTTTGGTCCAGATTGTCCCATTCCTGTTGCAACGCAGCAGCAAGTTCTTGGACATTGGCAGGACGTTGTTGACGTTGACGTAACCTCTGTCCAAGCATGTCCCAGACATGCTCGATGGGGGAGAGGTCGGGACTCAGTGCTGGCCAAGGTAATGTGGTGATGTTCTGTTGTTGGAGGTAACCTGTAACGATCCTGGCCCTGTGACATCTTGCGTTGTCATCCTGGAAGATGAAACGGCGGCCATGACGTCGTGCGAACGGCACAACATGGACTGCCAAGATGTTGTCCCGGTAGTACTGGCCTGTAACACGCCCTGCAACAACATGTAAAGCCGTTCTTCCAGCAACAGTGATGCCTCCCCACACCATAACAGAACCACCCCCAAATCGATCATATCTGATGACGTTAACGTCTTGGAAGCGCTCGTTTCGACGACGCCACACCCTTCTACGTCTGTCCAAAAAATCAACAGTGAACCTTGACTCATCTGAAAACATCACATTGCTCCAGCGTCGATTATCCCAGTGTTGTCGATTCCGAATCGTCTGGCCACTCACTCCCACACCAGTGTCTGTTTGAAGACGAGCGCTGATCTGATTTGCTGTGATGACACGATTTCTCAAGGCTAAGGTACGGATAAATCGATCCTGGGCTTGAGTTGTCGCCCTTGGTCGACCTGAGCGTGGTCTGTCCTGTACAGATTGTGTATCACGGTATCTGGACCATAGCCTGCTTATGACAGACTGAGAAACATTCATCGTCCGCGCCACAACCGCCTGTGTTGTGCCGATCTGTAGCATGCCAAGGGCACGTAACCTTTCATTTTGGGTAAGCCGACGCATATCAAAATTTGTTTTCTGGTCACTAAAACAATTAAACTGATGTTTCCACCCTGGAATTCAATGCCACAATGACTGTAACATTCAAAGTCAGAGTCGTGCAAATCTTGGGTTGGACCCCCATGATGATCCCAAGCATCACCTGCATTCCATGCGGTAGCTATTGGTGCGTTTGGGCGTCACATGTAACTGGAAATGTTTCTTCTGTTAGGTTCTATAGTGACTTTTTTCGTAGTCATTTGCATATTTTAGTATTATGCCCCCAAAATCAAATATCCCCTACTTTTTTTGAATAGTATAGTAAGTGCACGTTGACCGCACTACACACAACCAAAACCGAAAAGACAAACATGCGGACACTACATAGTTACTGCAAGCAATAAACAAGAAATAAAGAACCTTACTAAAGATCTCATAAATAATGCTCTCAATAAACTCACCAATACACAAAATCAACAGGAGAAGAAACACAAACCGATGCATTTTATTCAGATGACTTGTAACTAATAATTCTCTAACTCACTATTTTGCTTTTATGATAATATTAACACCTGGTAATATTCACACAGATAACAGGTAAAGTACAATATAATTAGCCTACATTGTTAAAGAAAAATGATGCAATTAGGAATCGTAAGTAGTGTACAATTTACACAACAGCTGGTGTAACCAACTAAAATAACTACTGTCAAAAATTTGACCCGAAACGCATAACCACTGAACACTAGAACACCCACCCATTGGGTGTAACTCTAGAATTTTAAAAGTGTTCTGAGTGCCCTATAACCATAAGAGTGTATAAACAGCCAAAATGTGTTATTAATAACCAGGAGACATCCCCAGTATCAGTTTTACACCGTATGTTATTCAAAATGTGTTGTCCTTACAGAACAACAAGTATCGTGTATTGTATCTTAAAGATACGTCATATAAGATACATAACTGGCTATTCTTGCTATAATAGTTTAAAATTAATAGTAAATAATGAATATACTGAATGGAAATGAAAGGAAATGTAGTTTAACGTCTAACTGTTCTGCTTCGACTGGGCTAATGATGAAGTGTCATTCGATGGTCTAAAAGGTTGATTATGGAAATGGAATGAAATGAAATGGGGTTCAACGTTCTATTATTCTGCTCCGAATTGGGCTAATGAAGGCGGACATATTCCATACAGTGTGCTATGAGGGAAATTTTGCCCGGACAGCGGCACTACGGGCTACTCTTATATCGAATTCCAACTGTCAAGGGATCTTTTACGTGCACGCCAATGTGTACACGGGACCTCGATTTTTCTTCCAATCCGAACGACTAGACAGCTGTCCTTGGCAGGCCCTCCGTCCTGCATCACTGACAAGGGGGAACCACGCTGGAAAATCGGGATAAACTGTCTCTTAATGTAGATGGCGTACAGAAATAAATAAACCTACATGGAATACAAGTTGAAAGATTTATTTTCTTGTTCTCTCGTCTTTATCAAACACAGTTTAAGTTCGTATATTTCCAAATTTATAGCCACTATATATATATATATATATATATATTTAAACATGTCTTTGAAGCAGTCTACGTATGATCAGGTGTATTGATGCACTATTCAGAGTGTAAATCCCATCCGAATGTAGTGTATTTATATTACATCTATGAATCCGAATAGTTGAGACACCTTAAACTTGCAATCCGAGTGACTGTAAACGGACTTATTATTTTTCACTGTGTAGGACTTGCTAGAAGGTAAATAAACAAGGAGTAGTATATTGTTCTAGATAAAATAAATATAATTTAGTAGAGCAAAACATCGGATATTCAACTCACTACGAATATTTCTTCAATCCTTCAATAAATACATGTAAATGTACACAATACGCCTTACGAAACACACTGGTCAGATACCACAGAATAAGGCAGCCGTAACTCATTAGCTCAGTCGGTGCAGAAAAGTTGGACGCTAAAACCCCATTCATTGCATTTTCCCCTGTCACGTCACGTCTTGCATGACACGTCGAATTGGAAAAATCTACATTAAAATAATTGTTCTTCCAGCCTCATTTTCACACGTTTGTTCTTCCAGTCTCTTTGGTTGTGCTTATTAGGATTTGGGCGGCACTGAATCACTCAATAGGTTTTACCAAACTTAATGAGAAGTTAAAAAAAAAATGTATAAGTAAACCTTATACTACTATCTGATTCTCACAAGGAACATGTAGCCAATTGGTTATTATGTGAGTAACTGTATTTCAGTGATAACACCATTGACCTCAGTACCTGATTATCTCGTGTTCGAAACTCGGCATGAGTCGGCCAAAACAAACTTACCCAACTAGTAATACACAATTAAATATAGTAAGATAGTCGTCGTCACCGTCCGTCCGTCCGTCCACAATTTTGACGAAATTTGGTCTGATGGTTGCAAACCGCGAGAGAATGATCAATGTCGATTTTTAGAGTTCTACATCATTTTATCCCTCATTCGGCAAACCTCAGCAGAATCCGGTACCATACATCGTAGAACTAGCCGAGGTGTTCTGAATGAGTTCCACCCCCTCCCCCCTTGTCATTCCGTAACATTTGAAGGGCATTTTTCAAACTTTGTAAGAAGATTGGGCACCACAAGATGATCGTTATAGCTTTTCAGCGTTTCAGTTTTTGAGTTACCGCCCTTGTCATTTTGGCAACGCAATTTGGTATAAAGCATACCTTGGTTATCAATCCTTTTCCGAATAACTTACAACAGATATTCTTCAAATTTCGGTTGAAGTGGCTGGGTCATGAGAGGAAAAATTCTATCGGTATTCAGTGCTTCGCGGCCAGAGATATAATTATGTTTCCAGTAAAGCTAGATGCTTATTAAAATTGGACAACATACAAGATTTACTTTCAGATAATCTGTTGTTAAGACATAGTTGCTGTGTGGGGCGTATTTCCATGTTTTGCATGGCTATCTTATTATATTAACTGGTTTTCCTAGAATTGTGTATCATTGTCGTGAGTCAGTAGCACAGACAAGTGAACAATACCTAGTGAACAAAGGGTTTTAATAAACTATTAAATAAATTATTTGGTAATTAATTATCAGTATCAACATCCGACCCACTGCGACCGTAAATAATAGCACAGTATTTGTGACAAAGGTTTTTGGAAACAATAATGATATGATCCAGCAATATAACACAGTATCGTTTTACCCAACTCTGGAATCCATTACAGAATCGAGGCTTGGCCAAGGTATTCTGTATATACTGTATATTATCCGTTGATCCATCAATATCTAGTTTTCGATGAAACAGACATAAACGTGGGCCTTACAGACGAACACTGTTATTAGAAGCCTTATCAACTGACACAGACAGACAGACAGAAAGACAGAAATGGGGTTTAACGTCCACTCGACACAACTAGGTCATTTCGGGACTAACATATGGTTTAATTTTATTTCAATAATTCGCTTGCGCATAGGGGTCTTTAGCAGTGGGAGGAAACCGGAGGACCCGGAGAAAACCCACGAGGTTGGAATCAACTGACACAATGACATAAATGTTCATGATGCTATGACACCCACATGATTAGAAAAATTATCTTATAGATTTAATCCACCCAAAGAGCGTATCAGCAACCTAGTTCCTCTTGCTTTTCTCAGCTCTTCGCGCACTCTTGTACCTTTTAGTCTTTGGTAATTAAGAAATTGTAGCCCGGAAGATTGTGTCTGAAAATATTAAGGTTTTGAATGCTGTTGCGTCGTCAATCCGCCTATTTTTCATGGCAAAAAACACAACACAATTTATTTGTGCTTAAAAAAGGAAAGGGAATACTTGTCGAAGCGCCATGCTATATGTGTATAAACCAGTGATTGTTTTCCATATAAATTGTGTTCTGTTTTTTTAATGTGCTCAATCGCTAAATGCTAATCAGGATTATTTTGAATGGGGGGAGGGGGGGGGGTATACTGGCACTTATCATCACCGATTATTTGGAGAATAGAATAACGAACTAAATCAATATGTAATATAATTCTAAAGATGGTGCCCAAACTACGTACTAACATTACCTTCTTTATGGTTCCCGGATCCTAAAATACTCACAGGATCTTTCTCAGTTCGTTTCTCACTCCCGGTTTCGTGTTCTGGACTCCATGACTTTCATTACCCCGTAGGATTTATTAAATACAGTATTTGTATCCCAGTTTGATTTATATCAGAAACTAGTGTTATAATCTGTATCTATTATTGTAATAATTTGTGAATATCCACCTTGAAAAAGTGACAATAATGACATGTTGTTAACCAGTATGATTTTATTTTTTAACAGTTTGGTCTGTAACGACTAATTTCTTCACCATTGACCCCTGAAAAACAAAACCAAAATAATTTTATGAATCACGCAGAAAAGTTGCCGAACTGATGTCGAAACTTTCCTTTCGCCTTTAAAGTTATGTTAAATATTAAAACAATTATTGGCATTTTCTGCAATGATGTAAGCCAGTATTACTTTGTGATAGCATTACAGAAATAACAACGGTCAAAGGCATTTTCACACATGTTTCCATAAGCAACGAATTCGGCGGAGATCTCACACATTTATAAAATATCCACAAAAGAGACAAAAATTTAAAACTTACAGGCAATAAATAATATAACAAATTGAATTACTGCCAGAAGGGTATCCCCTTGCTTCACAATTTTCCTTGCATGTCTGTGATTTAGGTTCTAATTCATCGGCGATACACAAAGCTAGAATATAATAGAAATTTGTTTTTGATTACTAATATTATCTCCACGTTTACGTTCGGAAGTATGAGTTCTTGAAACCAACGTTTCAATCTCCATGGGATTGGTCATTACGTTATAAGACAGAACCCTAATGTATTTCAAAATTTTCGAATGGTAAATTTCAAATGTTCTCATTTTTGTTATATTTAATATATCAATGGGCAACTGACCCTTTTACATGTGACATAACGACTTTTGCAATATTATTTTTTGAAAAAGAGAAGCTAATAATAATAAAAATTATTGATGCTCTATATTGTCGACGAACTATACAGAATAGTTTATTTCAGCTGTATCAGTTCAGTGGATATGGTGTGAAGATACTATGAATGCAAGTAGAAAGTCCTTCGAAAAGTAAATTTTATCGGGTAAAGAAAAAAAGCTGTAACATGTCAACTAATCCCTTGATCTTTTCCTTATTATCTTTTCTAGAGCTTTATTCTAAAATATCATAAATAATAGTAATAAGAGACCGTATAAACTCACCAATACACAATATCAACACGAGAAGCAACACAAACCGATGCATTTTATTCAGATGACTTGTAACAAATAATTCTCTAATCCGCTATTTTGCTTCTAAAATATTTTGAACATCTGGTAAAATGATAATAATCACATATAGATAACAAGTAAGTACGACCTGGTTACACTGTAAAAAATGACAAACAATCTGATTAAAATACAGATCTATATTTCGTTTCGTTTTTTTATACTTTCGATGATCTACAGTACACGAATATCTGACCAGTTGTTTTGGGGGATAACGTTAAAGGTCATACGAGCGGCTTTTGACCTATGGCATTAGTTATTTGATTAACCAATCAGCATTGATGTCTCCAGTGGATTACCCATAGTTCCGTGCAGCTCACACCAAAAGCATGCCGTAACAGACCGTTTAATTGGCTTGTGTAGTAAAGACACGTAAAACGAAATTTTTAACTATAAAAAACGAAAGAATGATTTGTGTTTTAATCAGATTGTAAAAAATGGGCGTTATTAAAAAAAACCCCCCAAAACAATGAGTGTAAACTATTTAAACCTTGGCTCACAACATTTTGAGAGTAACGCTCATCCGAATGTGGTGTTTTAGTTAAACCACTGAAGTTGAGTAGTTACGCTACTGACTTTGGAAACTTAAACCCCGTTCACATGATCGCAAAATTTGCACCCAGGTGTATGTTTGACCCTGTAGACGCATTTACACGCATGCAAAGTATATTTACACACATGTAAATTTACTTCTAGTGTGTAAGTCAGATCCATATGCAAATTTACTTTAGGTGTATTTTAATCCCTGTGAATGGGAATCACTATATGCAAAAAATGAAATTAAATCATGTCAGTTTTTATAATAGGTATGAGCAGTTAATGAATGAAACACAGATATGCCAAATCAAGGGGCGCTTCTTGGTTCAATTTTCCATAGTTTCAGGGGATACGCTGGATATGCATTTCTCTCCTTGCAACTATTCTTTCTTGTCCAAGGCGGGAGCAGCAAACCATTTTCTTCCTTGTGAAATATCTCAAAGCTTATGGAAACCTGAGCGTCTTCCACCCTTCCTGGCCAACCATTATTTATGTCCCTGAAAATGTATTTATGTTCGCAGACGGCTTACATGATAAATGCATTACAGCCTCTCCTGTTATTCTCCGTGCGATTCCTTACGATTATTGATAAGCACGTCAAAGTCTCCTTCGCAGTTTGGAAATCCCCATGTACCTTCATACCTCCTCAGAATAGTTTTCAGTTCATCGCCAGACCTTTCGAAATGATTGTCCACAATAGCTTCACAAACCCTGTGCATACAGACACATACAGTTGATTTTGCAACACCAAAACAAATTACCTAGTCCTGTATTTTGTTGTAGATGACTACAAAATACAATGTAGTTTCCATCTGTTTATGTACCCCCAGGGGTTCTAGGACGGTCTTATCTTTCGGAGTCAAGTCATACTGTAGATCAAGGGCATAAGGCTTCACGGTCCCTCTTTTCATTGGCATTTCAATCATGTCTTTTGGCCTTGGTAGTGCCCAAAGTTCCCTACTGCCCACAAAACCTACGACAAAGCCCAAGGCAACATACATTGATTGGAATCAACTACCAAACTGTAGTTACGAGACTGACTGAAAATGAATGAGGATAAGTCTGGTGTTCAAGAAAGAGTTGATATGAACCACTTTATGATACCAGCAATAATATAATTACAGCTAAATCAATTTTAAAGTCCAAATCTACTACGGCGAATCACATATTGACGCTAATGACGACAGACATACGCCATATAGAGAGTTATGAGGGAAATTTTTCCCGGACACCGGCGCTATGGCTTATATTGTACCGAATTCCAACTGCCAAGGGATCTTTTACGGACATTCCAATGTGTTCACGGGGCCTTCGTCCCACGCCGGAAAAACCCGATGAACTTTCTCGGGACCTCCAGGTTAACGAGACACGTTTGATCAAATCGTTCTATAATTGTTTCTATAATTCCCCACAATTGGACATACGGAATACAATATATTGTTATGTCACACAGATTGTAACTTTAGAATTTTAAATAGCAATTCACTTGGTAAATGAAAACGGTTTTGGAATAGGAAACCAGATAAGCAATCATTAAGATAACAATATTCATAAATAAGATACGAGGTCCACCCACTAAACCGCGGGATTGTGATGAGAGTAGGCCTCCTTTTCCTTTTCAGCATTGTACATGGCACCATAGAAGTATTGTTTTGACGAGATGTTAGAACCCGTTCCTTTCATGTCCTTAAAAGGCCACATTCAACCAGTGTTGCTATTGGAAACTAATCCTGTTTGTAAAATAACCACCCCATATGGTTGAACTGCATTTTCTTGCACCAGTTATAGGGATTTGTAGGGATTTATAATGTATTTATAATGTAAATGTTAAGAAAGAATGCGTCCTACCTTTCTTGTCCATCATAACCAAGAACTTTCTGCATAAAGCACATACTATGTCTAATAATTCACAAGTAGGAAATTGTATTAAGTCAGCTGGCAGCGAAACATGTTAATATAACTATGAGCTGAGGGCTACATGTATGGGTATCAACAATTTTATCTGCAACCGTGAGAAATAGTCACTCCACAACTTTTGTTGTCTTATGTCATTCGGCTAGCTAGAGATTAAAATGAAGTCTGTACTTTCTTCTTACTGTTGATGTTGTTGATTGGTAAGTTTGACTATTCAATTTTTATGCAATGTTAAAGATATGCAGGTTTCAAGTGACTCTACTTGTCCGTGTTGTAAGACAAGTTTCCCCTTCCTATTCCTACAATGTAGTTAATAATAGATATTTTGGTACTTTACCATACATTGCCCTACAGCTTGTGTGCTAGGAAGCTCGTGTACACGATCAAAACATGTCTATGGTCTACTAAAATCTTCTCATTTCCTTTCCCTGAGGAACGTACTGGGATACATGTTAGCTTCTGCTAATTGTTATCAGCTTCAAAATCCTACAAGCAGACAATGTTGTTCTTAAAATCGCAAAGAGATATTTCTCATTCTTTGCTTTGCCCTTATGGAATTCATTGCTTTACAACACTGGAACCAACTCGTTATATGCATTTAAAGATTTTCCGGTAGATACAATTTAAAGAGAGTGGTATAAACTTTAGTTTTAGTAATATTGTATATTTATTATGCTATATAAATAGAGGATTGTTATTGTTATTTAAAACACCAAACGCATGTAGCCGGCTGTATTTGTGAGCTCCGCATCGTTTATTTCTGTCTGACCATCATCCCCACTGTTCAAGAAGATATTCAAGGGCAATCACATTCTAATTTCAAATCACCGTAGCTTTATTTTGGGAGGACAGCCTTGATTATTTGAATATGTTTTGCAGATATATAACTGACCATTTATTTATCAGTGTAAGTCAAGTGCAGGACAAGGGCCCTGGACCCATTTTCATTTACTTTTATTTCATTTCATCTATGCAGGTTGATCTATGTAAATGATTTAATTTTTTTTAACAAAAACCTATAGCTTGAATAATACAGCTTAAATATCTGATTATGTTTGTAGGAGTTTGTGTTTCACCGCTGATTTTAGCAGCAGAATGTGGTGCGACATGTCTGAAATATGCCGAACTCGGCCGATTCTCATAAACTGAAATGTTGCATGGATCACTGCATAAAAGAAAATTCGTAAGTATTTATATTATCCAATGACATGTCTAGATTATGGAAGAGTATGTAAGACTTGTCAACGCTTTAGATTAACCTATTTGGCATATTGCACCTGGTAAAATACTAAAAGATGCACAGCAAAACTGCATATTAAATATTACAGATATATGTCTCTTGAATATAGATATATATGTCTTTTAAATATTATATATAGAGAATCTCCTACCAGTATTTTTTTATATCAAAAAAGACGAGTAGGAGATTTTATTTATCACCCAATCCCTTCTTACATGCACAAATAGATAAATATAATTCTTTGCTGTAGATTGCACTTTTACTGAACATTACGGCGTAGTGATACATCATTTTTTGACAGCAATTCAACCATTGCAAAGTCCTTTATATAGACCCAGTGTTTCCATCAAGGTCAATTGAATAACAATAGTACATTTTTAATAAAAAAAGTTACTTTTAATAAGAAATGAACTGTTCTTTGAAAACGAAAAAAAGTAGTTCCTTTTCAACTGACCAATCAAATGCATGTAAAGCGATATCTCCTAAAGAGATATCGCAGTAGATTATGAAATATATCACACAAGCGATATCTACTGTAGAATGTATTATTGGGTGATAAAGATATTTATCTCTTAAATATTAAATAGATATATATTTTCTGTCTATTAAAATATTATATATATATTATCTCTCTTAAGTATCAAATAGATAGATATGTACTTTATATTTTTTTAGTATCATGCAGGTAAACCAAGAAGTTACGACTCTTTGGTGATTGAAGCTATGGTATCCTTTCACATAAATAAAATGTAGAAAATTTGTCTCCAATATCATTTATCGTGATAACTTAAGTCACAACAATTGCTCTGTAAATAATAGATGCGCAACTCAAATTTGTTTAACCCCAACACCACTTACATAATCAATTGCAGTTTTAGAAACCTGGAAGACTATGACTTACGAGGTAATTGCATGTTTCAATGGCAGGACAATATCTCTTCATCATGGATTGTATCTCTCTGGAACACGATAATGACCCGGCAACAACTCTTCAAGGGGTGGTACACCAACAGAGGTAAGTTGGACATGTCCCATACATTGTCATGGGTTATTTAACTTGCCACCATTATGTACCTAGGCCTATCGTCATACCCGAACGACTAGAAGCATCTGTGCCGCTTAGACAAGGAAAAACTATGTTATAAATTCAAGATGAACTTTCTTCGTCAACAGCATGCTATAAATGACTTGTAACATTGACACTTGCTCAATATGATGATTGTTATTGCACAGAAAACCCATCCCACTTCTCTATATCATTTCTACTAAAACTAGTGTAAATGAGCAAAAGTGTGCAATAACATTGAACATGTCTAGTTATTGCATGGTTAAGCTCCACCCAATCTATACTAGAGGGAAAACAAATCTGCTTATTCAACGAAAAGAACGAAGGAAGATTTCCCATCCATGTTACAAGCCTGGTTGTGCAACACTATAGAATATTTAATAGTATTCTATCGATATAGATAATTATGTATATCGATGAAATACTATTAGATATAATATAAAGTCCATTTAACTCTTCATTTGTCATGCATACAAAAACGCCAATGGCAATGTTTACGTCATTTTTTCACAAAACACATGCAGCCTTTGTATTATATTATATTGTTAGAAACAAGCAATGGGTACGTGGTTTTTACAATCGTATGTATTATTAAAGTGTGTGTTCTTTTATTTGGGATATGAATTGTGTATGCATTCGTTACTTATAATATACCTGTATTTAAAAGACTCGTGTTTAAACTCAATAGGTGAGTGGATACCAGTTGTGTGCAAGAGTTAAAAAGATTCCTCGATTTCGTATTACACCATTGTGATTTCTGGATCTCCTTAAACAAAATTTATGGAAAATTTAATTTGGATTACTTTGATGGATTTTATTGATTACTTACGTACCACAACAACAAGCAGTTAGTTTCGTTTCGTGTGTGTAGTGAATAATCTCATGGATTGAAGACGTAGGTTCTTTAGACGTTAGTTTCGTTCAATAAAGGCTATCCGCCTTGACAACACCGACTATGGGCTTGAATGCTCGCGGGGACCGACTTGGTTTATGCCAAAATAAAATTTCAAATATGGTGGCTGTCATGTAATAATGTCATTAGAATTTGGGTTTCGTCAATTAATCTTAGAGACAGACAAGAATATATAAGCCCATCAGTTGGATTATGTTTGTACCTCTGTGCTTAAAGGAAAACGAAAGTTGAAAGGGAAAATCAAGAAAATAAAACTAGATCCAGAATTGGTGTTAATAAGAGTGGGTGTCACATATTTGTTACCTATAGAAAATTATCTACTGTGTTCCAGAATCCACGATGAAATTAGTATTTTGTGTGTTTTTGGTTTATTGGAATACTGAGGTGTTACAGACTGTTGAGGTATTTATTTTATTTTATATTTTCAGGTATTTACTTTATTTTATATTTTCAGAGAGAGAGAGAGAGAGAGAGAGAGAGAGGGGGGAGGCCATATTATATAGTAGAGTCTTTCTTTAATATAGGGAGAAAGTACCCAATGAATATCAACAAGGTTAGTTTAGCTTCCTACCCCTTGTCACCGACGGCCAATGGTGATGGTGAATACATGAATCCAGATAATACATTGGCTATCAAACTGCTCTAGGATGTTAGGTCACGGGAGATAACTAACACCTTTATCTACACCGTGTCTTTTTTTCAGGTGATTACCCCAGGTAAAGACATACTCTGGACACTGATTGAAAGTACTAAAGTCGGTGACGAAACAGAAACATGTTTTACATGTGCCGAGCAGGTGACCATGGCAACAATTGGTGTTGGTCACTGTAGTAGCTGTTTTGGAATATGGAAAGCAACAGCAGGTAATCATTAAACAACATATGGATGTCAATCGGAATTCCTCGGTGTTTCGTAATCCGGTGTTAATTATGAAAATCTACTCACCAATAACTTTGTTCAGCTACTTTGATCAGCCCTACGAACCCTTAAGGAGTAGTATGACAATCATAAAGAAAATCACTACGTTTAGATAAAAAAAAACCGGAAAAAACACGTATTTCAAGAGTGCATACGAAAATGTGCCATTAGAACATATTAACATATATCGCAATTACTTTATCTTCTAAATCTGAAATCTCATCCGCGCAAAATGTTCATATCTAGCCAGACAAAAAATGTCCGATGCGTCCAACATTTATATAAAATATGCCCATATCAGAAGAAAAATATTTATTACCTGTGTTGAGTTTTAACAGTAGACACATTTATGGTAGCTAGAGTGCTCAGTGAATCTGACGTTGTCTCGCTAACCTGGCTTACTGTGTTCGATCCCTGAGTTGGACGAGAAAGTTCAACGGGTGGTGCAGCACAAAGAACGGAAAACCGAAGTCACGTGTTCACATTGGCTTGAACTAACGAACTCCTGGTCCTGGCACGATTTCCTTCATAGCACACTGTCAATCTGAACAACACACCCACCCTACCTGCAGAGAAGCTAGCTACCATTTAGTTTTCGAACGTTAGTTACGTACGAGAACATTGTATGACGGAGCAAAGCAGAAGGACATTAAACCCCATTTATACATTTATTAATATAACTATATTTTTCAATTTTAAGAAATCCAAATTTTAGCACGCATTATTAATTATTTATTGAACTATGTGTTTCGATAGGTTTTCTTAAAATTAATCAGGTTCTTTGATAAAAAGATATCTTGTATTCCAGAGAGAGACTTTTGCATGCATTACGTAGGGCCAGCTTCACTGGATTATGATTTAGTTAAAGAATATCGTATACCAGTCACGTGTAAAAATGGCTCAAGCTCGGATACAACCAATGTTATAGTCAAAGTAACACCCAATACACCGCCATATTTTACACAACCTTTATCAGGTAAAATAATATTCTATAATTAAAGGGACAAAATATTAGACCCTATGGCTATACTAACTGACTTGTGCGCATAACTATGAAAATGGCGCAAAAATGGCTGATTAGCAGATTTGTATAAGATTTCGTATTGTTCTAAGTTTGAATATTTGAAACTGAAAATATTTGTTTTCTATTCACCGACGAAGATCTTATAGCATTAATGCGGTGTTAGTTATATTTATTTTGCGGTGGTTACAACTTGGGGTATTTCGAGAGTGAATAGTTCTACGAGCGAGTGGCTAAATGTACTCCAACCCTCACAGTGTCCACATCGTCTTTATAAATTAAACGATCTCACAAAACGTCGCATGATGTGAATTTAATCCAATTTCAGTCTATTGATTCCATCTCTTCGTAGGGGGTTGGCAGGCCGAATAGTTACCGCGTGCACGTTGAATCAGGGAGTAGGATCGCCTGTCCAACCTCTTCGGTTTTCTCCGGGTACTCCCGCGTCCTCCCACTGCTAAAAAAAACCTACGCGCAAGCCAATTATTGAAATAAAATTGAACCATATTTAAGCCCCGAAATGACTTAATTTGTGTCGAGTTGACGTTAAACCCCATTTCTCTTTCTCTCTCTATCTCTTCTTAGATACAGTGACTGTCAGTAGTCCACTACAAAAGTTTGATGTAATTGACGTAGATGATGATCAGTTGAACTTTTATCTGTTACCCAACCCTTTTCAAGACAAATTTAAACTAAAACAAGGTAAGAGATGTTACTATATTATTAGTACCAAAATATTAATACATTATGTATGTTGAATGAGTTCGTGAACAAATTAGTCGTTGTAGTTTGTTCAATCGTGAATGCTAATTTCAAGTACACACATTTTAAATTATATAGATCAGTGATTCTCAACCTTTTTTTTTGCCAACGGCACACCTTGGAAGACATGATAAAATAGCGGCACACCTGGCTAAATATATATGAAACATTTTGCAAAATAAAAACATGGTAAGTCAGTCGGTATACAACTGTAGACAGAGACTAGTCATAGACACATAGAAAGATTCAAACTATAATAAAGAACAACTTAATAATTATTGGGATCACCTGGTTTTTCGCATTTTCTTAGTGTGCCGTTCAAAATTACACAAGTTCCTGATAAAGGTGAACCCCTAATTATTGGTTTTTTTTACTTCATGTGATTCACAGGCCACAGAATATACGACTAGATAAATTTGTATTTTAATTATTTGGAAAACATTACCAGAACCACACGTAATAAACACAAATGCATAATATGGAACACAATTACTATTTTAATTAAAGCGACAGTTATGCAAGAACGTGTAATAAATGTTACTTGAGCTATAGCTAAAGAAAATTGAATGCTGTTTACGGTCATATCTAAATCAAAGTATCTACGCCTTTTTTTTACGAAAGACACTACAGTGTACCATCCATTGTACGAATACAAACACGCCTAGTTTTTAGTATAAATGTAATATATAATTTGTACCGGTTTGTACCAGGCACGAAACAAGCCACGTTGGTACCAACTACAGATCTAACAGAAGTTTGTGAAGATGAAATAGTTTTAAAAGTTATGGTTTCTGATAATTTTAACCCACCAGTAGGACCAGTTACAACTACTGTGGTTCTTAGTAAGTAAACATTAATTTACATCTATTCTACAAGAAAGACATAACTCGACATTATATTACATACTAACGTGGATATCTCATTTGACACCGCTGGACCCCCCCCCCCCCCGGATCCGCGCCTGCTACTCCACTAACCACTGGGTTCATTCACGGGATTTTCACGAATTCAAATTATCTGCCCTTTATGGTAGCTTGATTCTACGAACCAATCAAAAAACAGTTTACATACCAGTCATACGCCATTGTTTACGTTCACCACAATGATCTTCGTTACAAAAAAATGCGAGTTACTTGGTCGATAAAAATAGCAGAAGTTTCAAAGGCGGATATTTTGACTATGTGTGTCCCCCATGGATGGACTCAGAGCTTACTGGGGTACAAAGGAACGATACTACTGGGGATAACGAGAATGCTAGCCGTAGAGATTGTGTTATCCAGACTCTTAAGTGCAAGAACAACGAATGAGAATCAGTAAAAACGAACGGTTTGATAGTTCGCCAAATGGTTTTACTAGCCAAGGAATGAAATGTGATTTAACGTCCTACTGTCTGTTCTGCACCAACTGCTGGACTAATGAAGGCGGACATACGCTATGCAGTGTGCTATGATGGAAATTATGCCCGGACAGCGTCACTATGGTCTACTCTTATTTCGAATTCCAACTGTCAAGGGTTCTTTTACGTGCACGCCAATGTGAATACGGGACCTCGATTTTTTCCCCTCTGTCCTACGCCATTGACAAATGGCAACCACATCGGAAAATCCCGATGAACTTTGTCGGCCAGCTTAGCGAGCCACCGTGCATCACCTTATTAGACCAGAGGAACTGTGTAAGAATCTAGATTAGATAAAAGGGCCATTTTTTTACCCAATACTATACAGACAACAGATGTCCAGGCTCTCTCTCTATATATTTGGCCCTGTTTTTTTTGTAATCTACATTATGCATAACATGTTATTTACAGATAATGTGTCACCCCAAGTAACCAGTTTAAACCGTGAAATCCAATGGGCAGAGAATCGTAATTTTTATCAGTATTTTAAAGGAACTAATGTTGGTAGTGCTGGAGGCACGTGTATCATAACCTCTGAGCCCGTTAAATATGCTGTTGATATCAGTACTTTTGGCTGTGGTTCAACAAGTAAGTAATTCAGTTATAAAATTCGTTCTAGATAAAAAGCTATGGCGATTATCACAACTACTGAAAAAAATTCGCGAAAGGTGTAAATTTGAATGAAAGATCGACAGATTTCAAATATACAGATTTCTGTTATATGATAGTTGATCCTTGACCTCAACAGGCAACGTGAAAATGTGAAACCTTGCTAGGAAATCGGTCAGTGTTATGGACTGAAGAAGATAGCGGCGATAGCAGCATCACAGACAATCTGATTAAAATACAGATCTATATTTCGTTTCGTTTATTAATACTTTCGATAACCTACACCACATGAACATCTGACCAGTTGTATTGGGAGGTCGCGCCAGGTGTCGTAAGAGCGGCTTTTGATCATATGACGTCAGACATTGATGTTTCTAGTGGTTTACCCACAGTTCCGCGTATCGCTCGCCAAGAAGTCGCCGTATCAGATGGTTTCATTGGCTAATCCCTCGCGATATCCAGAACGCAGGTTATATAACAACTCTTCCAGATCTTAGTGTAGTGTAGACAAATAAAACGAAATTTTGAACTATAAAAAAACGAAACGAAATAGGATCTGTGCTTTAATCAGATTTCAGCACAGCTGTGGCATTTTTTTTTCAAATGTAACCTGACTGAATATGCTCAGTGTTCAGCACTAGTTCAAACTTTAAGCACTGTACTCGAATTCGCTTATATCCCGATTGTAAATTAAAGCTAATATTAAATACCCCTTCCATACATTATTGAAAAACTTGACAGGGCAATTTTGTGTTTACTATATACTCTTTCTTTCACGCTTCTTTATCACGGGCACTATGTTTTGTATACATAGAAAGCAAACACACAAGTCTCTAATTTACTTTTGTCGACGTTTACTTTTGTTATGAGACTCAAATTGGCAGAATTTTGTTGACCTGACTGAACACACCAACTTAGCTGAATATAAGGAAGAATCCCGACCTAGTGTTTAAAGTCCTAATTAAGGAACATACATAAGACAAAATCCCTTCCTAATGTTTAAATTTCTGATTACGGAAATCCTTACTTTGCTCGTGGGCAGAGTTTTTATCTGTAAAGAGAAAAATTGGAGATCCAGGAGAAACCACACATGGTTAAATAAATGCAATGGGGTTTGATATAATTTTTCTGGACTAAACGGAAATTTGTTGTTGATTTTTGATTATTTTAGTAACAGTCAATCCGTACTTTCATCAAGCAAATGGAAAAGGTTATGATTATGAAATTGATCCACCAGTAAATTATACCATTGTTTATCAGAAAGGAAAATGTCCGTCTAAACCGGTGTGGGTGTATGTAAGATGGACAAACGTCAATGAAAAACCAGTTTTAGATTTAAACAAGGATGCATATACAGCTCAAGAAGGAATGGTATTTAGTATATTATTGTTTGTACTATTGTATTCGAAGAAAGGGTTTAAAAATCAGTAAACATGATAGGAACCTGGAAGCGCATACTAGTCAACAGACTGGATTTCACCATGTATATATTTGTGAAATCACGGATGAAAGGCTCGGAGGATGGGATGGTAATCAATATGGAGAGGCAACACTGGAGTTGAACGTCGACTTGACAACATCTAGGTCATCTCGGGACTAAAAATATTTCATTTCATCAGTCCGCTTATGTACAGGGGTCTGTTAAAATTGGTAGGAAATCGGTGTACCTGGAGACCTACACCCCACAACCCCACCCCCTGCCCGATAATCAATACTGATGTACTAATTGACTAGAATACAGACGAAAGGCATGCCGATAGCATGTCCGACGTACGACAAGCAGACGGATTTACCACCATCTTGTCGGTTATAATCTGCTCTGTAGGGTGAACACTCGCTCGAAACCCTGCCGATTTTTCACCAACAACGATATGGGGTGCATTAATTACCCGATGTTTACACGATTGCACGGTGGTATTCATTTAAGGGTTTTCCCGGTTTCAACGAAAAGAAATATTTTTTTTTTAGAAAATGGATACCCCCCGCCCATTATTGTTTTGGCGATGGCGTAGAAAATTGCGCAAACAATGAGTTATTGGAGTAAATATCACCGAAATAATTTTTTTTATTATGTATTTTGTAGATTGACGTCCTACCGGACTACACACTAAAAGACCCAGATGCTGGTGATACACACAGCTATAAGTTGGTCTCACCCAAAGATTCTGCTTTTGAAATTGATGAACATACAGGCCGGATATATAGTCTACAATACTTCTCGGTCACTGCTGAGTCTATAACTAAAACGTTTCATGTAGTTGTTACTGATAAAGCTGGGCTAGAATCCGAAACTAAAACAGTTGACATCACCATTACCGACGCTAATGATAATTTTCCCATCGTGGCTGACTTCACCACTCATGCCGAGTACACAGCATGCGAGGATCCACTACCGGTTATTCAAAAACTTAACGCACGGGATAGCGATTTTGGATTGAATGGGGAGACAGAATTCGTACCGGTCAAATCGGCTGTGTTGAGTTTGGATGCAGCAGGTGTGTTGAAATTGGTGCATTCTCCAGAGGATAAACAGTTCCACTCCATCAACATTCAAGCTGTAGATAAAGGTACCCCGAAGAGATATAGTGACATTAAAGAGTTCTCGGTTATAGGGACACCATGCCCGACCACAACCCCACCACTAACCACGACTCTACAACCATCAACCACTGAACTCACCACATTACTTGATACAACGACACCTCCGACAACCACTGAGCCACCAGAAAATAATAAATGGTGGGAAGATCCTTTGACCTTGTTAGCTGTCATTTTAACACTTTTACTAGGTTTTATAATATTTGTACTGGCTGCTTGCTGTTTAATCCGATGCTGTGGATGTTGTTCTAATGGCGGGTAAGTTCTGTAGTTTCCGTCTTTGTCAAATGCAAGAGTAGATTACCACCAAGAGTAGTCATATCGTATGCGCCAAGCTGCTTCTTTGTATTTTATAACCCACGGCCTTTTAGAGGGCCTGACAAGGACAGCAGTCTAGCCGTTCGAATGGGACGAAAAAACCTAGATCCCGTATATACATTGGCGTGCACTTAAAGATCCCTTGGAATTCGATATAAGAGTTGACCACAGTGCCGCTGCCCGGGAAAACTTTCCCCCATAACACACTGCATGACGAATGCCCGTCTTCATAAGCCCAGTCGGAGCAGAACAGCAGGACTTCAAACCCCATTTCATTTCATTTTTTTAGATGGACAGCACCGTTCAGTCACAATGTCACAAGCTGGACAATAAAATTATTGGGGTTAAACTGTCATGGGTGTGGTTATACGGGTTTTCTAGGGATAAAATGGATTTTCTCTGTTCTTATTTGGGATTTTCATAGATTAGACCACCAGTCCGAATAAAACAATATTACGACTATCCCTACACAGTGGTAGACTCATTAGTCTGCTTATTAAACAAGATTGTATGGTATTCGAATGACCTTTTCCTTTTTCAATTTGTAGTAATTCGATCCAGCCACAAAAATACCAACCGAATAATATGAGTAGCAAGGCAGCGCAACAGACACCACAGAACCCGGCTAATGCACCTCAACCTACAGGAACTCGTACTGATCAAGCAAGTAAAGATGCTGATACTGAAAGTGGGTTTTCTGAAGGTAAAGACAATAATTAATAAACGAGCGTTTCGGACACCTTTAGTACTTTCGCATATTCCCAGCTAGTGTAATAGACTTTAAGACTAAACGCATTAAAATAGGTTCTTATTTAAAAGCATATTTGACCAAAAAGTACCCAAATCAGTCAATCAGTCGATATCATGTCACCATCTCCTCTTCATGACACCATCTCCATTTCACTCGTTTAGATTGATATCTATTACTAAGCATAAGTATTTATTGTTAAGAGCAAGTAAGAGAACTGATTTCTGTCTGAATACCCGGGACACCGATGCTTTACAGTTATTTTATGATTATTAGGTGAAGAATTTTACATGGATGATAGAGGAGATAGTGGTCAAGTTGTTGGTAGTTCTCAAGCCGATGCTTACTGGAAAGGACGTAAGTTATTACCTTTTTGCACATTTTTTATCTGGCAAAATTATTGGTCTCTCTGGAATAGGTTGCTTAACTGTCTTTAACTACCTCGGCATTTTTACTCATAAATTGATTTCTTGCTACTCCTAGTGTGCGGCAATATGCACAAATTTTGGTGTTACTTTTGCTGTCGGGTTAAATCGATGAACAAAACCCCTAAAGTATAGCGTCTATATACTGTCTGTGCGCATTATAAAACCATTCCCCCATTCAAAGGCCCATGTTTATGACGATACCATTGTATTATGCAAGTTTCAAAAGAAAATGTCAGTAACGTTTTTTTTTAAAGAAAAAAAAATAATCGAGCCGGGACCGACATATGCAGGGAAGAGGGAAGTAGGTGACGACATTATTCGGCACATTAACACAAATTATAATGAAACATAGTTGCACTGACAAAATTCTCATTTTCAACATTGCACCTGTGGTCATAAAATGATGTAGTCTCACAACGACCAAATTATAGTTCTGATGGGAAATTAAACATGAATGTGACTTCATTTGTATTAAACCTATTGATGCTATGTTGTTACAACGGTTGGAATCCCATCTGAAAGACTGGCAAGTATAAAATGTGTCTAACCGCTGGATTGTTTTATTTTTCAGAAGACAAAGCATTTCCTTCAACAACAAATTTTTGAAATTTTCCCACAGAATCTATTCGTATGATATATATATCTCACCGTAGTCTATCTAACCACATCGCCATTTAAACTACGCCCGTCCATATTGCTCTGGTAAAGCGAATCCAAATTTCAAACTTTTGTAATTTCTTGTAATTGAGAATTGATATCCCAGATAGGAGGTACATGCTATCCCCCCTATCAGTCGAGTCAGGTAATTACAATTATTATACCAGAGCTACGTGGACGTATAGTCCAGACGACACGCCGTTAACATGTTAATTATCAAGTTCACTAACCCCCTATTAGCCTATTGGGTTTCATTTAGTGCAGTGACAATATTGTGTGTGCTAGGTTCCCACTATCACGATTCGCGCTACGATTGAAATCGAGATCTTATTGGTGGAGTAATCGTGGTGACCCTATCAGGTCTTATCATATATTGAGGTCAGTCGTAGCAATCGTGTTGATCATATCAAAACGTATCCGATCGTATCTGGAGTTCCAGATCGTGGACCGAATAGGGACAATCCTACCGTAACGCATCGCACGGCAGTGGGAACCAAGCATTAGTGTAATTACTATCGACGCTACATTAAACCCCACCCAACAATATACAGCCATTTTAATAAGTTGTGGTCAGCAGTGAGAAGCACTTTATAAATTGAAAGGCTGCTGTGACACAGACGACCCTTACACTCTGGTTTAAACACGTTGTGCATAGTACTTTAAGATAATTCAAACCAGCATCAGCAGTCTAGGGCGACTACGTTACAGTGCATTAAGAACACCCCCCCCCCACCGAGTGTAATACCACTATACACAACTTGAAATATAAAGGTGCCGATAAACCTAGTATAGTAATCCCAAAGTTAGGATGGTTGCCACCCCTCCGAGCCACAAGCTTATTATTGCTTCTAGCAGATACCTTCCATGTTATTTGATTCAACATACACGATTTTCCAAAGCTGATTATGTTTTAATTGGCCTATTAATTTAGGGCAAGATAAAGTATTGAGTTTAGTTTACCTGACGTGTTGTTTCTTTTAGCTATATGGCAAGTTACATATGGTAAATCGTTTCAAAAAGATATAGACAAGAGTTGGTTTGTTTATTAACATAGTTCCATGTGTTTTTTGATACCCCTTGGCTGTTGGTTTTGTATGCCGACGTAAAATCTTGCACGAAAACAAATTACCACCCCACGAAACAAATCAACACATTAGAAACAATTAAATCGATCTTTTTATTGTTGACTGAGAAAATGCCACTGTAAGAAAATAAAATGCTACACTTTTGTTGTAATAAAAATAATTCTTTGTTTTACAAGTCCTTTTTGAGAATATTAAATAAACAAAAAGTTTATAAAAAATAAAATAAAAATCTTCAATTCACTTTGATTATTTGTGCATTTTATCTAAAAATCCACAGTAGCTGGAAGCGCTCGTCTATCGGGATGGCCAGCAAGTTGCCTGTCAGAATAATCTAAAAAATCAAAATGAAAATATTTTTTGAACCGTATTCGGACCCCGTTCCTAAAACGACTCGATCATCGAACCATAATCGAAAGTATGATCTGTTCAAAGAACAGCTCAAAGGGTGAAAGGATTGCCATATGGTACCTTTGGTAGCAATAGGTACAATCTTATACGAGTCACATCAAACTCGGCTTGATTCAGTGCGGCATTTTAGATTTTCTGTCCTTGATTCGTGTGGTGTTTACCTGAATGTGAGGGTAAATCGAACTTTTTCAATTGTATTAGGGAGGCAATATTTTTGTTCTTACTGGCTCACGGTCTAGAATACAAATAACCCCTTGAAATGTTGTCACAGTTACCAAGTTAACCGACAGTGCATTACTAATAAAAACACAAAGCAGCACAGAAAACAGACCATGTCAACGTAAAGGGCAAAGACCTTTATAACGGCCAAGAAACAAAATCTAAGAAATACTAGAATAAACCTAATGTCAAGACATAAACATGCCACTGGATTACTTTCTCACATACATTTACAACAAAAACAAATTATAGGTGAACTAAAACATGGGTAAGTCTCTTCCTGTACGACTGAATTGAGCATAAACTCACGTTCTTTCCAGTAATAATCAGCTCCACCATCAGGACTACCAACAACTTGACCTTCACCTCCACCATAAATATATTCATCACCCCCAGGCCCGCGTTCTTCTAGATAGAATTCTTCGCCCCCTGATTATTTAAAAAAAAAAGAAATGTAGTAGGGTCCGAATCAGACTGCTATGATATATGATTGCAAAATACCCCGCCTATCAAATCTGATTGAAAGACAGATAGTATTTTGTTTCATATTTTACAGTTTACTTTTGTTGTGTCCAATAGTTATTTGTAAGTGCTTTACAAATAGTTTGTAGCGTTCTTTCACCTGAATTTGGGAAGCCGAGAACCAGCGAATGTTCCCAATAGAGTTTGTTATATATTGCAACACGTAGTTATTTCATGGGTGGGATTAAGTACCATCGAAGGTATAAAATGTATGTAGAACAATCAGAATTGGCATAATAGATCCAGACACAGAATCTGATAACAACAATATTCCGTCTTCATCAGCCAAGTCGGAGCAGAACAGAAGGACGTTAAACTCCATTTCATTTCATTTCACAACAATGTGCGAAACTGGCGCCCGGTCCAAAACTTCTTCTACTTCATTCCAAGGAATAAATGGATCAATATACGCTCACTTAGCCGTTATCATTAGCCAGTGTAACGTGCCGTAATTTGGGGGCAGGCATATATCTAGCTTATATAAACATATATTATGCAAGCGCTAAATCTTCCTATTGCAGGTATATCTTTAGGCCTGAAATGTTATCTAAATTATTAATTAGACATTAATTAACTTATCCAGACCATAATCAACTCTCGATGGCATCGCTAGCCTGCGATGTTTATTGGATTAGGTTCCAATTTGCTGTTCGACTTCCATTCATAATTAAATCAAAAATTGGATGATCGAGACTATGTCTTTTATCCTACCAACTGTAGTAATGATGATCGAGGCTAGCCCCAATATTCAATCACTAAAATTTGGCTGAAATTTTCAGTAAATACCCTTTACATTATCTACTTTTTATATATTATAACGAGAACTGCCAGCTCTTTATCTAATCGTCCATAATGTATCTTTAACTTACCTTCAGAATATCCACTTTCATTATCACCATCTGCTGTTTGTTTTCCATTTTGGGTTCTTGGTGTCTGGGATGAATCAGCAGGGTTTCGAGGTGTTTTGTTTGATGCCTTTCCACTCATATTATTAGGATGATATTTTTGCGGCTGGATCATGTTACCTTTTGGGCTGAAAGTCAAGGGATAAGGAAGAATAATCTAATTATTGGACTGGCCTTTTTATCTACATAATGGTTCGATAATAATCTATGTTTTTGTCTCACGTTTTAAGAGTAATGCTTATACGGCATTTAGTAACTGAACATATGATATAAAACACAAGTTTATATGGACAACAATCACTGGGTTTATTTCACACTACGTTTCAACTTACTTGAGAACGACAAGAGAAACTTGTTCAAACGTAGTGTGAAATAAACCCAGTGACTGTTTTCCATATAAATTTGTGTTGTATATGTTTTAAGAGTAGCGGCTGTGGAGCGAACTGGTCGTTTGGATGGGATAAAAAGCAGAGGTCCACTCCTTTTTTTACTCAATACATAGTGATGGTTTATTTAAATAATTGCTTTACTCGCTTGGCGTGAGTGGTTGGGAAACCTAGAAATAATCCATGCGGTTAAATGGGCCATATTAATTCCTGTCAGTATCATCATCGGAAATATATCAGTATATTGCGTAGCTAGTGCAACCATTTGCCGATGGTGTAGATTAAATTAAAAGAAAGAGTTGGGAATTTACCTGGCTTTTGAACAGCCCCCACAACACCGGACTAAACAACATGCTGCTAACACAAACAGTATAAAGGCCAGAAGGCCAGCTAAAGCAACCAAAATAACAGTTGTAGGATCATCCCACCAATTACTCGTCTCTGGTGGTGGTGGGGTTGTTGTCGGAGGTTCTGTGGTTGGAGGTAGAGTTGGCGGTTGGGTGGTTGGGTAGGTAGATGGTATGACAGGAGGTGTTGTGTAGGGACAGGGCAGTCCTATAACTGATATCTCTCTTATTTCACTGACTCGTGAAGGAGTTCCTTTATCAACTGCTTGGATGTTTATAGAGTCAAACTGCTTATCTATGGGATTATTCTCCAGTATCAGATTCCCTGCTGCATCTAAGCTCATCGTAACTGACTTAGCTGGTACAAATTCTACCTCACCGTTTAGCCCAAAATCTTTATCCTGTGCAGTAAGTTGTCCAAAGACCGGCTTCGGATCCTCGCATTCCGTAAAGGAGTAGGTAGTTCCAAAAGCATCAAGTGTGGGAGAATTATCATTAGCATCACTTATCGTAATAGTAACTACTTTAGTATCGGATGTCAGCCCTGCCTTGTCAGTAACAGCTACATCAAACGTTTTATCAACAGTTTCAGCAGTGACTGTGTAGTATTGAGTGGTGTAGATACGTCCTGTCTTTTCGTCGATTTCGAATGCTGGATCTCGTTGGTTTATAGGTGTAACTATTTTATAGGTGTGGGTGTCGCCAGCATCTTGGTCTGTTAGTATATAATCGGGTAAAACGTCAATCTGCAAATATATTATTTGCAGAGTCTAGTGCGTGTTTAAATAATGATACACCATATAATGAATTTCGGCTCGGCGACCATCAAGATATTACGGGCCACAAATCTGTATTCTGACATGCGAACTCGGCATAAAGGCGTATTTATATCCGTCCGACAACTGATCGTCATAATAGTGGAATATTAGAAATCATGCGGCCTGCCATATTTATATCCAACTAGCTGCGTTGCCCGGATAGGGTTTATCTTGTAACAGCCGTAACAACGCAATAATCATTGATTCTTATTGAATATTAATTTCATCATGAAATACAGCAGTTCGTGTCGAATATCGGTCGCCCTTATTGTGGCTAATCATTTAACGTTTTGGTCTAAGTACCTATGACAGATCTTATGATCTAATGGAACATTTTGACCATTCGGTCACCACAACCCACACATGTTATGCAGTTTAGACCTTGCACGTCAAGGTAGTATATATTTTAAAACAGTATCTGAAATTAAAAAAAAACAACAAAAAAAAAACTATCGCTTACCATTCCTTCTTGAGCTGAATATGCGTCTTTGTTTAAATCTAAAACTGGTTTTTCATTGACGTTCGTCCATCGAACATACACCCAAACCGGTTTAGACGGACATTTTCCTTTCTTATAAACCATGGTAAAATTAACCGGTGGATCCGTTTCAAAATCATAACCATTTCCATTTTGTAGATAATACGGATTGACTGTTACTAAAATGAAATCAATAACAAAATAAAAGTGTAAGTTTCTCATTTGTAGCAAAATTATAAACTGTTATCCTGACACAACGTGGTGTTTATGAAAATGAGACTATATGGAAGAAAGCATCAGAAGCGTTTTCGAATTTTTCATATTGGTTCCCATCTGTTTTGGGTAGCGCCTGTGGGAGTGACAAATGGTGTATGTGGAGTCACTGATGTTACGGACAGAGCCTGTGGGAGTGACAAGTGGTGTATGTGGTGTAACTGATGTTACGGACAGAGCCTCCCGCTGGCATACGTTACCATTTTGAAATCGAGACTTAGATTTGGCAATTGTACTTTGACTATTAGTTGTCAAAACTTCAAACACCCAGAATAAAGTAATTTGACTGAAATTTTCAATATATTCATTTTAGATTATCTATGGTCAGCTCTTCTATCTAAATCTTACACAGCACATCTGTAATGTATACTCCTAATTCTACATGACTTTTTGAAATTTGAAGTCTTTTGAAAGTATCTCAACCACTTTTCATTGTTAAAATGGCTAAATGCGTAAGACGCTGACACGCTTCCGGTGTTGGCCGAGAAAGTTCAGCGCGATATTCTGGCGTGGTTTCCGCTTGTCAGCGGCGCAGGACAGAGGGCCTGACAAGGAAAGTTGTCTGGTCGTTAGGATGGGACGAAAAACCGAGGTCCCGTGTACACATTGACGTGCACGTAAAAGATCCCTGGCAGTTGGAAATCGATATAAGAGTGCCACTGCCCGGGCAAAATTTCCCCCATAACACACTGTATGGCGTATGCCCATCTTCATTAGCCCAGTCGGAGCAGAACAGTAGGGCATTTCGTAAAATACGGTGTGATACTACCAAGTCCAAGAACGAATCCGGCAAAATCGACCAGCAGCAACAAGACCCATCTTACTCCGGATGTCAGAAAAAGATGGTGGAAATGAAATGGAGATGAGACAGAAAAAGATGGTTTACAGATTCATTAATTGATATATAAAATTTGATTTTCGATGATCCTCCATATATCAGACAACATAAAGCCACACATTCTAGATGTCACCTTATCGAACAATTAGATTCTAGTGATAGCTGATGGGCGAATTTTCGATAAAGGGTCTAAAATGTTAAAAATCATAATTCGTGTCTTTTATGTAAACTATAAAATCTAAATTCATGTCTTTTATGTGAATTATAAATCTAAATTCGTGGATTTTATGTGAACTGTATACTCTAAATTCGTGGATTTTATGTGAACTATAAAATTCTTACTTGTTGAAGCACAGCCTCCAGTGTTGATATCGGCAGCATATGTAGCGGGGTCAGAGGTTATGGTGCATGTGCCTCCTGCACTTCCCACATTACTTCCTCTAAAATATTGGTAAAATCTCTTGTTCTCTGCCCATTGGATTTCACGGTTCATACTGGTAACTTGAGGTGCAACATTATCTACAAATAGACAAAATATACTGGTAAAATACCATTTCTCTGCTTATTTGGTATTTTGTCACATATAGACAAACCTTTATATTGTCGGTATTTTCAGAAATGAATTTCAGATGATTAAAGAAGCCTTCTCAGAATTCACAGCGTTTCGCCTTATATAATTTGGGTTTAAAACAGCCGAGTCACTTTTCTATGTGATTCATATAAGCCGCTGTGAAATGGTTCCTAAGTGGATACTGAACTCATTCAAGGAATTGCATTGTATAATGAAATGAAATGAAATGGGTTTTAACGTCTTGCTGTTCTGCTCCGACCTATTCTTTAAAGATGTAAGATTTAGATAAAGAGCTAACAGTTCTTACTATAATAGTTTAAAATTAGATAATGAAAAATGAGTATATGTACAATTTCAGTCAAATTACTTCATTCTGAGCGAAGTTATGGGCCTTTGGAGAATAATCTCGATTATCATTGTTACCGTTGTTACAATAGTAAACAAAGTCTCCATTATGCATTTCTAATTGAATTATTAAAAATGAAATGAAATGAAATGAAATGGGGTTTAACGTCCTACTGTTCTGCTCCTAACCTGGGCTAATGAAGACGGGCATACGCCATACAGTGTGCTATGAGGGAAATTTTGCCCGGGCAGCGGGACTATCGCCTACTCTTATATCGAATTCCAACTGCCAGGGGATCTTTTACGTGCATTCCAATATATACACGGGACCTCGGTTTTTCGTCTCATCCGAAGGACTAGACAGCTGTCCTTGTCAGGCCCTCCGTCCTGCATCACTGACAAGAGGGAACCACGCCGGAAAATCTGGATGAACTTTCTCGGCCAATGCAGGGATCGAACACCCGACCTCCAGGGGAATTATTAAACGACGAATTAAAAATCACGAGCATACGATGGTATAGAGAGTTGTTATGGTCTTATCATGCTAATCGGTGTCTAAATAATCAATTAGGCCAAAAGAAAGACATCAAGTAAATATCATTTACAAAGATTTTAAGCGTTATAATGACTTTCTACCCGCCATAAATTCCTATAACTGGAATTTCATTCTGCTACATCCATTGGTCAGACCATAAATTGAGTTTTAGTTGGTAGAGATTCTTTCACAAAGTCTCAGCTTTGCATCATTTCCGCCAAAAGGGGAGGCATTTTATTTTATCTAATATGGATCAAACTGCGTACTTACTGAGAACGACAGTAACTGTAACTGGTCCTACTGGTGGGTTGAAATTATCAGAAACCATAACCTTTAAAACTATTTGATCTTCACAAACTTCTGTTAAATCTGTAGTTGGTGACAATTTTGCAGTTGTACCAGTTAGTCCTGCAAAATAATCGAAAAACATTGTTATGTTAATGCCCATCTCGTTACATCATAGCTGATGGACATAATGTTTAATCCACAACGACACAATCTAATAGGTTAAATCCTTCTACACAACGGTGAAACGCAATATTCGCCAAAAAAAACTGTACACACCGATGCCACGCAACATGCAACAAAAATATATACTCAGATATCAAAAATGGTTCACAATCTATGGGTTTATCAGAAATATCTTATTGTTTTTAATTATGACTGATGGACTATATACAATAGGGTTAAAACTAAGCATATCTTACTTGTTAATTGAAATTTATCCTCGTAAGGATTTGGTTGGAGAGTAAAGGTCAAAGGTTGATCTAGTGTATCCACTTCAACAGCAGTAAACCTGATCAGTTCTTGTCCTATTGTTGGACTGGCAACATCCAACGTTTCTGAAATAAACAAAAATCATTTTATTTCCAAATGAGCTTGATCAATCTGATTAAAATACAGATATATATTTCGTTTTTTTTTTATACTTTCGATGGCCTACACTACATGAAGATCTGACAAGTTATAGCGATAGGTCACATCAGGGGTCAAAAGTCGGCTTTTGACCCTATGAAGTCAGACATTTGATTAACCAATCGGCATTGATGTTACTAGTGGATTACCCACAGTTCCGTGCAAAACACGCCCAAAGTTCGCCGTAACAGATCGTTTCATTGGCTTATCAATGACACCATTCAGAACGCGAGTTAAATAACAACTCTTCCAGATCCTAGTGTAGTAAAGACAAGTAGAACGAAATTTTGAACTATAAAAATGAAACGAAATAGGATCTGTGTTTTAACCAGATTGGAGCTTGATCAAATTTATAATATGAATACGAAAGGAAGTGAAATGGGTTTTAATGTCCCACTATACTAACCCGAATTCCGGTCGTTGGAAACAGTAGTATTCTATACAATTATTTATGAATTTTTGTCAGTATTTAGATGATTATAAAATGTGATGTATATATGTAAGCATTTAAATAAAATTTCTTTAATGGTATTTTCTACTTATGTATATATATATATATATACATAAAATAGGGATTGATTAAATTTGTTATAAAGAAAAAAATATAATACCTGATAATGATTGGTCAAAATAAGGGGGTGTATTTGGTGTTACCTTAGCAACAACAAAGGTGGTATCCGAACTCCCGCCATTTTGACAAGTGACTGGTATACGATATTGTCGAACTTTATCATAATCCAGTGAACTGGGTCCAATGTAATACATGCAATAGTTTGCATCTGAAACAGAAGTATTTTATGAAACTTCAACCAAATAATAATTGCCATGGCCACTGAAAAAGATTATAGACTAAAATGGCTCAATGTGCACACAATAATTTTAAAAGGATGCAAAACATTAAATCTGTTGTTAGGGTGACCCACCATAAATAAATATCTCCATATATCTCGACAATTTCGCCACAAACTTTATATATATGCCAAGCCTCAAATCAGGTTCACACAATTATAGTCACTTAATAAACGATCATGTTGTACTTAATAAGCTATGACCATTAATCATCCAGAAATAATAGACTGAAAAATGGTTCCATGTGTCGTCCATAACATCCAGACACTTTTGAGTAAAAGATAGGTTACGTGCCCTTGTTTTGAAATTAGTCTCGCTTAACCAGTCTATCGACCATTCTACGTCTGATTGACAGGTCGGGATAATCAAGACTACTTTTTTACGAAACATAACAGAAAGCTAGAACAAGAAATTGAATTTAGAAATGAGCACGTTAGCTAGCTCAACAATTGTTTTAAGAACCTTGTAAAAGTAAAATGAAACTACTGCTAGTATCATGTTCCTGTCTAACCCGAGTGTTTCAGAGATATTATTTGTACTAAACCAAAAGATGCCGCTCTTAACGGTACAGTTAATGATAAAGCGATTTAAAAAATGAAACGAACGTAATTTCTAAATCTGCTGTAATAACCAAGAAGCTTAATTTCACTGCTATTTAAAATCGTCAACCATAAAATTTTTACGGCTGTAATAGTTGATAGATTTGTAGAGAATTGCACGTGCCATGGCTATTTATAGTATCATACTGTCAGAAAGTTGGCCTCGACACGGCGAATGTGCACGCTTCAGTGGTAGTCTCGAACTATCAGCGGTTGACTGTATTTCTGTAGGTGCATGGGTCACCCTACTGTTGTTGTTTTCTTAGCGCGTGCAATAGAGCTGGTGATCGTCCAATCACGGTCGATTAACTGCATAAACTGTATGGTCGATGCCAGAATGGTATTTCATGTCTCTCCACGAAAGTCAAAATAGCATAATATAATTACCAGGGCATTAGATGAGATAAAGAGCTGACAGTTATCGCTATAATAGTTATAAGAAAATAGATAATGAAAACAAAATATGCTGAACATTTCAGTAAAATTGCTTCACTCTGAGCCGAGATATTAGTCATTGATTTTTAGCCTAGTATCGGCCGTCATTGCCGACGTTGGTATGATAACAAACAAAATCTCGATTATCCATTTTTACGTTAAATTATCCATCACAAAATGTATTCAAAACCAGTAAATATCGCAGGCTAACGATGGCATCGATAGTTGATTATGGTCTGGATAAGTTAATTAATGTCCAATTAATAATTTAGATAACATTTCAGGCCCAAAGAAAGACCTGCTATAGGCGGATTTAGCTCTTGCATAATGCATGTTTAAGTTTTCGATCCAGGATAAGTGGAGGACAACAAACAAGGGGATATGTCGTTCAAGAGAGTAAGTTAGAAACTTATTCAAATTTGCCTACCTGTTGTTGCTTTCCATACTCCAAAACAGGTTCCACAGTAACCAGCACTAACTGTTCCCATGGTTACCAGACCAGCGCACGTAAAACATATTTGTTTATTGTCACTTACTTTGGTACTTTCAATCATTGTCCAAACAATGTCCGTACCTGGTGTAATCACCTGAAATATAGGTTACTTAAGAAACAAAGACTCGTGTTACCAGATCAAAGGACACTGCTGCGATACAGCGCATGTCCAAAGAGATGAATGGGTCAGATTTGGTACCTTAATCAAATACATGCATAGTAGTTCCGACTCCGTTCAGAACAATTCCATGGGTAAAAATGGTAGAGAATGCGTTATCCAAAAAAATATTTCTGAGACATTAGTAGTTATGTCAGATCACTGAAAGATCAGCATCCTACAAAATCGCACTCACTTCTAAATCAAATATTTAATTAAAGTAATACATACCTCAGCTGATTGCGAAGATTTATAATTCCAGGATATTAGACACAGCATAATCATATATTTCATCTTGAATTCTGTAACTTTTTTAATTGCGTAAAATGCTAAAAAGGTTAAAGTTAATGATTTAGGAATAAAAATAAATAGGCGTTATTCAACTATATTATTTCATAAAATATAATCAGCTATATACCTATGGTATATTGAAGAAATGGAAGTTTTGAAATTTCTATTAAAAACGGTATTTATGTTCAACCTTTAATAGTGCATGTGGGTCTAATCCACATTAAAGTGAACTGACGTGTCAGTTGTTAACGCAGATAAATGCCACAACAATACACATAAAATATAATTTCATATAAACCTCACTCTCGATTATCCATTTAGCGCTTGCACAATGTCTGTTTAATTATAGTTTAAGATTTTGAAGTTTCTTAACCATACCTTATATAAACTGAATGATGGGAAACGAAATGCATTTAATGGTAATAGTTATATATTCGATTAATTTTAGCTTAACAGTAAGTGCAGGAGGGCCGCACTACACGCAAAACAAAATCTACAAGATATACCTGCGGACATTGCAAGACATAAACAAATATCAAATCAAGTGAATGAATCCGGGCCAGCTTTAAGTGTCCACTGCGCTTTACAGTCCCAAACTTGTAATGGCACAGACTTTGCTCAAAATGAAAAATAAAAACAATTTACAAAAACGTCGTAACAGAAATAATGCGACCAATCTTGACAGTTGTCGTCTCTTCAATGGCGATAGTCTGCCAGTTGACGTCATGAGTTAGAACTTCACAACACTTTTAATATTTAGGGGGATAATTCGGATAGATCCCGGAAAACGCTTTAAAAAAAAAAAAAAAAAAATAACCAAGAGTTTGGAGTTTCTTAACCTTATATAAATTGAATGTCGTAAAACGAAATGCATTTAACGGCAATAGCTCCGTTAGATTAATTGTAGTTTAGGAGTTTAGGAGTTTCCTAACCATTCGCTTTATTAATTAAACATGGCATTATTACATTCGAATTCAACATTTCCAATCCGATGCTTACTTTGTCGATGTTATATTACAATACGGTCGTTTAGTACGATATTAATATTTATTAATGTAATGTATGATATTTTGCCAAAATTACTGAATATAGTCATAACAAAACACAGACAACCATTGACATGAATTCGTTGTGGTTCTAATTGTTCAATTCGGAGAGAGTATGGATAAATGGTGCGCGTGTATTGTTAAGAATTCGATTATCTTACAAACGAGAGTGAACAACACCCAGATAATTTATAAGTGAAATGAAATGGGGTTTAATGTCCTACTATTTTGCAATGAAATAAAATAAAATGGAGTTTAACATACTACGTGGCTAATGAAGGCAGGCATGCGCCATACAGTATGCTATGAGGGATATTTGGCCCCGACAGCGGCACTACCGCCTACTCTTATATCGAATTCCAACTGCCAATGTGTACAGGAGACCTCAGTTTTCCGTCCTATACAAACTGTCCTGTCCCTTGTCAGGCCCCCGTCCTACATCACTGACAAAAGGGTACCACGACGAAGATCCCTGTGAACTTTCTCCATCAACATCCAACATCTTACTCACTGAGCCACCGAGGCTCCCAGATAATTTGGAGAGAGATAAGCTTGCATGATAAGATTTCGGTTATAACATCTAAAGTACCTATTCTTGCCCATGAAATAGAAGGGGATAATGTGAATAAAATCTTTATCTAGTAGTGCTTCAAATCATTTAATCGGGCATTTCATTTCTTTATATACATTTTTATATCTCATTTTGAGAAATTATTTTATAACCCTAACATACACAATTCAAAGTACCTTTATTTTTAAAAATCATTCTGGTCTGAAAAATATTCAAATCGGTCAATAATGTATGACCATTTAAAGTTTACACTGTTTTTTTTTATTGATTATTCATCGCCATCTAATTTTATCTTAGATAATTCCATATAGTATAAAGACAGTCCAGTCCATTGTACATAATTTATTTTCATAATAACAAAAAAATAGCTCATCGTTTTACTTTTTATATATATATATAGAGAGAGAGAAATGGGGTTTAACGTCCACTCGACACAAACTAGGTAATTTCGGGACTAACACATGGTTCAGTTTTATTTCAATAATTCGCTTGCGCGTAGGGTCTTTAGCAGTGGGAGGAAACCGGAGGACCCGGAGAAACCCCACGAGGTTGGACAGGCGACCCTTCTCCTTGTCACGTACAACCGGGGAATCGACACCCGGCCAGTTGACTCAATGACAGACCGTACTGAACCCTATATTAGTTCCGAAATGACATAGTTTGTGTCGGGTGGACTTTACCCCCCCCCCCCCTCTCTCTCTCTCTCTCTCTCTCTCTCTCTCTCTCTCTGACACACACACACACAGCATGAGTGTGACTACATTTGTCCAAAACATATTTAATTAGTAATATATAATCAGAAAAATTACAATTCAGATTTCTCTGTTGTTTACTTTGTCAAATTTATTGGACGAAGAGTTTGGGCATGAGGACAAAGACCTGCTATATGGGTTATGTCTCTGTTAAAATATTCTTGGTCGCGTGAAATACACGCTTTACTACAGAATCTTATTGAGGATTTCGTTAAGACATCTCACTTGTAAACATATATATTAATAATGTACAGTGCGAAGACCCTTTTAGATTTGTGATTATTAGACTGTCATGTAAACATGCGATTAGGTACACTTTGATGCATATGCAATGAAAAGAGTTTATATTAAATTCCTAGATGTTCGAAAGTTGATAAACTTACCTTATTTTCGGCAGATTTCGCACTTCGGATATCGAGATATTATATACAATTTAACGTATATAATGTATCCTCCTCAAGGCTCTAATAATATAACAATAAAGAAATCTCTCTGTTCTTTTATCAGGTAGATCAATCTATTCCTGTTGAATATGTAATCCCAGAACTGTATTAAGTCTTCCAGGCAGATTCTGGCTTGTACAAATGATTATATACCTTAATACAAACGATCAGTTCTCACACAAATATAAAATACAATAAACAAACATAAAATGCCAAATCTGTCGTTAGAAAATGAACTGATATGTCCACCCAGCTCCACTTCAAATGAATCTAATGGCGGGTCATATAAACGGAAGAAAACAATAATCCAAGAATCTATTTTAAACCATGGGATAATGTCCTGTACCCCCGCAAATAAACAGCAATGATTCAAATTTTAAAAAGCAGGTTGGGTATTTGTAATGTGTTGCCAAGGACACTTCTTATATTCCTATAGATGGGCATATAATCCCAAAACATTATTTTAATTGGTAGATTAATTCATGCACCCCGAAGATGAGTCAAAGTGAAAATAGACGTCATTATTCCTATTATAGTCACGAGAATAATCCACGAATCAATTTTAAATACAACTTTTCCTATTAATTCTCCATGAAACGGCCTTTGATTACACTGGGGCCATAAACGTAAAACATTGGATTAATAAAATGGCCCTTATCATCCTTATTTCAACCCCCTTTCTGCACTTCGTATCTATAAATATTATATGATATTTGGGATTAGTTAAATGTGACGCACGGACTATCCCGGCTTGTGAATGGTTTGTATACATGTATAGGTATATTGTTGTGTTTATAAGACCGTTATTATAGTATGTATTTAATATATTCACCTTTTTACTAGAATAAGGGGTCTTATTGACAAGCCAGACATAGATAATTCATTGTTGACCCATGTTTGTCAATGGTCGATATAAAATGCGAGGTCTATTGGACGAACAATAATGATCTATAGCTATTATTAAGTGATTATTCAATGATCACAAATAGTAATAATATTGTCATGATGTTTATATTGCTCTGTGGGGTTAAAATGATAAAACCTCTTTGAATTGGGTAAAAAATAAAAGCGTGAATTTAATTAAATTTGGTGTGTTGATTTACTTTGTAAACTGTGTGTCTTTCTACATTTAACAGGTTAAGTGCACAGCGTTAAGATATATAATAACTGACTTTTTTGTTCCACTGTCGACAGTTTAAGACAAAAACTAAACTAAATTTAGTAAGCTGACTGATTTCCGCTTAATAATAATTCATGACGAAAATTCTATCCAGTCATTAATAGAAATCAGATCAATCTACTTCAACATTACTTTTGACCCAATTCAAAGGGTCCCAGCTCCTTAATTATTACTGGCGGGGGGGGGGGGTTAACGCGAGCGCGTTGGATCATAAGGTCTGTTATTGAGTCAACAAGTGGCGTGGTTTCGATTCCCCGCTTGTAAGTGATAAGTATAGGGTCGCCTGTCCAATCTCGTGTGTTTTCTCCGGGTCCTCCGGCTTCAAGACCCCTACGCGCAAGCGAATCATTGAAATAAAATTGAACCATTTTATGTTAGTCCCAAAATAACTTAGTTTGAGTCGGGTGTAAGTTGCCTCTCTCTCTCTCTCTCTCTCTCTCTCTCTCTCTTTAATAGACACTTTTTATTTGGGTCAAAAATAAAATTGTCGATTAATTTGGATTTTAGAAGTCGTATTTGGGAGATCACAATCGATGAACCGGTAAATGTCCCGGAATCGAATCTCAGCGTGGACGAGAACGGTCTTTTTATCATTCCGTGGGTTCTAATCATTTTACTAACAGAGCCAAATGAGTCATAGTCATCTTATACAGAAGTTTTAAATGAGGTCGAGCTAGACATTATAGGTCCTGAACTTGACTTTACTACAACTAATGATGGCGTCAATAACTATAAACCAAACAAACACTCTAAAAATGTCAATCACCTATTAAAAGGCAAAAACGGGTATGAAGTATTGGCGGTTTACCTCCAACACAATACCAGTATTTGCCTCCCTTTATCAATCACAAGCCTCGCCGCGTTTCACGTTTCGATTTTCTTATTATCCATAAAATATTCTCATCAATATTTAAAATCTCTGAACGTGATTCCGGTTTTAAGATCCAAATCGAATACATCTGCCTACTGTCTTCAATACTATATAAAACCAAACAATCCAACAAAATGGACAGACTTGCCACGGTTGATAATGTGGTAGTATTAGTGGTTGTCTGCGCAAGAAAACAAACACCTATGTTGCTGATAAAACAATGGAATACAAAACTATTTTTCTTAAGTTGGCTTTACAATTATATTTTAAAGATACATTATGGGAGATTCGATAACGAGTTGGCAGTTCTCACTATAATAGTTAAAAACTAGATAATGTAAAGGGGAGAGAGAGAGAAATGGGGTTTAACGTCCACTCGACACAAACTAGGTCATTTTGAGACTAAGATATGGTTTAATTTTATTTCAATACTTCGCTTGCGCGTAAGGGTCTTTAGCAGTGGGAAGAAACCGGAGGAATCGGGGAAAACCCACGAGGTTGGACAGGCGACCCTACTCCTTGTCACGTACAACCGGGGATTCGAAACCACGCCAGTTGACTCAATGACAGGCTTTATGATACAGCGCGCACGTGGTAAAGATTCAGCCATCCAACCCGCCTATAATGTAAAGGCAATTTGCTGAAAATTTCATTCAAATTGATCCACTATGAACTGAGAACTAAGCGGTTGAAATTTCCGGCTAGCCTTGATCATCATTACTAAAGTCAGTACGATAAACAGCATAGTCTCGATTGTCCATTTCATCGTTAAATCGTGAAGGAAAATTATGCAGTAAATCGGCTCATAATCCACTAAAGTTCGTAGGCTAGCGATGCCTTCTAGAGTTGATTAGGCTCTGGATAGATTAATTAATGTCTAATTAATAATTTAGATAACATTTCAGGCCTAAAGAAAGACCTGCAATAGACAGATTTAGCTCTTACATAATGTATATTTTAATGGGTGAAATACATTACACAATTATTGGCAGTTGTATTAATAATTAGATATAATATTATTATTGACAAGTCTGATAATTTTACATAAATGTATACTTATAAATTAACAAAAATACAAGAATATATTTACAAACAATACAATTGATGTAGACTTAGATATTTACAATAATTTAACACGTTACTTGATAACCATATCTTTTTAATGTACGGGGAGCCACGATGGCTCTGTCAGTAAGACTTTTGCTCGCTAACCTGGAGGCCCCGTATGCGTCCGTCTTCAATAGCCCAATCGGTACGCAACAACAGGACGCTAAACCCCATTTCATTTTACTTGTAATGTGCGTGTATCTATCATTATTAGAACAAAGAGTCCAAGAAAAGATTACGAAGGTAAATAATAAGGACAACAAAATGCAAGGATAAACTGAATTCCATGGTGGCTCGGTGCGTATGGCGCGCATGCTCACTAACCATGTTTTCCCGGTACGATTCCGGAGTTGGCTGAGACAGTTTGCCCGAGTTTCCACTTGTCAGCGGTGCAAGACCGAGGGCATGCTAGAGAAAAGTTGTAACCTTGGATATCAAAAAAAAAAAAGAAAGAAAAAAAAGGCCGTAAAGGTTACCATTGCATTCTTAAAATTCTTAAGTCAATAGTTTTGTTTTTAACTGGATTTAATCAGGATTTTCTCAGTGGTGGAGGATAAAGGGTCTGACAAGGACAGCTGTCTAGTAGTTTGGAGGGGACGAAAAACCGAGGTCACGTGTACACATTGGCGTACACGTAAAAGATCTCTTTCTTTGCAGATGGAATTTCTTCATAGCACTCTGTATTGCGTATGCCAGTCTTAAGTCCAGTCGGAGCAGAATAATAAATAGGACGTTAAACTCCATTTTATTTGGTTAGCTAACGGGTATATAGTGCCAGGCAATGAAAGCGTGCAATAAAAATAACCGAATAAAATATCTCAAATTATTAAGAAATAGTTATGATTAAAAGATTTATATACAACCTTATTATTTTGATTTTCGTGTAATTACCACAACGTTTGGCGTCGAATGCCTTATTTCCAACCTTTCACTATCTCTTCTTTGTTTATTTCGTTTCCTGTTTTAACACGAAACGACAAAACAACAAAACACAGACTTACAAGTCGCCAAAAAAGAAAAAGTTCGACCACTATCGCTATTAAAAATTTGTCAATTATCTATGTGCGCTGCGGGGTATTTCCAAATATTAGTAAAAAAAACACACATAAATCGCTTAAATGTTCCGTAATCAATTCAATTTACTGTAATAGCAGACATTTCTAGAAGGAAGGAGAAACATATTTTTGTTTGCTTCTAGAAAATCTATATAATGCGTTTTGTTGTCTTTTTGCATTTCAATAACCGGTAACCCAGTTGGTTATATTTTCTGTTGATTTTAAAATTATAGATTAAAGAAGCAAAAGCGAAATAACATGAAATGAAATGGGGTTTAAAGTCCTACTGTTTTGCTCCGAACTGGGCTAATGAAGACGGGCATACGCCATACAGTGTGCCATTGCTATGGGGGAAATTCTGCCTGGACAGCGGCACTACGACCTACTCTTATATCGAATTCCAACTGTCAAGGGATCTTTTACGTGCACGCCAATGTGTACACGGGGGCCTCAGTTTTTCGTCTCATCCGAATGACTAGACAGCTGTCCTTGTCAGGCTCTCCGTCCTGCATCACTGACAAGCAAAAGCACTTAATCAGTTGGATGTGACAGAAACCGTGCAAAATTGTACTCCTTGCACACTGTGGCGTATACCTGTATTCATTAGCCCAGTCGGTTCAGAAAGGTAAGAAATCAAAACTCATTTCATTAAAATAAATTACGTGAGATGGTCATTGTGCGACATGAAAATGAATTCAGTAAATTAATACAATCATCTATCACGTCTACTACAGTGTCCGTCTGAAATCCGACACAATGAATATTAAAGTGGTAGAATTACTTATAGTTATTTCAGATTAGAGCGCTGTTTACGCGAATTATACTTTGGGGATGAAATAAAAATTTAAGTCGAACACGTCATATGCTCACTTATTATTGTTATTGTGCAATCAAATAACATATGTATAAAATATAGAGGCTAACCGCTGTGATTGAACGATAAAATTCCGATAAATTTTGTAATAGGTTTGTTGTGAGGAATTCTCACGTTATCCTTTAATTTCGCGTGTGGTTGGTTTAGTACCGGGGAATACTGGTAGCAGACTTTCTGGAATATAGGTTTATGTTTTGATTGTCAAGGCTAATAGTACAAGCTGGACTTCTGGTAATATATGCGTGTTACTATATAAACATTATGATTGTCAAGAACTCAACTAGTTTATGAGTTCAACAGCATTTTCGACAGCAGGACTTGGGTTTGATTCCCTGTGTATGGAGAAAATGTTTCGGTACTTTTTAAAAGAAGGTACAGAAAATGAATTTGCTGTCTCATGTGGCCATTGATCCAGTTTACTAATCAAAGTTTAAATTAACAGTTAAAATTCTACTTTTTCTGGTAAATAAAGCATATACTTTAAGTATTGAATTGGGTGGGAATCAGCTTAGCGAATCAAAATGATTTTCCAGGAGCTTGCCCCCGGAGCAATTGGCAATTGTTAACGAATACTAAAGACATATTTGCAAACTATTACCCCCCCCCCCTCCCGGCCCAAAATCC